GCCCACCGCGCTCTCGCATTCAACCTTCTTCCCGAGAAGGAGAACGGATATCAGCTTAAACAACCTCGACCGGAACCTGCACGCGAACCAAAATGTTACCGACAAGAACGACACCCAGCTGTGATCGAACGCGACGATAAAAAGGCAACCTTAATCGTCAACCGTTTCGATCGTCCCGTTTTTCTTTCATTTCGATCGCTCCTCTGCCAATTATTAACGTGTTAATCATTCGCAGATACTGCAAAAGTGTTACTCGATTATATCAATTCGACTGACAATGAAATACGATAATTCCGACGTAACTTACCTTTCGCTTCCGTACACTGTACAAGGTTTAATCGCTGATCCCGCATTCGCACGGTGGAAAATAGCGTTTAAAATATGAATACAAATTGACTTGACACATAACGTTATACATAACGATGATTGCGGTATTAGGAGTAGACGATGTTGAACAATTAAGGCTGACGTTTCTTTACGATACACGATACGTTCGCGTGTCGTTTTAACGATGCAATAACACCCGTTTATCTTAAGACAATTTGTCAGCATTAACCCGACTTTCTCGGTCGCGTTTATCCGACAAGGGAGAAAATTGAATGGAGAAACTTGGCATTCGTGGATTTTGAAATTCCTCCATCGTACACTCGTACACCTGACGAATAAACTCGGCAAAACCATCGAGCGCCCGAATGGAAGGAAAAATAATTCGGCCACGTAGATGATCCCCGATGGGCGAGGAACGACAAAAGAAAAAGAATAAGAGGCCAGAAGGGAAAGAAGTTTGAAATGGCGGTGTATAAGGAAGAGTTCTGTAGCAAACGACCTCCGTGAGGGAGGTGACTCGATCCAGACGGAAGGAAATTTCTCGAGCATGAGAAAAGAAAATGGTCGATCCATATAGAGAAGCGTACAAGTGGACGATATAGGTTACCGGCCGACAGTATATAGGACGGTGTTGATATAGCGTGCCAAAACCGTTCCGTCTTGAAGGAGGCGGAACGAAGAGAAGAACCGCCACCGTTATCAGCTCGGCCCGCGATTGGCCGAGCTCAGACGGAGCTTTCGAGGCGGCCAATCGCGTCCTGGTCTCCTGCTTTTCAAGGATTCTCCCCCGAAATCCTGGGTGTGGGCGAATCTAGAACACCGTACGGTATCCGTTTCCTCTGCCGTTCGCCCCTCGAATACCTTCCACACCGCGTCAAGACGGCTGCCCACTGGTCAGCAGGATTTCGCCAGGATCTCGACAGAAAGCCTCGATCCTGCTCTTATTTTTCTTACTACCACCCCTTACACACCCTCCGAGCTGCTACTCGACGCTCGATTCTTCCATCCACCGCGTCTTTCGCCCTTCTTCCCAACCCTTCGCTCCTTCAAGAAGCTGATTCGTACAATGCTTCCACTTTTTTATCCTCTTTTTTCCGTCAGATCTCCTACGCTACGTGTTTGCCAACGTTTCTATATCTATAGAAGCGCGTATGCGTTCGCCAGTATGGAGTAACGGGTACATCTCGGTTGCCATGTTGGCAATGATCGGAAAGATGGAATCGAAAAGGGGGCTGAATTTATGCTGCTTACTACGTTTGCAATATTTATTTACGTTCATTCGTGTTCGCCCGTTGTTTCTGTCGACGATTTATATCCCGAATGTCTTATAACAAAACGTTCGTTAAGACCGAGACCTTGCGAAGAAGCGAGAAGTTGCTGAAACTACGACTTCCACTCGAAATCGCTGTTCCAAGCTCGCCATAACTATCCCTATACTTCAGGAGAGAATTATGATGAAGCTGCGAGTGACATCGCGACGCTAGAGACGATATAAGGGCGTCTTTAAGATCTCTACGTCACCTAGTGTTACTTGATCTCTTTCTCCCCAACCTGTCAGATCCGGCTCCTCTCACCGATATATCCGAATTTTATTATACGAGCGTAGAAAAAAGCTAGCCTTCTCGACGAAATCTCCGTGATGGCAAATATCGTGTTCGCGGAAAGGTAAAAATTAAGAAATATTGAACGAATAACGATGGACAAGAATGTAAATTACTTTTCGATGAGGACAAGCGTGTACCAGCTTATCGGTATCGTTTGATACGACGATTCTAGGTCGAAACTAACAGGGTCGTAAAGTAAAGACGTATTCGCGAAGAAAAGTGAAACGATAGAGAACGGGTCGTAAATAATGAGGAAACAGTGGCAGCTGATTCGCAAAGTCGTGCTATTGATAAGATTATCATAAAAGCTGCGTTAAATGGTCGGTGAGCGAGGTTACGTCGGATATAGGTGGTGGCAAAACGACTCTATAAATGCGTTTACTTTCAGCTATAAAAGCGGCGTGCTTCGGTTATCCACGGTTTTAAACGTACCACCCGCACACCTTCCCATTTCCCTTTATACGTGTATGTATATCGGACGCTTGAAAACGCTGGATCGTGTGCGAGCGAGTACGTTTCATGGAAGGAACGAGACGTCGAGGCAGCCAGTCGCTTTACGATAAAAGCCCTCTTTGAGGGATCCGTTTATTGGTTGCTAAACATCGATATATTGCTTTCGGGGTTGCGCAAAGAGGCACCCTGTCCTCCGCGTATCCATCCATTCAACCATACGCTCCACTCTTTCCCTCTTTCATTCCGTGTATACACACACGACACGCGCGTACACCGACACCCCACGGGTAATATATACTTATGGCTGTACATACAGAGCTTTCTAAGCTTTTGAAAGCACGACCAACGCGTTCCGGGCTGTCGTGACGCGAATGAATGCAGCGCTGTTCGCGAAACTATTCGAACCACTCCAATTGCAGTTTTTAACACGTAAAATACGTGTACGTACGTTTACTTAGATTTCAGATTGAACGCGTTGAAATAAATCAAACGAAATTGAACGATCCGACGCAATCTGATCGAGCTAAACTTTATTTCATCCCCAATTTAAACGCTTCTACGTATTCGGGTCACACACGTTTCTCTAGGGCCTAGAATTTAGTCACTAGCCTGGTAATATCTCGAAGAAGGATGATCGATTCTACGGGATAAAAAAGGAAATCAACGAAGGATCAACGACTATATCACCTCAAAGACGTGTCCCTTCGCTCAAGATGATCCCTGTCAACCGGCTTGTATTTACCCTCCTCCTAGCTGGCGAATATTTTATCTACCTCGTATCACCCTGAAAACGTTCTCTGAATCCACGACCGCAAACAGAGAGAATCGTAAAATATCATAACGAAGTAAACGAATTGAAGTGTTTTCCCAAATCCTTAACCGAACACGAGGATCGCGAGTACCTTGAAAATTTTATCGCGAAAGTCGTTAGGCGAACGATCGTGGAATTTCCATGAAATTGCTTATTAAATCAGCCAAGTTTTTCGCGACGATTTAACGGTACCGTGGCCATTTGTCTCCGTGGATTTTATTGCCTCTCGCGCTGTTAATAAAGCAACCCTGTTTGGCTGCGTGAAAACTTTCGGCATAATTTTCCTTCTCGTGAAATTCAACTTCCGTTTCATCGTATCGTTTTTTTTCTACCTCTTTGACCACCTTTAAGAGTTTATCATTTAGAAAGAAAAAGAAAGAAAAGAATTTTATGAATTTTTGTTTAACTTCGAAGGTATTTTCTTTTTTTTTTTTTTTCTTTTCGAATCGCATGAAATGCGAGAGACGAGTATTTCCATGGAAAGGGGGAACAGTTTCGCGGAAAATCACGCGATCGATTCGGAATGAAAACGATGGGACGCGTTTTGGTCGACAGACGTGCAGCCGTCGCACTAGAAGACACGGTAGCCACGGTAATAATAATAGCCAAAATATTCCGCGGGCTGTGTCGCTGTGCGCGCACTGGGATGGGCGACGATTTCGTGGGATGTTGGTTTGGCAACATGTGGTTCGACGAACGCAATCTGCCACTGACATTTCGAATTAAACTCGTCGAGGACCGGCCTGACTGGTGAGTTTCCCGAAGGAAACGAGAAAAATCTTGTCGAGTTATAAGCTAACGGGGCTCGAACTTGCGCGCATTGTTTCACGCGAAATTCAAATCGTTCATTTTTATCCTCCCCTCGCTATTACAATTTCTTTTCACAATTAAACGAACGTGTATCTTAATGCTAATGTTTGAAATTGTGACCACTTCTCAGAGTATCAGAGGAAGGAAAAAATCTTATTTTTATTTTGCAATGCATGGGGTAGTTGAATCAATGATATTACAACGCGAGGCAAGAAGCAGAGGCCGCAAAAACTGTAAAAGGGTTCTTATAGCCGTAGCTTTCCAGCTTTGGCTAAGCCGATATGCATTCATTATAATAAGAAATGGAAGGCGCCGAGTGAAAAGTTTGAACGCGCCCTGGCTTATCAACTTCCTCTGAATTTTCTATTATTTAAGAAGAGAGAACTCTTCGTGTTTCGTCTTCTCTACCCTACCACGATCTTGTCCTTCCTCTTTCTCGGTTACTCTCCCTTCGTGGCCATTCGCGGCAAGGGTGGTAGTGTTTTCCTCGAGACACACCGCCCAAGTACCGAGCAAGTTGACTTAACTTTCTTCTTTCGTGCAAAAGCTAAGGATGCACGGCATTTGAAGTTCGTCGAATAACCATTAGCATATTTATTATTTGTCATTCGACGCAGCGTTAAACGCGTTTCACCCGTGAAACTTACCAACTATCCTTAAGGCTGTGCCTTAAAGTTGATACAATAAACGTTAACGTATCGCTAGGCACGGTTAATGAAAGTATAATAAAGTTGGAAAGAAAAGGAATGATAATATCTATGAAAGTTAACAGTAAAACATAGCCGATTATCGTAGAATCAAAGAATCGACATTAAAGTTCGTCTTAGAGCTCATGTGCCCAGTTACAAATATAGGTATACCCGTTCATATATCACTCTTTTAAAATAAACTGTTCTATCATGGATATGTTGTTTTATAATGCAATGTTCAATGCGTGCCGCAACTTGCTCGATACGATCAGGCAATAAAAACAAATGTTGCAATTTTTTACTTACTACTTGATGTCGACTGGGTATAAATTAAGGGTTGACTCGTGTACCAGAGAGGTGGTGCATGGAATAAATACTGTAGGTGACGCATAAGTGTTCTGCATGTAGGCCATGAAGGAAAATATGCACGGACCTGTGAACAATTAACGAAACAGATAGGTTAATACATTGACTATGTTACAGAAATAATTATCGACATTTAAAACATTAACGGGAGTACTCACTCTTGTTAAATAAATATTAGTTCAACTGTGTAAAGTATTAAGGTCAAGGCGAATTATTTCAACTAGGAAATGCCGCCATTTCAAATCCCACTTGGCCACCATGCGGAAATCCGCGCAAGCTTTGTTACTTGCCGATAAAAGCTGAAAAAACCCAACGTGCTCAAAATCGGTCGATAAAGTAGCGCAGAAGTCTGATATATGTAAAATACATTTACACTTTCAATGTTATCAGTATTGTTTCAATAATTTCTATCTACTTCACCTGATTGTTATGAAATAGAGAAAAACAATTTCATTGTAGAAACATGAACAAGTAGATAGTGCATCGAATCAGACAATGCATAATGCATGCGTTCAAAGATTAGAAACAAAACCTCGAACTATAATGCTCTATATCGAAATAAGTATAACTTTCTCAAAGTATTGACTCTTTCTGTCAACAAAATAAGGGTGATACTTACTCTTTTGGAAGAAAAATGACTAAACTAGCAGAAATTCGACGCCACAACGTATTTCACTACCGCTCCCGCTGAACTTTCAAACCGGAAGTACTACGTCAAACATTGCGCAGAAATAAAATAAATTTTTATTTTAAAATATACCCTATCTATATTTTTTATAAATATTTGAATGAATAATTTATTTATTTATAAAATATTTACGAAATATAATGCAATGAAATGTAATAAATGCAAAATGAAAATAATTATCAAGCAAATATAAAAGAACGTACTACTGGAATATTACATAATGATTCAAAAGACACTTTAATTAACAAGTATAGAGAAAATTGAAATACCATTAATGCAAATTTTCATTATGCTGCGTCCTATGATTTTTCATAATGAACGATATAAAAACGGAAGAAGAAAGAAAGCGGGAAAATCAGTTTCAATTCCCTTGTAAAACACCAGTAACCATAAAACACTAGCAGACAGTGGCGACGCCAAGTTTGCAGACAGAAGAAATAGCAGTGAAGCAACGTGCTTTAGCCCATTTTAACTATACAAGTGCCGAAATATGATCATTCATATTGTGTAATTTGTTAATAATTCGTACTTCCTTTTCTCGTTTTATCGTTGCACAAAAAGAACACAGTTATTGTATTTTTATAATCAAGTACGATTTTTTATGTAATTTCCGTATAAATAAAAGACAAAAGTTAAGTGATAGCAACGTCGACCCCCTTTTATCGCCGACACAAATTACCGGAGCCCCATGTTTCTCTGCTGGTATTGTTTTTAATATTTTATACCGTGTATGGATTTAGCCATGGATGTTCGAAATGAGGTACGATAAATCAGTAAAAATATTTATTAAGTATGATATGAAAAATTATAATTATCATGTATGATTCTATAATGTGCTGTAGTATGTAAGGTTAGGTTTACGGTTACATGATGAAGTTGAAATCTATCATTGATTATAAAATGAAATGCAGTCAATTGAATATCTTATTTATGTAGAAAAAATGTAATCTATTGTGTAAAGTTAACAAAAAATATATTTATTTTTAAACAATGTTGTATTTTATTGTGTAAGTTATTATGAGTTTTGTATTAAATTATATTAATTTTCCTTCCTCTATAAATTTCTGTATGAATATTTCTGTGTAATGATCCATTATATAATTCCATAGCATCATAATAGTGTACAAACAAGTAAAAAAACAAAATGAACTTATGAGGTAATACTGCTGAGTATTTATTGATTGACCTAAAATTCTGAATATTATGTATTCATTGTACATCTTCTATTTTTGTTAAAAACAAATTATATAAACTGTTTATAATAAAGAGTATTTGTTAAAATATTCATAATTATTCTGATTCATTATTGTTTTATTTAATGTAACATTTTTTTATTTCAGCTTGATTTTCAATTCTTGGATTTACACGATTTAAATGATAATGACAAAAATCATTTACTAAATATTTTAAAATCCAATGTCACTAATGATGCCTTAAAATTGCCATGGGATACAGTTGAAACTAACAATGATATCAATACCTCCATAACAGAAATTCCACAAATACAAAATCAATGGTATCATAATGGTAATAACATTTTAAATCATTATATAGATTTCAAAGATTTTGAAAAATGTTGGTTGTAAAATTAATTTATGTTTTATTAAATGTTATATGTTATTTAGCAATACCACCACCACCTTCTTATACACAACAGATAATGTGTAGTGACTGGCAGGGACCACCAATATATCCTGTTCCAACAGATGGTCATATACAACCATTTATGCCAGCAATGACATACTCACATCCTGGTTACAACCTTGGAAGTGAAATTCATGATGTGAATTGTAATAGAGAAAATAACAGAAGAAATAATCGAGGAAGAGGAATCAGAAGAGATAATTTCAACCGTGGAATGAATCCTGCTAATGAAATGCAACCAGGGTATGTGGGAGAACAGGGACAATTTCATCCACCATTATCTTTTGTAGTTATGTACCCGGATCAGACGCAACAGCAACAGTTTTCTGGTCATGTTCATTATCCTCCATTAGCTATATATCAGCCAAATCTTCATACACATACAAACACACATCCTCATGCACAATCTGCATATGGATATCCTCCATATCATCATCCTTCAGGAAATATGAGATGTGTTCGACAAACGACGCCTATGCTTTCTCAACCTACTCAAGAGTGTACAAAAGTACAGAATGCAAAGCCTCATGAGAAACGCGTTCAAAACGTTTATACGCCCGTCAAACAACCTTTTCATCAAGTAAACGAGGAAGATAATTCTTCACAGACCAATATAGTTACTACAGTAATAACTGTAAATAACAGTAAAGTAGAACAATGTACTGATAATACAGACGAAAATACTGCCAATAGAAAAAGTTCAAATACAAATGGGAAAGTACCCCCTGTTAATGTTAAAATAGAGCACAATATTGTATCTACTGTAAATGAAAATTGTAATGGAACTGAGAATAATGATGTACCATGTGTGAATATTAATAGTAGCATCGAAGTAAAACAAAATGGAGAAACTGACAAAGAATATAAAAACGAAACTGTTTCTAGTATTAAAACTACTGTTGTTAAAACATTATCAAAATCTATTTCGAAAAGTGAAAATGAAGCACAAAAAGAAGATGCTCCTATAAAACCTTTACCAGAAGAAGTTGTTATTAAACCATCAAATACGCCAGTCACTGTATCCACTGCACCGCCTGCTGTATCGAGCATATCTTGGGCTAGCATTTTGAAAAAAGGAAACACAGAAACGCAATCAACCCCGTCAAATCATAAACCAACAGCACGTATTAATCCCTTACATATTAATTCAATCACAGAAAATAGTCCAGCGTCAAAAGCGCAGCTACAGTCAACAGATAAAGACCAACGAAGCGGGGTAATTTTTGGAAACGAAAATATTTCATCCAGCATACCAAATGTTGTCAATGAAAGTAAAAATCCACAAACAGAGTCATTGCAAAATCGTTTCAATGATCCTATTGCTTATCGAATGGGCGGTAAGTATTGCAACAAGTTTTTAAAAAAGAAGTGATTCTAAATAGCAAATAATCAAACTTTCTAAATACATTTCTTTTTCTTTTAGAATTTTTATTAGGATATCACATGGATAAGCAAACTGTGAGTCTGTTACCGAGAGGATTAACAAATCGTAGTAATTATTGTTACATTAATAGTATATTACAAGCTTTGCTTGCTTGTCCACCGTTTTACAATCTTCTGATGGCTCTACCACATTCTAAAAATCCTAGTAAAACGTCTTCAACTCCACTCATCGATAATATGTAAGTGAAAGAATGTTCTTGTTTTAAATAATGAAAAATCATGTTTTTAATCATTTTTAAACTGTTTTGCACAGGATCAAGTTCGTACACGAATTCACACCTTTGTCAGATGCTGCACGATTGGCTAGAAAAGATAGAGCAAATAAACGAGGGGAAGATACAATAGTAGACATACAAAGTGGAGTGGCTTTTGAACCTTCTTATGTATATACAATGTTAAAAAATACTTCAGCCGCGGGTGTATTTTCCGTGGAAGGACGGCAAGAAGATGCAGAAGAATTCCTTTCGTGCCTTCTGAATGGTATCAATGATGAAATGCTCGAAGTATGATCATAATAATATTCGTTTTAACTTGAATCTCAACAATAGAATTTAAGTAACTAATCATTACTCGTTTCAGCTTATCAAATTAGTAAACAGTGACGTTAATGTAACAACTAATGTTGAAACTAATATAAACTACAATAATGGAGAAGAAGAATGGAAGGTAAAATATCCCTATGCTATTAAGTAATGTAATAATTTATTGCACAGAGATGCAAATATTAATTACATTTGATATTATAGGTAATGGGTCCGAAGAACAAAGGATCTATTACACGATGTACCGAATTTGGAAGGACACCACTGTCTGATATCTTCCGCGGACAATTAAGATCTAGAGTATCGCGAGCAGGAGAACAACCAACGGATAACGTCCAACCCTTTTTTACATTACAACTTGATATTGAGGTATAAGTTATTTTTTCATTATGAAATTATGGTAAAACAACTCCTAACTGATATATATTTTCTAGAAAGCAGAATCTGTGAAAGGTGCGCTTGAAATTCTTGTTGGTAAAGATCAGTTGGAAGGAATGACATGTAGTAAAACAAAACAACAAATAGAAGCTTGGAAGCAAGTAACCTTGGAAGAATTACCGGTCATTCTTATATTACATCTGAAATGGTTCGATTACAAACTTGATGTTTGCTCAAAAATTGTAAAAAGTGTAGAATTTCCTGTTGATTTAAAATTAGATAGCAGTAAGTACTTATTTTATCAGTTACTAATTTTTGGTATATAGAAACAGGAACATTAAACTTGTTTGTTACAGAATTTTTATCGCCAAATGCTGTAAAGAAATTAAATCCAAAACAAAAGCATTATAAACTATTCGCGGTTACGTATCATGATGGGAAAGAAGCAACAAAGGGTCACTATGTCACTGATGCTTTTCACGTAGGATACGGAGGTTGGGTCAGGTATGATGATAGTTCGTTAAAAGGAGTTTCTGAAAGTAATGTTTTAAAACCAACTCCCCCTAGAGTTCCATATTTATTATATTATCGCAGATGCGATACTATCGGAAATAATCAATCGAATACTGGTAAAGTACGTTAAAACGAAAAGCATTAATTAAATCTATGAAAAAAAATTACATTCTGAATCTAAGAAACAGTTTGAAAGAGTAGCTTTTACAGTTTTGCGGTTCTTGTTGATATTTATAATTAAATACAGAGAATGTTTAATAATCAATATCATATGAAAACAGAAAACTATTTCCTTTTGACAAACTATACTTCCATCGAATATTTGTACTAAGATTGTTGTTACGAATTTTATGCATAGTTTTCTTGGTACACGAAATAAAAAATAGTTAAAGTTGAAGTTAAATAAGAGTTTTGATTTTGGCATTCATAATTCTATTGAAGTTGCATAAACGCTTATATATTACATTTTATGAAAATATTAAATGTCAAGATCTCTTGTACATATCTTTCTTATCCGATTATGAATATACAATATTTGAGACAAAAATATTGATAATCTCCTAGAGAAAGAAAAAATAGAGGAAAGTTTTTCTACTTTAATGACAAAATTTCTACGAAATGCAAATTTTATATATATTCGAGAAAAGTGGTATACCTTATGCCTTAAGTTATTTTTGTATATAACCTTCCTACGCCTTTATGAATACTTATTCCAACTCGCCAATAATTTCTTTACTATATAATAATTTAATAGTCATTTCTTTATTATATAAAAGTTGCTTAGATGTTGTTCGTAGTACGTTTATAGAAATAAATTTTTAAAGAAAGGATTGAAAATATCGCTTTGTAGGTTAAAGAAATAATTGGTAAGATGGGATATTAATATCGTTAACGAGGAAGATTGTATAAACACAAAATTTGTGTACAAAACTACCAAAAACATATGTGAAAAATTTATTATTTGTTCAACGAGAGAACATACCTCTTTCGCGGGGTTTAGGGGTGCCCTCTACTTGTATTTCTAACTGCACAACACTTCGCGGTTGTATACATGGTGGACAAAAATATATGAACAGAGAGAGCAAGTGATACCGTCAAGGGTCGAAGAGTATACTGAATATGAAACCACTGGATATGCTGCGCAGTGCCAGGAGGCGCTTGCGCAGACGAGGCATACACAGAACAAACGGAAACTCATCGTGAAAGAGATAAGGTCTTTCGTTGAACGAATAATACGTCTTTATCTAATATTTAAAAAAAAAAAAAAGACAAACCTATGTATCCTCTTTTCATACATATTAATGCATGTAAAGATATATTTTTTATTTTTTGTAACAACTTTAATTAAAAAAAAATGTAAACTTCACTTTAGAAGTTATTCATTGTATTGTTAAAATGCTTAAATTATTTCAAGGTACTTATTGAAAAATTCATGAAAAATACACAGATTAGTGTTTATTAAATTAGTTTTGGTATTAAATATTAAAAGTTTTGCTTTGGGTTAATGCTTTGTAACTTTTCTGTTTCCCTATTTCATACAACTTTTTTATTTAGTTATAATTTAATATAATATTATAATAGCTGTGTAATATGTAAGTGTAATAATTTGAAAAAGCAGTAAAGTTATAAAATCCCATTGCAAAACATCTCGTTTACATTCTACTCGTCAAATAATGTAAATAAGAAGTATTCTTAGTAAAATTTTATAGTTATATGTATGCGATGAAATACGAAATAATATCCTTGATTCACTTCCTATGGAAATGTAAATATTATACATATATATATCTAAAATTTATAGAAACTAATAAAAATGTGTATATATATTATAAAAATTTTATTATTTGTTACAACATATTTATTATTTCAAATATTTACATTTAACTTCCAACATAATTATTCTTTGTGAAATTTATGCAAAATTACAATTAAACAATATATTTTAATAAATAAAAAACACATATACAAAAGTCCTTCCAATACATTAATAAATTATTTATGTAATCATAAATTAGATGTAAAATCTCTTATGTATTGTAGCATATCATTGCTCTCAAAATATACAATATTCATTAACAATATTAAACAAATGCCACAAATGCATTTAGAGAATGATAGCTGCTAAAAATGTGGGAGGCAAACTTTGCCCGCAAATAATTCTGAAATTACTGTAATCCATAAAGCTAAAACAAAGAAAATATAAGAAATACCAACTTGATGTGAATTAGGTAACTGATATGGTTGTCCACCAATTTCATCGATGTGAAAACCCATTGGAAATATAACTGCTGCTAGACAAAACAGCACCACTAAAATATTTTAATATTATTTTAATTTTTTGATAATTTTAACTTTTAAGAGATATTTATTACTAGTATTATTATCATACTCACTAGCTGTAAATCCTACCCATCTAGCATAAGGGATAACATTACGATCCCAATGAGAACTGGCTAATAATATTATTGTTGCTGTGATCAAAATACAGCCTACAAAGATACAAACAAGAGCCATGAACCATTCTGGCTGTAAATCTGGACTGTAACAAACTTGAGGTCTATTGTATAAGGTCATACATGACCACATCAATCCCAATCTTGTATCTCCTGTAAAAATTTCAATAAGATCGTTAATAATTAGAATTGTCCAATTATAAGAATCAATAACAGGGATTATTTATAATTACCTCCAACATCAGTAATAATCCAGTCGGGCATTGCAAGACTGACAACTGCAAATACATCGGCAGCGAGAAACAATGTTCCCGAAATAATCGTTAATTTATCCATTTTGTATCAATAATAATTGTATCTTTACATATTATAAACAATAGCAATTATTATTGTTCTTTTTTTGTTTATTTTTCAACCATTTTTGAAACAGCTCTTGATGTCAACTTACTGTAATATAATTTCCTAACCTTAACTTAGCGCACTTGATACATGTACACACAGTATCAAAAAGTTTTCCCGAGCTCCGAATTTGGACTGTACAATTATATACAGAAAACGATACTAATAGAAATTAAAATGAGCAATCAATTACAGTATGTTTATTACATAGAAAAGATCAATTATATGTATATATACACAGTAATATTAATAGTACTTTTCAATACTAATTAAAAATTTTTTTTACAAAAAGGGTAATCTTTTTAACAAAGGTTCCAAACTTAAGTAATGGACAAAGTATTCCATTATTATTAAAGCGTATTAGAATATATCGAATAATTTCGTCTCTTAAATTTCTTACAATTTGGTTCAATTTGTATAACATGATTATTACCTAAAATGTAAACAGGTTTTGTTAAAAAACTGAAAAGATATAATGTATAACTTGTAATTATATATCACTCACTATCATTTGTACAGTCAGAGTTAGCTAGTGGTGACAAATTATTTAAACTTCCATCTGCTTCTTTAGTACTACATGCTTCTAATTCTTGTTCTTCACTATTACTTTTAGGAGATAAATTTAATGGTGAAGTGTGATTAAATGAACTATCACTTAAAGTTCCATTAAATGTTGAACTTAAAACATTATCTTCTTCAAAAGAAATAGAAATTTCATTGGAACTTGATATTTGTTCACATGATGTTTCCATCATTGATTCATTTGATTTACACTCTTTTGCATTATTCATTAATTGTAATAAGACAGATGGATCATCAATACCCAAAATATTACAGAATTGAGTAGTTTGATTGTTTATTAATAATTGTGGTGGTTCAGAAATACCATCCAAAGCATTAGGATTGTAAGGTTTAGCAGTTTGTGTAAAATTCAATGGAATTTGTAAATTACAGTTAAATTTTTTTAGAACCTTTGCCTTTTCCTCTATAGTTGGTATAAACGTCCATCTTGTATTACCATACTGTCCAGGCATATAATGAATTCCACTTTTGACACTTAATAAATGATTTGTTAAATATAATATTGTTAACCACTCTAGATCATAATGTAGTGTCAGTGGTAAATTTGGATTATGTTCTAGTTCAAATATTTGAAGAAATTTTCTTTTTGGAAGACATTTATCTAAAGCTAAAAACTTAGTTACTCTTGTTCCTCCTTTTTCAGGAACAAGAGCTGCAAATTTACAATGTAAATGAGCTGAAAACCAATAACTTGGATGATGATACTCTAAGAGTTCCATACTTGGTGGACTACCAAGCATATTATTTTCTATATCATTTCTGTAATAAAAAGCTTAACTATTGCACATACTTAAATATATACTAATTAAATTTTTAAGAATCAAATATTTGTGACAAATGTGATAAAAAACTCTAATTAGCTTACTTGAAAAAAGGTTTTCCTTTTAATAAAATATTTTCATCCCCATATTTAGTTATTCCTGCTGGCCAATCATGTGATAAGAATATATCAATATTACCAGTAAGCTATAAAATCAGGACATAATAAATAATATAATCAAATAAGAATATAATAGATCAAAACATTTTTTTATACTTCTGTTAAAATAAAGGGATAAGAACCAATGTATTACCTGCTTTAATCTAAATATTTCTAAGTTTCTGATATGATATACACTTCTAATTGTATTCTCTGTATATGGGGGCTTTTCATAATGTCCTTGCATCCAATGTTGACCCTTAAAAATGCCTGATAATCCTGCAATTCTGATACCACCTACTGTTACTACACTAGCATATCCAAAATAGTAAATATTAGGTGCTACCCATCCACCATATGGTAATTCTTGAAGATAATTTGATGCTTCATGATTACCCCCAATAAATAATGTCAACACTGGAGCAACCTTTTCCCCAGAATAATATCTATAACAAAATTTTTGAAACAATTTAACAGTTGTTAATATAAGTACAGTTCTGTTTTAAATGATTTGGTCATAATTATTTCACTAAGTGTTGATATATAACTCACTTATAAAAAGTACACATATCCTTATATTTATCAGGTACAGCCATGCAATTTAAATCGCTTAAATTTCTAGTAGATTGAAAATCTCCACAGCAAATAAGCAAATCTATCTTTTTCCCATCAGCCTTTTCCATTTCTTGAATAGTTTCATAAATAATATCCAGTTCACCGTGTGCGCAACCTTCTACAGCTATCCTCATCTTGAATTTTTGTTAGATACCTTTCCACCGTTACATATAAATACGAAGTTTATCTATTTTATAGATTTATTATTATTTATTAAATGTTGATATTAAAATCAATCAATATCAAGGTAAACAAACAACACATTTAACCTAAAATGTTGCGATGCAGTCGGAAGTTATTCTTAAGATTGAACTGAAGCTAGCGTTTGATCCTGCGGTCGTTGACATCTGTCAAAAATAGAGATTTAAATATTGCAATCTTTAGAATTGTAATTCATATAACATGTATATAGATAACTTTAAATAAATTGTTATCTTATTTTGTATGAATTAAAATGAATATATCCAGTTGGCGAGTACATTTCTCAGCGTAACCGTTCAATGCAATCGCCATGTTTCTAGCGTTACCATAACAACAATCATGTCGTGAAGTTGTGTAAAATTGAAATGTTTCATCTATACCGCAGTTCACCAGAGTCCATAACTGCGACGCGCAGGTTGGAAGATGGTGGGGGAACGCAGCGAGCTTTCTGCCAATCGCTTTCCACTTCGTTTGGGAGTATCGCCAATCAGGGCGAAGATGCGTACTAGAGATGCGCGAAGAACGAAAACTGGTCTTTTCGCAGTTATGGACTCTGGTGAACTGCGGTATATATACAGCATGCACATGTGCATACATGTTAGTCATTAGAGATATGTGTGTAGGAAAAATTAAGATACTTATTTAATTAGACAAATTAGATATAACACTGTGTATAAAACATATGTAATTTAGTATACTAGTATCAACTATGAGCTTGATTTTCTGTACCGAAGAAGGGTGGATTATATCCCATTTGCAATACCTTAATGATATTTATAACAATGCAAAAAATAACAACAAACAAAGTAAACTAATTTTTAATGATACATTATTTCAAATAAATTCACAATATTTACGTCAAAATCAAATAAATCAATCTGAACAAGATGATGGAATGTCATTACAAAATAAAAATCGAAAAAGAAAACGATCAATACTTTTACCAGATAAAGATTTAAACGAGGTATGTAGTCAAATATAAAGACTTTAGTGATGAAATAATTAAACGGAATAACTTTACCAATCATTATTATGTATTTTATAGATAAATCATATCAAACAAAGGTTCAGTAAAATAATGTTAGCAGCAAAGGCAGAAGGATTATTGTCTTCTGATATAATACTTGATAATAATGAAGCAGCCCGCTTAGCATCGCAAACATTTTATCAGGATACATTTTGCAATGAAGAAGAAAACTTTTATGGTTGCAATGATACAGATACAGCTATTATATCAGAAGTAAAAGATAAAAAATATGTTTTCCCTCAAAAGTGTAACTTTTATTGTTATGATGTCAGAGACATTGCAAAAAAGCTGGAGTTAAATAATCAATATGATTTTATATTGTTGGATCCTCCTTGGTGGAACAAGTCCATAAGAAGAAAAAAAACCAAATACTTAGAAGCTAGGTGATCTTGTATGGTTCAATATAAGCCAATAAAAAATGAACATTCTCTGAACATTTTAATGAGAACAAGTACTTTGATCATAGTATAAGTTTTCCTTGTTCTCAGTTTTGTGAGCATATGGGTAAATAAGATTTTAGATGCAACTTTTCATTATAAAAGAGTTCTCCTTAAATAATTCTAATACATTTGAACATATCTTAATTCTACTTTTTGAGTTAAGATCAATCTATATTTCTTTTACAACTAACTGCAATCAGCTATAAACAACATTTTATTTGTTATGCAAATTGTTAAACATATTTTTATGTTAAACAGCTATAAAATGATGTACAACGAAGAGTTGGCTAAGATACCAATTAGAAAATTATTATGTTCAAATGGACTGGTGGCAATATGGTGTACAAATGCTCCAAGTCATCTACACAGTATTTTTAATGATATATTCCCATCATGGGGAATCACTTATAGAGCAAAATGGTATTGGATTAAAGTAGGTATATGGAGATTATATATATTATCAAAAGATATTTATATGATCTATATCTAATTTATATTTTAGATTACTCAAACAGGAAATACAGTCTGTAACTTTAATTTTGCACTTGGTAAACAGCCTTATGAATTATTAGTTCTGGGATCTGTATTAAATGGTAATGAAATAAATGTTCCTGATGGTAAACTGTTGATAAGTGTACCAAGTGCAGTACATTCTCATAAACCGCCGCTCATAGGTAAAAATCATGATGTCAATAGTAAATTATATAAAATAAATTAATAGAAATATAATAAAACATTACTTGAAATTATAGAAGTTGTAAAAGAATATCTTCCGAACGAACCAAAATGTTTAGAAATATTTGCAAGATATTTACTTCCTAAATGGACAAGTTGGGGTCTTGAAGTATTAAAATTTCAACATTTATCATTATACACAGTAATAGAAGAAACGAATGAGACTCAGAATAGCACTAACATCGATGTAAATAAATCAATTGATTAACATTAAATTTTAAAAAGTAAGTAGTTTGTTTGATCTCTTGTTTATTTAATACCATAAATTAATCGCTTTTCATTGACAGTAAATAACATTATGAAGTACCATTTATATGTTCACTAGTACCGTTTTTCATCGAAACACGGTAACCATGTGGATTCATTGTTTGCCACCTCCAGAAATCTTCACCTATGTTGAAAATATCATTTACAATATGTTATGTTTATTACAAAAACATAGTAAAAATGTTATTTCACTTACACATTTGTTCAACATTATACTTTGTTCTCCATCCTAATTCTTTTTCTGCTAAGTCTGTGTTAGCATACATAGATACAATATCACCCTCTCTTCTATCTTTTATAACGTACGGTACTGTTGTTCCTGTGACATTCTCAAAGGTTTTAATTAATTCAAGCACAGATACACCCTTTCCAGTGCCTAAATTATAAATCTTTAATCTTGAATGTTGTTTATGCAAAGCGTTTAATGCCGCTACGTGGCCAGCCGCTAAATCCATAACGTGAATATAATCACGTATACCTACAAAGGGAATTATTTTTGATACATGTTTAAAAAATATTATATAATCGATATGTACCTGTACCGTCTTTTGTAGGATAATTGCCTCCAAAAATAATAAGTTCAGGCTTGTGTCTTAAGGCCACCTGCGCTATGTATGGCATTAAATTCGTAAATGGTTTTGTGGGATCTTCCCCAATTAAACCACTTGGATGAGCACCTACTGGGTTGAAGTATCTTAGAGAAATAATGTTCCAACTCTGTTTAACGGAGATAAGATATTTCATACTTATTTTTACATTACAGAGAATGATAACTTAGTTAATTGTTCATAATATTTCACAATTCAATATTATAAACATACCTTCTCAGCCCTTGATATATCTTTAAGCATTTCTTCAATGAAATACTTTGTTCTACCGTATACATTTGTAATGTTACCAGTCGGATGCTCCTCTGTAATCGGAAGTTCATTCGGTTCTCCGTATACGGTACAAGAACTGCTAAATACTAACTGAAAGCATCCAGCAGCTTTCATTACCTTGAAAATAGAATAAATTTATTTATTTTTCTAAGGCGCGAAATAGTGGAATTTAAGAATTTACTTAATTAAATTTTACCTCTAATAAATTAATGGCACCAATAATATTATTTCGATAATAATGAAGTGGAACTTGCATCGATTCTCCGACCGCCTTTATTGCCGCGAAATGAATCACGCAATCTATTTTGTGCTAAAATTTTCAGTGTTTTATCATGTATTTTAAAGTGTTGGATTATATTGAAAATTTTTCTTTTTTACCTTGTTAAATACTGTTTCAAGTTTATCCCGATCGATGAGATCGCAATTATAAAATGTGACCTTTTTTCCTGTTATTTGTTCGACTCTTTTAAGAGCCGCAGATTCACCGCCACCTTCGGTTACGCTATTAGCAAAGTTATCTATTGCAACAACATCGTATCCGCTTTCCAAAAGTTCGACGATACAATGACTACCAATGTAACCGGCCCCTCCGGTTACGAAAATTGTTCTCCAATCTGTAGTCATACTTCTGTCAAATGAAAAACAAAAATATTATGACTGTATATAAAATTTTAGTTGGAAAATTTCATCACCTTAGAGACAAATTAATTTTCACTTGCTTTATTATACAAAAATATATAATTTTGAATAGATGTAGCTTGAATATCCGATTTACCGTGCAAGGTAAAGTACACAGGTGTTTCGGACATTCACCTGCATCGATCAGAGTTCAAGGTCGTTAAAACACGTGGTAAATCATTACGGTTACGTATATGATTAATAAAAATGACTTAAACAGTTTTCAGATAGTTATTGTAAAACTTAATTTTCTTTAAATGTAGTATTGTTTACTTAAATAATATTCGTAATTTATTTTAGAAATGCTACGTAATGAAATTAAAGAATGAAGTATAGTTTAAATAAAGCCAGAATATTGTTTTTAGTATTTTTCTATATAGAAAAAGAAAATCTAAAATGTTCAAAGTTCGACTCTTACACTGATGAACTTAACGGTACTCGAAGTACATCAGACACCTTAGGCATGTTAAATACATCTTCGTGTTACTCCAGGAAATAAAAATACAGATGGAGAATATACAAATTTTTATGTTATTTCTAAATGAATCAACATAATTTACAAGAACGAAGATAATTAATTAATTGAATTTCAAATTATTCGAAATTGTTTGTTAATTTACATTTATATACATACAAGAGTATTAAATACACCTTGCAATTACGTTATAAAAAGGTATTTAAAAATAATTACCTAGTAAACGTAAAATTATGAGTAATGAGCACGTCAAACCAACTGGAAAGGATTCGAGGATACGGTCGCGTAGCCACTGACTTCGTCTCAACTGGTCTCAACTACTTGCGTCGTCTTCTGATTCAGGAAAGTAAAGTAGTAGTATATCCATGGAAGGCCAAGACATCCCCTCTTTTACAATACCATCATACATATCATTGTGTGGAAACGCACACTACATAGTTGGACCCTTCCAAGTCCTTGCTTTCTGTTGCAACAAGTTCTTCCTTTCACACAGACACTGTCCATCAACTGGCCTTATGAGACGAATGGGGGGAATAATGGCATGTGTGTAAGAGCCATACCTACAGTAACTGCTTGCATCATCAGAAGATTTTTATAGCATTAATTCATCAGAACTGAACATTTTATTTTATTAAATAACATTTATGTATTAATTGTAACATAATTAATGCATTTAAGATATCACTGAAAGTATTATAGATCTTATTAGAGTATTTACAAATCGAACTGTTTTTTGATTTAATATTTTTAAAATTGAGTATTGCTCACTTATTGAGCTGTTAAAACTTGAATTAACTTATGTAGTAGTTCTTTTTGTTCTGCATCTAAGTATGGCCATAATTCTCCTTCCAGTTCTAGCAATGCTTCATAATCATGTGACTGGCATGCTAATACTAAGGATTGTAACAGTAATAATTCATCTTCGCTCATATTGAAATCTGTAACACATATATCTTCTATAAAATAATAATTAATATAACACCTCATAATACTTGCCATTATTTGTAGTTTCTTCTATCCATGCATATTTCTCCAACACTTGTGTTAAGGAAGGTGTAAGTCTTTGAGGAGATGGTTGAAGTATGAGTAACAATAGTACTCTGGTCACTTCACATCTACATGTATTAATATAATTAGAGCTACTATTAGTTATTATTCGTTAAATCATAATACAATATTCTTAGCTTTATACCTGTGTAATATAATACTGTAATTGCCTCTTGCACCAGCATTAATATAACTCTCAATAAATTCAACAAAATCATTCAAAATTTGAAGTGCAGATACATAATCACCTAATGAAATATTTCACTTTCAATCATTGCAACTGTTTAATTATAAATATTTAAATAAACTATATTCACCTTGTTTAATGTGATAAGATACCAATGTGTTAATAGCTTTTGAAGTTGAAAAAATATCAATAGCTTTACGTAATTGTTGAATACCAGCTGAAGTAGCACCCAAAGCTAATGCTAATTCTAATGCTAATCCAGCTGACATAGTATTGAATCCTGGTTGATTATAACAACGTGCTAATGCATGACCAAAACAACTTATGGCAGCCTATTATAAATAATTAACTTTAATATTTCATATCATTTGTATTATTACTAGTTAACACAAGTTAGATACATAGCAAACCTGTGTATTCTCTTGTCCTATAGAAGGACAACCTATATCTTTGTCCTTTTTATCAGCCACAAGAAATTCTCTTCCAGCTTTAATTAAAAAATTTAATTCAGAAGAAACATTTTCCAATGTTCCTTGACATCTAGCTGCAGCTAGTGAACATAAACCGGCATACTGCCACAGTTCTTTTTGCTCACATTCAATAGCCAAAGCAGCTATAAAATAATTAACATCATTATTTATTTTTGATCGTGTAACAAATGCTATATCATTTTTATGTGACTTACTAAATTGATCACTTGCTTCAGCAACATTTGGTTTTCTCAAGAAACGTCTAAAATTAAATTATGAACATGTTTAATGATTAAATAGTTGAATATAATTGCTACATAAAATGAAAACAATTTGTGACAATATACTTACTTTTTCAGTTTATTAGATATATTATGATACTTTGTTAAAAAATCTAATGAATCTCCAATTTGTCTTTGAATAAAATGTGCCATCCTTTAGTTATCAATGTGCTTTGTTTACATATATGTGAATAATTGGTTATATCATATACTTTTTCCTTATCTACCTAATGATTAGTATCATATTGTTATTTTTCTAATTAAGTAGTGTTTGTCAATGTAAACATTAGGTTGTTAAATTACATATGTAAGTACATGCATCACACTTTATATTGTCTTATAATGCTTTATTTATCATAGATGTATATGTACTTTTTAAGACACCCAGTATGTGGCCTTGTCTATATTTTATGCAATTGGTACAGTATGTGTTAAATATCAGTCATTCTTATATATATGTTTATTTTGGATAGTATGTATATGTAAATAGATACAATACACAAATTGTTTTTTTTTTTAAATAAATATTCCGTCACGCATTGACATTTCACATTTAACAGTGTGATAAGAAGTATTTATAATTTTGAATTCAATAAATTATCATTTGTGTCATTCTGTTGTGTTCTGTTGTAAGGGACGACAAAAACAATAAAACATAATCATAATAATAAATAACAACCATTTAGTGAATCTGTAATAAATATTTCATTAATAATCATCAATTAAACGTTTTAATTTCGTGTAGTATAAATTAGTAACGAAACGTTTATTGTTTCAGGAGCAGAGATATTGAGTTATCACTCTGTTGAATATAGATAATATAACGCAAACAAACGTTATCAGTTGTTGTAACACTTAAATTAAGAAGCTCAAATATCAACCAGAGTGTGCAAAATTAAGTAGTCAAGTAATAGACGGTGTTACATGACAATATCATAATTGACATCTTTGTATGTGTAGAGTTTGCATCTTCTTTTAAAAAACGTTAACAAGACTAAAAGTTTCTCTAAAAAATGCATGGAATTGTTGAACTAATTTTGACCAGTGCTTCATTGTGGATGCTGTTACAAGTTATCTGGAGCAGTTTAATAAGTGTGTTTTATCATTTCTGTATACCATGGATTGTTTGGGGGACCTTTGTTACGGCAATTGGATTAAAAATAGCCAGGATTCCACCGCCAAATTTGAATATTGTACAAGAAGTGCTTGGTATAAATCCTATTTTGTTGAAAAGAGATAGTATCATGTCCAAGACTCATGATAATGAAGAGCAACATTGCATGCGAGTGGTGGCTCATCGTGGTGGAGGATACGATTTCCCTGAGAACAGCTTAACAGCTTTCCGTAATGTAAAATCTTATGTATAATAATGGTTTTTAATTTGTTTGTTTGTTTTTTTTTTTATTAGCTGATTTGCAATACTAGAAATCTTGTAACAAAAAGAATTGCTTATTATTTCATAATGTAGATACACTAATATAGTAGTTACTAACAAGAGATTTATTACTTTAGTAAAAGAATATGTTTTTAGTTTCCTTTTATAAATGAAACATTTTATAGTGTAAAGACAGAGGCTGTAATGCAGTTGAACTTGATGTACTTCTTACAAAGGACAATGTACCTATAGTATTTCATGACACAACAATTGATAGAGTTACTGGACAACCTGGGACTATTAAAGATATGACATGGGATCAATTAAAAGATTTAGATATTACCCATAACCATCCACTCAAGTAAATTTTGTAATACTTTTTTTTTACTATAAAGGATTACAATAGTAAAAATTTATTTAATTTTTTTTTCTTTCTAATCATTGTAGGGATAAATTTACTGATGGTGAAAAAATTCCATTACTTTCTGAAGTTTTAGAAACTTGCTTATCCAATGAACAGAGAATAATCATAGATATAAAAGAAAAAAGACTGGAAGTTGTAGAAGCAATTTTAGATGCTTACAAAAAATATCCAAAATTATTTCAAAGAGCAGTTGTATCCAGTTTTAATCCAATTATTATATATATGGTAAAATAAAATTAAAACAATAGTAATAAGAAATATACATATTTGTGAATGAACCTGATCAATATTAGACATTACTTAGTGAATTTGTGATTATAGCTTAGAAGAAAGGAACCTCGTATTGTGTCGAGCCTTGCATGGAGACCTCAGTATTTTTCAAGAGTAACATACCTTGGGTTAGATGGTCCGGCACCGGCACGATATAACAATCCATTTAAACATATAGCAGCTTCTGTGTTCGATTATATATATGATTGGATGCTTAATCATTTTATATACTACGTTGTGGGAGTTTCTGCTATTTTATTGCATAAAGATATTGTTAATCAGTATGTATGCTTTTAAATTATTTGTAATACTGAATATTATTACAAAAAGTAAAATGCTTTTTTAATATTATATTTATTTTAGGCGCGTTATCCAAGTATGGCATGATCGCAATGTTCGTGTCATGGCATGGACAGTAAATCTGCCATCAGAAAAATCACATTTTTCACGACTATTTAAAATTACTTATATAACGGATACACTATTAGTTGAAAAAGATATGTAATAATCATATTACATGCTTTATGGTGTAAAAGACTATTTTATACTACTGATATTATAAAGCATTATATTCAGTAATCTAGTCCATTCAATAAAATAACGAAAATATATTTTTGTCTAACAGTATTTATTAATTCTGTTATCAGAGGTACGTTCTTTTATGTCAATTAACATAATTCTAATACATATATATCATTTATTGTATGTCTTATTTGACATACGTGAAACTCGAATTTTGAATAAAGTAAAAATAATATATTTTATAATTAAACAGATGTATTTTAAATACTTCGAAATTAATAGTCTCTAAACCAATTATTACATGTATATTCTTTATTAATTATATACATACTTTTTAAAAAAGAAGTTATTCAACACTACCATAATTGCACATAACTTTTATGTATTATATTCGTATTTTGTATACATATTTTACTAACAATGGTATCGATACTTTATAATAACATATAATTTGAAATTGTATTTATGGACGGAAATATTTATTTTGTAACTATTTACGGCAAAGTTATAAAATGCTTAACCTAGCTAAAAAATTAAAAAAGAATTATCAGACTATAGTTGTAAGCTTACTTTTACGAGATTCCATGCCTTGAATCAATCCTGTTAATAAATCCTCCATTTCAGTTGTAGCACGTTTCAGCTTGCAATTATCGTTAGCTACGTAGGAATCTAAAATAGCAATTTTATAAAACAAAATATTTATAAGAGAAACAACTTATGTTATTAAAATATAAAAATTTACCATTAAGTAAACAATCATCTGTAACCATATTTTGTAATCTATCCAGGATATCATTTAAATCTCCTTGAATATTTTGTAAACTACTATGTTGTGAATGTTTATCAGGTCTCTGAAGAGAAGATGGTGTATTATCCCTATGAATACCTATGAGAGAACCAGATATTACTAATGGTGATTCATTTTCAGTGTCAGCTATTGTAGATTTCATTAAATATTTTTCTTCTTTGCATTCAGCGTCGTTACAGTCCAACCATTGAGAAAAACCACTATCGGTAGGATTTATTTCCGATCTTTTTGTACCTAATAATTAAAAACACGATACATAAATAAGTAATTAATATAATTTTTTAATAAAATAGGATAAAATTAAAATAATATAATATACCCCCAATCCATGTACTCAATTCAATTTGGGTAGGTTCTATTATATTACTAAAACCTAAGCTGGTAGACGCTTTCCCAGAATTAGTAACATCATGATTTTCTTTAATAATAGACTCCTCTGTTGAATTAAAGCTACTTGACTGTAATACATCGGTATCATTTGTACTTGAACTTTGTTCTATAGTTTCTTGACGAATAATTGGACTCAATTCAAAATTCATAGATAAAGATGCCAATCTTGATGATAGAGGTGGAACCATAGGTGTGCTTTGCATGTGGCTAATTATTTGAGGCATACAAATTTTATCCGAAAACAAGTATTTCTGTAAATAGTAGAACAATTCTTTTTCTAATGCTTATACTATTATATTTTATTAAACAATAATATACCTTTAATAGTTTTAGACGTTGTAATTGCGATTCAATCATAGCTCTATGATGCTGAAGTCTCTCTGCTTTACTGCCCTGAATATCAAGTAATTCTATTTGTAATTGTTTATTTTCTTCTTCTAAATGAGTAATTATACTTTGTAATTCTTTTTGTGGATCACTTAGTACTCGTCTTCTCATTGTACTTCTTAACGATCCACAATCGGCACGAGTTGCTTCAATGCTACAATAATAAGTAGTTAAAGAAACATCTACCTAGGATATGTAGAACATTAATTTTTAAATTTTAATAACCTGTTAGTATGTGGAATTTGATCCTCAACATTAATTCCATTCGATCTAACAGGGCACAATCTCAATTTATTCCGTATTAATTCAATAATCAACTTCGTTATTTCTCGATTCGAAGTCTAAAAAATAATTTTATGTAGTATGCTATTTATAAAAATAAAATATATTCTTGTACCTTGGTACAAAATTCACGAGTGGGATGTTTTAGTTTATGTTTTCCTGATATTTTACCATACAAAAAACATTGTTGGCATTGATGATATGCTGTACATTTTAAACACGTGTACCGTAATCCCCGAATTGGAGTTGTTTTACAAGAAGAGCATCTAATATTATGAATAACTGAAAAAAAAAGAACATCTATAAACTTTATTAAATTCAGAGATAATTACTGTGAAATATGATATATACATACTGTGTTCTGCAGATTTTATACGATTAAATATTGTTATCCAAACAAGCAAAGGAGGTTCTTGCATAATCCATGATGCAAACTCTGATTCAGTTACTCCAAGACATCCTTGGGTCTATAATAAGATATTATCAATTAATTATATGTAAAATACATTTTGAAGTTTCATTTAATTCTACCTTTGAAAAGCAATTGTCAATATGTGATTGAATGTGTTGAGATCCGTATGTTGTACTTTCTCCTAGCATTTCTGTGATTTTGCAAATATTTGTTAACAGTGTACATAAACCAGCTTTAGATAAGCATGCATTATGATCAGCTAATTGTTGATAAAGGTATCCATATTTTTCTTGTAATTTTCCAGAGCTAATTAATACCAAAGCAACTTTTACAGAAAATACAGATACAGTCCTAGTACATTGTCTGTAATTTTGATTACATTTACAAGATCATTTAAATTAGCTAATTTTAATTATCAAATTTAGATAATACATCTATGATAACATACTTATCAAATGTAGTTAATATGTAATTTGTAGCAAGTTTTGTTGCAAAATCAATATCAAAATTGATATTATTTTCTTTACATGCTGCAAAATAGATATCAGAAAGGACATCTTCAACCTCTCTTGGGTCTAGATTTACACAATTTTCTGTAATTGAAAGCCTATGGCGTTCAAAAACACCAGCAATTAATTCCAATTGAACATATTGCACTATAACAAATTGTCATTAATTACAGATAAAATTCACATAAAATATTAAGAAACTATTGACCTTATTGATTTACAATATTATATTAAACTTACTATTAAGTTCTTTATGCAAAATTTGCATTTTTGCTGCAGTTCTATAAGATGTGTGATGAATACCGTTACACTGTTCTATCAATGGTATAATATTCTGCATTTTTATATATTCTTATAACAATTAATATAATAGTGATATCAATGATCACCATAGGTAAGTTCCAATTGATCTTATAATTCTATACATTCATAACTGAATAGAATTTATACAGTCTTTTATTGCAGAAATATAACACTCACACATAGTGTTCATGCTTTCAAACATTTTCATAAAACAGCATAAACCTATAAAATCTAAAAAATGTATATTATTACAAATTAAGAATAAGATTTTATTATTTACCTTTTTCTTGTGATTCATTTAAATTTCATTTCTTAATTCAATATATACAGGTGTGAAATGGAACGTTTTTAGAATTCAAGTCGAACGGGGTCCCAGACACCCCAGTGGATGACACAAAGGGGTCTCCAGTACCCCAATATGGCATCAAGGGGTCACCGACACCCCAGCGTGAAATTAGGTCGGTATGCAGAAAGGGGTCCCCGACACCCCAGGATGGTAAGTCGGTATGCTGAGAAAGCCTAGGTGCTTCGGGGTCCCCGACACCCCAAGATGATAGGTCGGTATACAGAAAGCGCCACTGGTGCTTCGGGGTCCCTGGCACCCCAGGATGGTAAGTCGGTATGCAGAGAGCGCCACTGATACATCGGGGTCCCTGGCACCCCAGGATGGTAAGTCGGTATGCAGAGGAAGCCAACGGTGCTTCGGGGTCCCCAACACCCCAAGATGATAGGTCGGTATACAGAAAGCGCTACTGATACATCGGGGTCCCTGGCACCCCAGGATGGTAAGTCGGTATGCAAGGAAAGTCACCGGTGCTTCGGGGTCCCAGACACCCCAAGATGATAGGTCGGTATACAGAAAGCGCCACTGGTGCTTCGGGGTCCCTGGCACCCCAGGATGGTAAGTCGGTATGCAGAGAGCGCCACTGATACATCGGGGTCCCTGGCACCCCAAGATGATAGGTCGGTATGCAGAGAGCTCCACCCATGGATCGGGGTCCCTAACACCCCGGATGCCATAATGTCGATATGCAAAGAACGTCTCTTGTGCTTCGGGGTCCTCAACACCCCACTATATCAGATCGGTATGCAGTTTCGTCACAAAGAGGTTGAATCTTGTTGGATCTGTAGTGAGTGGTGTTATTGACGTACTTTGGAAGTAAATTCATAAAATTATCTGTAGCGTATATACAACTATATATAAAAGTAATTTAACTCTTTTAACATTGTATTTAAAACGTATTCATTTGAATCATGACTATAATAGATTATGTACAAACTTTGTCTGATAATCCATATTTTGGAGCTGGCTTTGGCCTCTTTGGATTAGGAGCTGGAGCAGCTATATTGCGAAAGGGGATGCAAGCAGGAATGCTATTTTTCAGGTATTGTTCTTATAGAAATTACATTACTTTAAAGTTACATGCAGTATAATATTTAATTTTTTTATGAATGCAGACGACATTATATGATTACTTTAGAAGTTCCCTGCCGTGACAAGAGTTACCAGTGGCTTTTACAATGGATTACACATAAGGGTGCAAAGGAAACACAACATCTATCAGTTGAAACAAGTTTCGAGCAAAAAGAAACAGGTCACATAAAAACTAGATATGATTTCATACCAAGTATTGGAACCCATTTCATTAGGTTAGAAATAACTTATGGCTCCAATACCTCAAGTTACTATAACAGTTATAGAATGGATATACAATATCTAATAGTACTAGTAATAATCAGATCAATAATACATAAATGAAAATGATATACAATGTTGTATTTTTTATACTATTTAACAGATATGCAGGGAATTGGATAAGAGTAGAGAGAACTAGAGAACAACAGACAATAGATATACAAATGGGTATACCATTTGAAACAGTACAACTTACAGCAATTGGGAGAGACAGAACCATATATTTTAACATTTTAGAAGAAGGTAAAATCCTTGCTAAATGTAATACTGCCTTTTCTCTTTGCAAGTAACATTAATAGAAAACTTTCACTTATAGCCAGACAAATGGCCTTAAAAGAACATGAAGGTAAAACAATAATGTATACTGCTATGGGAAGTGAATGGAGGCAATTTGGACATCCCAGAAAACGAAGACCGCTGGATTCGGTTATTCTAGATACCGGAGTTGCGGATAGGATAATAAAGGATTGCCGTGAATTTATCCAAAATCATTCATGGTATAGTGATCGCGGTATGTGAACAGCAATCCAAATTACAGACTCTATAGAGATAAGATTGAAACCAACATTTGTTAATTATATAGGAATTCCGTATAGACGGGGGTATTTATTGTATGGGCCTCCGGGTTGCGGTAAATCGTCATTCATCACCGCATTAGCTGGTGAATTAGAGCGGGGTATATGCGTTTTGAATCTATCGGAACGAGGTTTAACAGACGATAGATTAAATCACTTATTAGCTGTAGCTCCTCAACAGACCATTATACTTTTAGAAGACATCGATGCTGCGTTTCTTAGCAGAGATGAAGCTAAAGAAGGTAGATTGCAAATTTTTCGACAAGAGCGTTGTTGGTTCATTAATAAATACTCTATCTTTTATTACAGTTACAACTGCATATGCCGGTTTGAACAGAGTTACTTTCAGTGGTTTATTAAATTGTTTGGATGGTGTCGCTTCTACTGAAGCGAGAGTTCTGTTTATGACGACCAATTACTTAGAAAGATTAGATCCTGCTTTAGTTAGGCCGGGTAGAGTAGACGTAAAAGAATACATAGGTATATATATGTATAAAAATACGTGGTAGAATTTCATACATGCTGAATATTTATAGTATTCAGTTAGCAAACTATTTTGTTTCAGGTTGGTGCAGTCAGAAACAAGTGGAACAAATGTTTTTAAGATTCTATAGAGATAACGAAAATAAGGCGGAGGAGCTTGCTACAGAATTTGCAGGAAATGTAATGTCACATAAAAAGAACGTAAGCCCTGCACAAATTCAAGGATTCTTTATGTTTTATAAAAATAATCCCAATGAAGTATTAAAAAATGTTTCACATATATGGGAGCTTACGTGATAGGATTAATTATCATTAGGTATTTTAATCATAAATATAGTTTTAGATCTATGTAATTGTTTGTGAATATCCCTTGAATGTAAGAAAGTTTTTTATAAAAACTTATACTTTAAATTAAAGAATATCCATTTTTATGTATAAATTGTACCGCCTTATTATTTTAGGAGAAAGGAACCATACATTAATTCCTTGGCTATAAGTTAAAAATTACACGTTCGTTTTTGTTATTTTTTTATCAACATTGTGTTTCGTGATATTTTCGTTTAGAATACAACAAGATAGAAAAGATAGTTGTTCTTTGTAAGTAGCTTCGTGTATCACTGAATACGTATTTTTAACATATAACATTGAGGTTTTCTAGTGATCATCTTAAAATTGTTATACTTCATGAGAATACTGCATGCAATTATGAAAATATATTAAACTTAACTAGAAGTCTTTTTCAATTCTGGTTGTATTTACTTATTTTGATTGTTAGGGATTGTTATTCGCTCGACGATGACTTTATACATTCTTGAATGAAAATATTAAAAATACTTTAATAAATGCAGTGTATACGAATCTGTATAATATCATCACATATGGTATAACAATGTAGAGAATTGAAAAACAATTTCATGCGATGCGATGGAAGAAGTAACAATTTAAAAATCGGAATGACTAATGAACAAACGATTAATGAGATCCAAGTGTTCTACCCTTAAAAACTCCAAATATACGGTTCGTAATTTAAAGGGTCTGATTGCTCCATGTGTTCCGCGTTATTATTACTTTCAACCATACACGACGGATAGACAACCTCGATATTTCTTTGATTCGACACAGGTGGTACAATAGATGGTGCCAAACGACAATCTGGCCTTTGTTGCATCATTGCACCCATTGGTTGCATCGATTGAGGTGCTGGTGGAGGAGGACCTGTTGATGGATGTGGTTGAGGTTGAACAAGTGGCGGAGGAGGTCCAGGAATATTATGAACAGATTGCATTATATTAGAACCTGAAACATAGTTCGCCACTAAGAAGTGGTATTATGATATCATCCATTAGTTTTCATTCCATAAAACTTGAAACACAATTATATATGGAGATAATGGCAACTTACTTGTTGCAGGATCGTGAAATGGTAAAACGGTGGATTGTTCTGGTAGTATGTCTGCTGTTGGTGGGACTGTTTTTATTGGGTTGGACTCGAGTTTCTTTTTCCTAGTAGATGATCGTCTTTGCATACTACTCGAGGACTGGTCGCGTCTTTTACTACTACCTAATTTTTTCTTCCTTTCACTGGGTATTTTCGGTTTATTGGGTCGATTCCCACTAGGTTGCCAAAGGTGTACAGTATGTACAGCGTTTCCTTCTCTAAAATAGTTGAAAGTTCTCACATTGCTTATGATAATGATGTACCAAAAAATATCTTTCTATTGTTTTTTTTTTCTTTTAATACTAACCCCTGTTTTTTCCCAAGCTTCCAACTATGTATACCAGCTTTATGAAGTCTTTCCCTGATCGTGTCTACGCTACATTTTAATCCAAGAGCAGGAGCAACATGTTTAGCTGCGGTTAACGGTTGTTGAGTAGCCAGAGCGACAATCGCCTCGTCTTGTTCTTTAGTTGTAATTCGTCGACGACCTTTTCTTTCCTTGGTTTGCACGTTGCCTTCTTTATGCCAACGTTCTAACCATCTTTTAACAGTACGTTCCTATTTAATAACGAGCATTGCGTATACGGCTATCCTCGAGATGGTTTTAAATACGTGAATCCGTTCAAAACGAACATGCTTTTTTTTTGCTTACCGATCTGTCGATTGCAAGCGCGATAGACAACGTGGATAAACCCGCCTCGGACATTCCGATCATACGATTTCGAATTTCAACGCTTGTTTCCAATGTTCCTTTTGCTTTCCCACCTTTCTTTTTCCTTTTCTGCCGTTCACTTTTCTCCCCGCTTTCTTTCGATGTATCTACGTCCTGTTTTGATTCGCTGCTAGAAGACTGATTATTATCTTGAGAACTACAGGAATTAGAATTATCGGAAGCTAAATTCGTGCTGATTTGTGGACTAGTTAGTTGAGAATGTAAATGTTCATGATGATGTTGTTGAACGTCTACTTGAGCGTGCCTTTGCTGTTGATCAAGATCGTGGGTTTGATTTGTAATTATTTGTTGTACTTGTTGAACTTGTTGCACGTGATGTTGTTGGTCTTGTGGAGCGTGCAAGTCGTGTTGCGAAGAAGATTCGTGAGGTATTGGATTCGTTTGGCCCTAAAATTTGGGAAAATAAAATTAAAGAAGGTAACAAAAGTATCTGCAACAAGGGATCATGTACAGTACAAACCTGTGGATAGTGGTGACTTCCTTGCACTAAATCTAACGGCCAATTTTGTGAAATATTTAAACCAGGATGTTGATAAATGGGTTGCGTTTGTTGAGCTAAACTCAATGCATTACCAAATTCCGTTTGACTCTGTGATAAAGGTTGTTGGGGTGTCGCTTGAATTTCACTGGCCTGAGATTGCTGAGCATTTTGCTGGGGATATATGAATTCTTGTTGATTAGATGGCTTTACATTTTTTAATGGTGCACCATCTCCAACATATATATCTCTAGCTCTAATTTTACGCGGAGGAATTTTCTTTTTGGCTGTACTGCTGTTTTTGTCATTTTTATTAGAATCTTTGGAAAACTTCTTTTTTCCTAACTGCGTTCCAGTGGGTCTCCACACAGGTTGTTGAATAGCAGTACCATCTGCATCACTGCAAGTAAGAAAACATCATTCATTGTCATGGAATATACTTGAAAATTTAAGTATTTCTGTCTAATTCGGTTAATGTTGAAATACCAACCCAAGTGGAATCCTTTGCATGTATTTACGCGAAGGACTCCAGTTGTGAATTCCAGCTTTGTGTAATCTTTCACGTATAGTATCTACAGAACAAGTTAATCCTAAAGCGGGAAGAACAGCTTTTGCAGCTGTTATTGGTGTTTGCGTGGCTAGACGTACAATTGCTTCATCTTGTTCTGCTGTTGTGGCTCTTTTACGTCCACAACGTTCACGCGTTTCTACTGTACCTTCCTTATCAAATCTATTTAACCACCTTTTCACTGTGCGTTGCTGAAACGATATAACAATTAGAAAAAAGTACATTTTATAATTTGGAAAACAATCATATTTACAAATTTTTGTTTATTTATACAGATTTAGTAAAATATATTTACCGAACAATTTACAGCTGCCGCAATTTCTCTCAGACCCAAACCGGCTTCGTACATTCCTACCATACGATTTCTTAATTCTGGTGTTGTTTCATGTACTCCTCTCGTTTTTCCCATTTTAATTTTTGCTTGAAATTGACTTACCAAGGAAATATGATGAAAAATCAAATCATAAATGTCTGGGAAAATTTTTAAATTTTACGCGAAAAGTGACGTAAGAGTAGAATGCATCACGTGACAATGGCAGTGTCTATCAGAAAGTTTTCCGAAATTTTAATTAGGTAGATCGTTGGAATTGTATTTCTTTTTTCTAGCGCGTGATTTTCAAAATTTCAAGTAACCATCGAGTCACCTTATTTTCCGATTAATGTCCCATGGACATTAATGTCATCATGGACACGTTTCGAAAAATATTTCATTCTTGTTTGTGGCATCGTATCGTGCTAGAAACAGGACGAAATCTTAGCGTCGCCGGAATGAAATTGGATGTTACAACCCACTCGGTTTCATTTAAAAAATTCACCTTTGTAATCTTCTTTCGATCGCAATTGTTCGTAGAATGTTATTGATAATCGACGATGCCTTGCATTTTCACCATTTATACACCTTATATGCCTCGATTTCGACGAAATGCACTCGCTCGAAGAAAACGCTGCAGTCAATACAACTTCGGTTGTACAGTCCGTCGAGATTCTTTTGTCCCCGCTTTGTCTTTCGTGAATCGAATTTTCTATTAGCATCGCTTCCAAGTTGTTTTCCTTTTGTAGAAAAATGTTTGATGAGATGCGATACAGTTATACAAGTGGTCATGTGATAGCCGAAATATCGTAGATTCAAAAATGATTAAGAAAAGAAACACAGCATCGTCAATATTAATTCGGTGAGACTGTACTATCGTGTCATCGTCTGTACAGTCTGTTAAAATTACTTTATTCTCGAAGAAATTGCCTAACGTTAAACTTTCTACTCGTATTAGAGTCGCCCAGATTTGTAATAAAGCTTATTTTTAATTAGTTTCATCGAATACGTACGTTTATTCATCGAAAGATACCAAGCTCGTCTATTGTCAATAGGAAATCACCTGACTGTACGCGTTTGCAGCGGGAAAAGTACAGTCGGTGAAAAGGTTATGTCAAATCAAAATTCGTATCGTTTAACGATATTACGATACTTGACGATATTTAAAAGATACAAATTTCGCAGAAACAACGTCTCTACTCATTAGTCGCGATTACATCAATTAATTATCGACGGAAACGGCAGTGGTCAATAATTTTAACGAGTGACTGTACGAGCGACACGATGTTACACAGGGTTAGCTCGGTTACATTCGTCTACCTTCGCCGGGATTGTATTGACCCACAAAATTGCCCTTATAGCGCTTGCATTTTATTAAATAAATAATACACATTTTGATACGAATATTTTAAAAAATTAAACTTTAAAATCATTGTCCAATGATATGTACGCTTTGTTCTGAAAAATATCGAACGACACAGTTAATCATGCTTTTTCATTCTGTTCATTTAAACGTGTTCGAAGTTTAAAGTGGTCAGACAAATGTTGCAGATAAGCGCAGTACTTTTGCGATCGTAAATGATCAATGAATAGTCACGAAATGGTATATTTGAATTGGCCGGGTGTGTACGAGATAAAAGAGAGATTGCATCGTAAACTGGTAACATCCGCCAATCAAATCTACGTTTATACGTATACTCTGGCCTATTTAACAGAGGATTCAAAAGTTCGTTCACCCTCGATCGGCGATTCGAAAAACATTTTAATGTCGTTTTCGGTATCGCGTCCATTTGTTTCGACATCAAACGTCGGTAACTCTGTCGATCGCACTCTCTTGTAAATTGTTTGGACGATGAAACGTTTTAAAGGGAGGGGAAAACCCGGGCAAGCGATCGATCGATCGGATAAATTTCAAAATCGAAAGATGAGCGCATTTCCCGCGGTATTTCGTTCGTCTCCAGCGGTTGCTGCGACTGATCTGCCTGTTGGCCGGTCGATCTGTGCAACCATAGAGGTTCAGTCGCGCCCTCGCACTTGTCGACACCATCGTCTCTACCGACCACTGACCACCGGACTCCTAGTTTCCGCCCCGGGCTCCAGATAGTCAAGGGAGCTGGATTCATTTCCAGATAGTCGAAAACCTTTTTAAATAAAAGATTCGGGCTCGTGCCATCGCGACCTAAAAACGTAACATCCTTACGGTTCCTCGAGAATCTCATCCACGAAAACGTAAAATCGAAAAACAAATCATGAACATCTTAGTGTTTGTACCGTTGATGCTCCTCTCTTTGATTCATCTGCCGATCGTTTTTTGCGGGGTATGTATTGTTATTTACACGATTTGTAAACAATTTTATATTTCTTACCATTTTCTTCTTTTTTCTCAAGTTTATATATTTTTTTTTTAATTTAATAAATCTACTTTTGTTTTGAACGCAAAGCCTCGATTGAATTTCGATGAAGAAATATCGGGAATCGCGCGCATCCATTCAAGAACGATAAATCCTTTGCATGCAACGAATCTAAATTTCTGATGATATCCGATTTAATATGGAATAAAGCAACGATATTTCGTAGACACGGCCGAGTTTTGTCTCCGACGAGATGATCGCTACCGCAGCAAGCGTAGTGAACGCTTGTCAAACGCAGACTGGAGTGGCGACAGGTAAGATTTTCCTTTTCACCGCTAATGCGATTGTCAGCGAATCGAAGCTCGATTTAATCGTTAGTTTATTTGTTATTTTAGTGGATATAGAGGCGGTAAGGAATGGTCAGTGGCCAGAGAGGCGGCAACTAAAGGTAAATATTGTCGGAAATTAAAGGATTTCCGTGTCGGAAGAGAAAAGAACGATAATATTTGATTCGCAGTGTTACATGTACTGTCTGTGGGAACAATTCGGATTGGTCGACGATAAAAGAGAGCTCAGCTTGAACGGCATGCTCACGTTTTTCCAAAGAATACCGGCGTACAGGGTGGAGGTTCAGAAAGCGATCAGAAAATGCAAGGGGATCGGTAAATATTTCGGTATCTACAGTACATATTTTGTATTCCTTTCGTCCGATCGATCGATCGTGTGTTTTCGAATTTCAATCGAACGTTGCCTCGAGCAACAATGCCATTACACCGTTATTGTTGATTCATTCCCGTCGATTATTTTCGCATTACACGCGATTCATCGACCGCGATCGTTCTACTTGATAACCGACCACTCGATTGCTTTTTTAGCCAAGGGTGATAACTGCGAGTACGCTTACACGTTCAATAAATGTTACGCGGAAGCATCGCCACGGGTGAGTACATACAGTGAGAGGCAAAAGTGAGTAGACCCTGTTCAAAATAGAATACCTTGGTTAAAATTGGACCAAATAAATTGAGATTTTTTGAGAAGCTATAAAAATATGTATTTTCATAGTTTTAAAAAATTACAATTTGTTGAAATTGTGAAGAAAAAATAGTGGATGGTAATTTTTCAACTTTTTTATGCGAGTTTATAATGAAAATTTAAAATATGTCTTTCGTAGATTCAGATAAGTCATGTGTATGCTGAAAATTTCATCGAGATCGGTCAACGCATTTCAAAGTTGTAATTAATTAAAATTTCCGAAAATCGCGATTTTTCATCTAAGAACGTGAATATTTGAAAGTTGAAAAATTATCATTCACTATTTTTTTTAACGATTTCAACAAATTGTAATTTTTTAAAACAATGAAAATACATATTTTAGTGAATTAATTTTTATAGCTTCTCAAAAAACCATAAATTTAACCGAGGTATTCTATTTTGAATAATGTACTACTCACTTTTGCCTCTCGCTGTACAAATCTTCCTCTTTATTCGACAAACGATACTTGCAAACTTTTTTGAACAATCTTCTTTGCGTTGCAGACCTACTATCTTTTCTAATGGATCATCAGGTTCGTTCGATACAGAGGAGAAACGAAACCGAAGTGAGAAAAAGAAAAAAGCGCTGCTCAAAAAGTCTATCTCATTAAATGATTTAGTCTGCAACGTTTTACCGTGTAATGGAACCGTAATCGTATCTGTACTCGTACAAATGTAAACGAGTCTCTGTACAAGACGTTAATAAAAGAAAAAAAAAGTTCCAATTACGTATCTGTCGTTTAAATTACTTTCGTTATTTCACTACTAGCCGAGAGGATTTTGAATAGCGTTTCGAAAAGTACAGTGAAATAAGTACGTAATCGAGGACGACGAAGGGGTCTCGTGACCGCGTACGATATCAAGAGATTGAGGACAAAGAAACGAGCGAATCGAGGTGTCAATGATGCGAAGCTCTGATTGTCTATCCAACCATCAACGTTGATCGCGATTTCCGATCCTATGTTGCTCCCTCCAATTGTCAATTGAGGTCGTGTGCTCCAGGACACGTGGAAATTGAACGGCTTTTGTACGAATAACACGCTTAACTGACCAACGCCCAAACTACCTCAGGTTTCGCTTCTAACATTTCCTACCAAGTTCTAGACTATGTTAGGGTCTGTTACGTTGGAATAAACATTGCATCGTTTACGAAATGAGTCTACAATTACGGTGCACGCGATTTCGAGACGAAGATTATAGTGGCATAAGGAACGCGAGTTAATTAAGCGGTATTTTGCACCTGTCGCGCGAACCTCCTTCAATTTCGAATCGACTCTATATTTTTCTTACATTTATTACCCCTGTATTTATGCTAAATTTTCTGTTCTCTTCGAATCGGAAGTCTTTTACTCCTGTAATTAGCAATGCCTGAACGAAAAAAAAAAACGTTTTCATTGCCGTTTAGCTGAGTAAGATAAGTGGAATGCGCGACATAAAGTACAATTTTGATTAATCGTTGATTCGAAGAGGTACTAAACGCGTGGTCAATTTACCTGAGGTCGCGTGCATATAAATCCCTTGAATCACCGACGGCGATACAGTCTATCGACGTTTTCGATCGTGGCAAAGCGCAAACTGATCGGTAAGAAGCATGAACGCATCGAAGCTTTGGCTGCTCTTAACGTGCCTCGTCGCCTCGGGAATTATTTTAATTCATGCTGGCTCGGTAAGTGAAATATTTCCTCTACTGTCTCGCAAACATTTTTATACGCAATTTAAACGGTTCGCAAGCTAGGCTGATCCCGCCGATTTTCGGAAAATGACCGCTGGCGTGAGGAAGAAATGTATCGCGGAAACGCAAACGACGCTCGGTAAGCAGATAAGCATATCATGCAAAAGATCTTACAATTACAACGTAACAATTTTTATTATTCCAGAGGATGTTGAAAACACTGAATACGGACACTTTCCCAATGACGTACGATTAAAATGTTACTTCAAATGTGCCCTCGAAAAGTTTAAATTGGTAAAGTATAATTATAAATCATCTTTGCTTATCAAATAGAAAAGTAGTCACTCTAGGAAATTTGTCTGATTCAGATGGACAATGACGGTACCATAAAATACAATATGATTAAAAAAATCATACCGGACGTTTACAGAGAAATAGCCGACGAGATGATCGATAGTTGTACCGATAGCTGTAAGTGTTTTAATATGACTCGTCGTACAGGCACGCGAACGCACACTCTTTAATTATGAACAGTTACACTTTTACTGAAAATGTTATCAATTTTTTTAGCCAAAAAGGACAAGTGCGAGAAATCCTTTAATTTTATGAAGTGCATGTTCGAAGTTAATCCCATAGTAAGTGAAATAATCTAATTTTCTATGTTCCGTTTTACCAAAAAAAAATATGTTCCTGTCTTTTCTTTTTTAGGCTTTTATCGCACCATAATGATTGCTCGTAACGAGTTTGTATAATTAGAAAATATAATGAAATAAAACTATTGTAGATTATAAAGCACATTTGTCGTAGTTTTATTCCAAGTGGATACCCTCTGTAATCGGGCGATAATTCGATTCATTTAAACGGCGCGAAAATCTGATACAATATTCTATTGTTCATTAGTTTGTTTATCAGGACGAATCAATAAAATGCCGATCACGTTTTACGCGGTTTGGTTTTCCTTTTGTTAATGTTCATTATTTGTTCAACGATGATGTCGTCGGTTCTCGGGTCGATAGGAACCGCTTGCATCGGGGCTCTGGTACTCGGAGCCGGTTTCGACCACCTTTCGACCAAAGCGCTCAACCATAACCACAGTTTCTCGCGATTAAAGAACGCGATTGTAACGAACATGATAAAAGGTAACGCGACTATGGACGTTTGATTCATGTCGCTTTGATCTACTTTCCGTTCCGCGTTGAACGTCAGTTTCACGTACTTGAACGACGAGTTTGCTTCGAAATAAAACGGCACCGTTCTGTACTTGTGTAACGTATGAGACAACGAAGACTCCAACTGTACAAAATACTTTCTACCGTCTGCTTGCAACGGCGGCAGATGAACAAGAAAACCAGCGTTGTAAGCGCTACCGATCTTACTAAACTGTTGAGCCTCTAACTTAGCTGTGTGTATAGGCGAATCGGGCATATCTTCTCTGCAGAGCTTTACTTTTAACGTACGATAGTGCTCCGGTTGCACGGATACAACGTGCACCGAGACGTCGGTTCGTGGTATCGGATGGAACACGACCAAACGAAGACCCCTAATGTCCGTCGAGGTTTTGATTGTTATAGACTCCGGACTGGTGCGCTGAATGTGCGCATTAACTTCTGCATTCGGTTTCAGCCGGAACACGTAAGTACACTAGACATTGGAAAGAAACGAAGATTAGATATCGGTAATGATGCTTAGACAAAATAAACCGCTTACTGTAGGCTGAAGTCCCCTGATTCGAAAGTTGCCATTTTCCTCGGTGGTCGCTTCTTCTTGAAGATGATCGCAATCTCCCTGACCTTGAATTTCCACCAACAAACCAGCTTCGGGTTCTCCGTTTAAAGAAGTCACGGAACCGTACGCGCTGAACGCGACTCTTTTACCGAAAAGATTCACTTTCACGGTCGCACCTTCCACGACTTTGATCATCTTCGAAGAAGGATCGAAACGATACTCCTTCATCATCGGTCTTAGATAATATTCGCCGGGAGAGAGAGAGTGGAAAATCAATTTTCCATCTTCGCCGGTTACGCTGTTCTTTCGGTAACTTTGTCCACCAGACAAGGATAACAAAACACCCTGTATTAGAAGTATAATAAATAAAGTAAAGCAATTGTTTCTTTCCTAATCATTCACCCTCGAGTTTTGGTTTAAAACGTACCTGCAACGAAGCATTGTCTGCTTGATCAGAAACCTGTACGATAATTTCAGCCAACTTGTGAGCTGAAAATATTCCGTTGGAATCGGGTCCTGTTATCACGAAACCTTCCTTTTCTGCAGTGACACTGATCAAAGGAAATTATGAACATTAGAAATCTTAAAAGCAAAAAAAATGAGTATGCATACCTATATTCTATTTTCCCATCTAAAGGACCAACACTGTATATTCCATCCTTTTGCGTAACTATTGTGTGAATAGGTAAACTTTTATCGTTTCCATATATTTGCACGGTAACTCCTTCTAATGGTGGATTGACTCTACCAGCAATGATCTGTACGATAGACAATATTCTATATTCTGATGAACTGGACTATTGATTGCAACAAATAAAATTACCTTTCCCATGTCACCGACAAACGTGGCGATGTCATTCTGACAGTCATTCACACCTAATACTTTCAACGACGGAGGAGTAAAGAGAAGAACGTCCGACAGGGGTGTTATAGCGTAAACGTTGTCTGTCTTTGCCTTGAACTCGAATTCGTATTTATACGCATCCTCCTGGCGCACCGATTTTAATGGTCCAAGTCTGTTCATTAACGATTATGAAAAATATGTTAACGTGTTTTCAGAACATCTGAAATTGAACAGGTGCTTGCTTACGTCATGACGTCTCCTGCATTTTCGATCTTCACTTTAATTCCATCTGACAAGGAACCACTTAAAATGCTTCCTTTGTGACTGTGTTCCGTTGAATGCAACATAACTGGAGAAAGAGCATTGGTGTCCCACGTGTACGAAGTTTTGTCGTAAACGTGACAACTTTTCGGGACGAACGTGTACGTTCCAGGTTCGGACACGCAATGCTTCGTACTCCCTTTGCTTAAAGGTAAAGTTAATTTCTTTGCCTTTGGATCGTTTGGTTCCGAGTACTCGACGATAGTATCGTGAGAAGATATGAAGGTAACGGAGAATCCAGTCTGTTGGAAGGGTGGTAATTCAGCTCGCTCCGAAGTTACTGAAATCCTGTAACTTGGACTTTCCCAGCAAAAGATGTCGTTATCTATCAAGACTTCGTAATGACCGGGTAACACGTCCGTGAACTGATAACGGCCATCTGTGTGATAAAAAACAACTTCACAGGCGACACAGTAGTACCAAATAGACTCATAGAACAATATTGCCATAACAACGAGAACGCGCAATATAATCTGTTATACTTCGTATGAAATTGTTACTTCGATTCTATCCACGAGTGCTCGTTATTACAGCTCCGACAGAAAATAAGATTGGAGCGTTAAGTAATGCAAGTTCATAAATGAACTAAATTCTTACCCTTTGATTGAATCGTTTTTACCGTAATCCCATCAAGTACCTTCAGCGTGACAGAAGCTTGACTGCAATCGGTTCCAGCTAAACATTTCACCGTGCCTGTTAGCGTTGCTTTTAATTGTAAAAAGTTAACGTTCTGCACCGGTTGAGATGACACGTCGATCGTTTGTTGCAGTGGGAAAAATCTGTGAATTTGTGTCGGTCAGAAGACATCGCTGGATGATCAGGTAGAAGAAGTAATAGAGTCCACTTACTGGAGGCCTTCGGCTCTTTCTTCGGCACTCACGACAACGCTCAACTGATACCTGTCGGGGGCGAGGTACAAGCAAAATTCTCCTGTTCTCGGGTCTGTATCTATCTCTTTGTTAAACGTAGCGGCGATATTCTGTATGGAAACTTTACGATGGTGTAGAGTTCCCTTTGCTGAAAGGGTAACTTTGCCACAGACTTTATACGCTGCTGGTATTAGAACAGGAAGTTCTGGAGAACTGGGAGAGATCTTAACTGATACTTCATTGAACATCAAGTCTTCTGTATATAGGAAATTATACAAAATACAAAATGAACCGCTTGAATAAGAAAAATGAGTAATTAGAAAAATATTCTGTATATACCGCTTTCAGCTTTGAGAGTATATTGGCCAGCTTTCATATTATCCAATACATATTTTCCGTTTTTATCCGTGGTGGCGATTTCCTTTTGCGAGAGTAACACCTTTGCTCCTGCTAAAGGATCTCCATCGATGGCGGTACGAACGATACCGTTTACAGTGAAGCCAGTTACTTTGAATCCTTGACGTAACACCACGCTACTGTGGCTCACTTTGAATGACAATTCAGATGGTTGTACATCGAATTTAGTTTGGGCACCAGCGTAATAAGGAACAAGTTTATATTCGCCGGGCGACAAGCTTGGAAACACGAATTTACCAGTTTTGTCCGATACAACGTGACAAAGAGGTTTCTTAAGCTCTAGGTCTTTACTGACGGGCGTTGTAGCACAATTTTTAGCTACACCATTCTGTATTGAAATTAGTAGATTAGATCTGATTAGATTTGGGTGTTAAAATAAATAAAAATATGAGAAGGGATCGGAATCTTACACCGAAAAGAAGGAATGTTACGCCGCTTACTGCTTCTTCTTCACTGGTAACTCGTCCACTTACGTCATATCCGTAAATTACTAAGCTACCATCTGGAAGTTCTGTGTTGCCTTCTTGCACTGTTACTTTGACAGTACCCGTTTTTATCATCCAGCTGAAATTAAAATTAAAACGATGATATTTTTAATAGTATAATTAGATTCAAGGATTCATGGAACTTACACAGGATGAGATGCAACAAGAACATATTTTCCATGTTGTAATGGAGTGAAATAAAAGATACCACCTTCTGTAGTAACTGTTGTACCAACAGGTACTTGTAAGTTGTCTTCTTTATACAATGTAACAGTAATACCTTTAGGGCCAGAGTCTGATCCTAAACTGGTAACCTAAAGTATATTAAATTCTTAATCATATGGAGAGGCTAGGAAATGATCTTTTCAAAAACAATTATAAAAATTAATTTACCCTGCCTGTGATACCGAAACCTTTAAAAGTAAAGTTAATATCTTTGCCTTGACTGCATGCATCTGTGGTTCCATCCACATTCAATAAAATTTCTGTAGGCTCAAAGCTCCATCCTTTGGGTGGATCTACCTAATTGATTGAATTACATAATACTATCACTATTCATTATCTATTTCTTTATCGAATAGACTGGTGTCAGACTTCAGTTACCTTTAATATGTATTCTCCCTTGTCATATAAGGGGAGAAAATAATAACCATTATTAGGAGCACACTCTGTATAGTCCTTAAGACTACCAGCTTTTGTGTATCTAAAATGAATAAAAATTTAAGTCATTATTGACAGGTTTAATTTAAACATGTTACGTGATTTGTCAGTAAAAGGGAACTGATTATACTACTCACAATTTTATCTGAACTTTTGAGAAATCAATCTCGGCATGACTTTTTAAAAATCCACCACAGCCTAAAATATCTTCGGCGCTACAATACGCTATTAACATGCAAAAATAAAATAAATTAAGAGATATTGTTCGTTTCATGTTTATCTTTCTTTCCTAACATTTATACACGCTGCCAGCGAATAACGTGTTCACGGCAATGATCAAATGACTTGTGTTACATGCTGCGCGACCACAGCGACACGTAGTTTTAATAAACGAAAGCCTGTGAGTTTGAGTGGACACGTCTTCGTCCTCTAAGTGTCAGTATTTTGGGGGTCCCTAACACCCCCAGATGAAAATAATCCTGCCTGTTTTACCGTCCCCCTTTTTAACAAAATCGCGTTCTCCATTATCGATTGAAGTAAATGTACTATTTCGGTGCATGCGCATGCGTTATACGATTTAAATGTTGCTTAGCTGTTTACGTGAAAGATACGTTTTGAAATTAATTCATAACGTTTGATTGTTTGCAAAAACGATACACGTTTGTTCAGAGAACGTTCAGGTATCGTTAACTGTTGCCACTAATTTGAGTATGTTTGTGTAGAAAGTGTATCATTTTGCGAGAGTACGAATTGACGGTCTGTAACATAACCTCAACTGATTACAATATTATTAAAAGTAATTATTGGATAAGAAGGAAACAAAGTTTTGGGAAAATGGTGAAGATATCGTTGCAAATAAAAGTAACGCTAGAGAATATACAAGAACTTAGACCAGCGGGACCAGAGTTCAGATGGTATCTGAAGGTCTGTTGCAGCAATTGTCGTGAGGAATCAGAAAAATGGGTTTACATGTCTTTGAGCGAAACCGTTCCATCTCAAAAAGGACACGCGGTAAATCATTTTGTGAACAAGTGTAAACTCTGTAATCGTGAGAACACTTTGACGATTTTGGAAGATTCTGTAAAACCGTTTGTCGTAAACGATACCGATGAGCATCTAGAAAAATTTCAAACGATCGTTGTATTCGATTGCCGTGGCCTCGAACCCTCCGATTTTTCGCCAAGAGCAGGATGGGTTGCTAAAGCGGTAGACAATGGAAAAGAATTTACGGACGTCGATTTATCCGAAGGAGAATGGGTTGATTACTGTGATATAATTAAACAGCCTGTTGGCATTTACGATATCGAGTACAGATTCGAAAGAATGAAACCGTTAAATCATTAAAACCGATGTTTTATGATTAAGAGACTGGATGCAATGTATCTATTTAGTATGTAAGAATTAGGAAGTTTGCATTTCTATTTGCTCGTGTAATGTTTCATGTTTCATGTTTTGTATAGCTTCAGTTCATATTCTATATACTAAAGCGTGTTTGTAGATACATGTATCTATCTAATCGCAATTACTTTTGTTTCTTTATAAGAATTGTATGAATGTAAAAGCATTGAAAATACAATTACTTTGCATACATATTTTTCTGTTTGCATTCTGTAAAAATCATCAAGTTCCTATAAACACAACGAACCGCACTATTTTTACTAGCGTTTAAAAACGAACACATAAAACTATGGAAGCCTGTCTACATGTAGCATTCCCTACAACTAGAACAGATACACGCATGTTTCCAACGACGTAATATAATTTATTCATAATCATATAAAAAAAGACCATTTAATCTTATAAATGGTTTAGTACACAGAAAATTTGCAACAATATCGTGTCCCGTTAATGTTAATTCGAAACTGTCGATCATATACCCTGCACAAATGTAACCAGATGACTAGCAATGCTTGTTAACAGGGGAACAGTTTGAATGTTTCATTCGCTAACCATTCGACGAGTCATCGAAGATTTCAAGCAAGACTACAACTCTTCATTTACATCTTCGGAATGTCTCGATCTACTTAATCAGCTAAAGTAATGAGAAATCATAGTAATAATAATAATATGAATAATAGTAATTAATAACGGTAGTAATGACACTATAGTAATCGTCATATCGTTTACGTGGAGCGTTTAAAGAAAAAAAAAAGTAGATCTCTATTCGATTAAAAACTAAGTATATGTACAGGCATTGAGTATAAAAAAAAAAAAAGAATTCATCCGAATCACGGTGCACCGTGATGGATGGCACGAAAACGTTCCACGAGTTACGTCGATAACTCTTAAAACTGGCTATGCAAGTTGTAATCACAGTTTTCAACGAAACCAGCGAATAAATCACAAAGAGGGATGATGGTTTCCATAAAACGGCTGTAGATATAAACAGTTGTTTAGTTCGATAATAATCAGCTAGCTAACTAGCGCACTAGTATTTTTTTTCTACCACTATTGTCCTCTAATTATTTTCATTTACTACGGTGTCTCTAGCACATCTAACACAAACATAAATATCGTGCGCGTATTACGAATCGTCGTTCTCGATGAACTGTTTTTAACATATAAATCACATGTAAATAATCGTCATTGAACGCTTACGTCTAACAATAATATCGATAACACTATCAGTCTATTCTCGCAAAAATATCACTGTGTTTTTCAAAGTATTCATTCTATCACGTCAGAGTGAAATTTCCGCGAAACGTTCGTTAACAAAAGAGAAATAGAAAAAAAGGAGGAAAAGAACGTTGGTAACGTTTTTACGTACGATTTACGATAAAGAAAAATGAAAGTTTCGCAGCGATCGACTCTGACGAGTATTATAATGGAAGATGACGATTTTTCCACGTAACGCGATGTTTCTCTACGAAACTGAAAGGAAAACGATACTAGCAACAGCTGTCTAATAGTACGAACTCGTATTTAGCGTATTTAGCTGATTCAACTAAACGGCTCTCTAATGCTACCGTGCTAGACTATTATCTTTGGTATACTAACGGGGAAACGTTACGTTTCACCGACAAAATCGACTACAAATTTGCCCCTAGTCCGTTTACCGTGGCTCTCTTCTTTCGATAGTACGAATTACCAAGTAGAAATAGGAACATTACGAGTATGTGATATACGTGAGATGTAAAGCGTGTATTCTCGATGCGAAGGAAAACTACGCTATCAAACGTTTCAACGAAAATAGATAATCGACTCGATAGAGGAGAAAGATCAACGCGGTATTCTAATTAATTTTGTCTCATAAACGAATTAAGGAGAATAGATCGCGAACAGATTGCTTGGTCGTTGAAAGAAAAGGAACGGAAGAACGAAGAGCGGGGAACAGATCGCGAGAGAACGATACTCAGAAAATATTTAAAATTCTGAATTTTGAGTCTCTTACCGTGTAGACAGGCAGAAAAATAGATCGATTCCCTTCTAAACGATTTAGGTAGAGATTCAGCTATGCTGCGCACCGTTGATTCCCGGGTGTCTCGATTTTCGAGAAGATCACATTATTAATTCGGTTACAACGTTACACGAGGAGAGAAGGAGAAGGAGAGCAATCGATTATCCTCGAGGATAAAAATCGAACCGTTTCCCGAAAGAGGACTGGGGTACCAGTCGATTACCGTTTCCCGCCACCTCCTTGTTAACCCCTCGCCATCTTGTTTCGTCACGTAACAAAGCTGTACGTTCCTCGATCGCTAATTCAACGAGGAGGTTCAAGGTAATCGGTTGGTCATCACCGGTTCCAAGCAAGTTTGCTTCAGAGTCGCTGATTGATCCTCGAGGCTTCGTTTCAGACCCTCGATGGTTTGCATCAACATCTGTCTTCGCAATTGCGACAGTTGGTGTTGGAAGATCTGCGAATCCTGAGCGTTTGCGTTTGCAGTTAATCGTTCCTGCCGCAACCGAGCTACTTTTTCCCTTAAAGATCGCCTTGAGTCGTCTATCGTGGAACAGCAAACAGTTTAACAGATTGCAAGGAAATCCTTAATTAATTGAAGAGATTACGTACCGGTATCGTCGGTGGCAGTGTCGCCGTCTGAATTTCTCAGCACCACCTGTTCTCCCAACGTCTTTTGAATTCTATCGTAAGTAGTGCTACCAGCGTACACTTTCCTTTTAACCGGCTCGCTTTGCGGGCAATAGGAAGAAGCTTCTTTGATAGGGCCCATATCGATCGACCTGTTAAAAGAGCATAAAGTAATACGTTTATTCATTTCTGAAAGAAATACGGCAAGGGTTAAAAGTCACCTGAAAGTCATCAGAGGTGCCCTTCTTCTAACATCGCATTTCTCCTCAGAGTCCGACGAGCTCGAGGTGACTCCCTCCTCTTTACCGGACAATTTCGAGACGCGACAGTCTCGATTCGAATCGGAGGGGTCTCTCTGAGCCAAGATAGCGCGAGCTCTATTCTGTATGCAAACCTGAGAACGCGCAAAAGGTGCCTCGAGGTCCGGTCGAAGGATACCATTGCAATTCAAAGGCGTCGCTCCTCGTCTTCCTACGTTACGTTCTTCATTGTCCTGCTGTTCGGAAACTTTGGACCTCGGATAGCGAAGAAGGCTGTTAGTAGGCGAAAGTCCAGGCGACGTTCTTCTCGAGGGAAGCGGAGAGTCTGGCGAACATTTAATCGGCACCGTTGCGTCCTGTCTATTGTAAGGGTTGTCATTCAAGTGGAATCCGGTGACGGGAGACGTGTTTCGCTCTACCAGTCGACGCATCGGGGAATTAGACGGAAGAAATTGTCTCTTGGGACTGGTGTGCTCTATATCTTTGATGCTACCGCTTTGTAACTCTGGTTGGGAGTTCCTGCTCTTCGACAGAGCAAGCTCGATATTCAATTCGGTGTTTTTAATCAGCTCGACGCGTTTGTTTGCAAGGCCGTTGTGAAATTTACGAGAAGGCGATGGAACTATCGGTACGCTGTGTTGATTCTTCTGCATGTTCACCAAGATATTCTCCGCCTCGAGGATCAGCTCACGGTACTTTTTATCCGCTTCCTTGTCCGCCTCCATCAAAGCGATCTCCGAAGCGAACGTGGTCATGTAAGCATTGCCGCCTATTCGTCGCCTCACGATGTTACCATTCACGTAACTCACCTATGAATAGGGGAGAATTACAATAGGATTACAAGAACAGTTAAGAATAACAATGAAGTTAGCGCTTTTCGCATATTTACAGAATTGGAACGTCTTTTGACGATCTCCTCGCTATCGAGGCCGGTGATTCGAGCAACCGATCGTTCGTCGTTCGATCTCATAGGCGACAGATTCTTATTGACGTCGTGTTTCCGGCGACGAAGACAGATCGGCGTGCCACCGACGCTTCTGCTACCCTGATTGAAGCCCGAATTCTTCAACAGCATTCTCTCCACCAGCACGCGGTTCAGATTCGCCGTCTCCTCTTCGTCCTCGTCGTCATCGTCGTCGCCTTCGCCAATTTCCTCGTTACCGCCACGGCCAACGTCCCGTTTCTCCATGTTCGATTTACGACGCTGAGAAATTCTCTTCTTGCGTTTTTCGCCCTGTTGTTTCTCGTCCACCTTCTTGTATCGCGCGCTTTGCCTCTTGGCGCTATTTTTCACACTGATCGACCTAAAAACAGTAACCACGTTGTATCGATCGTTCAACCTCGCTAAAAAAAAAAAAAGGAGTAATTGATCTGCCTCACCTTTGAAGCATCGTCGCATCGTCCCTGTTTCTGCGTCTCATCAACGACTCCCGCAATTTGCTGCTCCGTCGAGCGGGCTCACCGGTGAACGCAAAGTAGGTACAATGGCCGGTATTGGTAAAGGGCGCGGAACAGTCAAGATTGTCGAGATCGAGGAACGAGGAGCCGTTATCGATATAATCGAAATCGTCGTTTTCCAACGGATCGTTCTCGTCGCCGGCGTCTCGCGCGGCGTCCGCGTCCGACAGCGAGTCGATGTAATCCTCGCAGTCGGTCGGGTCGCTGTCGGATAATATGTCCGTCTCTTTCTCGTACACGTAACTCTCGTCGAATTTCCCCATCATCTCGTTCAACGTGATATCGTCCTCGGACGATCTGACGCTTCGCGTCACCGACGAACCGGACGAGCCGTTACCGTTGCCGTTATCGTTACTGCTACCGCTATGGTTGTTGTTGCTACCGCTACTTCCGTTGCTGCCGCTACTGCTGCTACTGCGACTGCTGCTGCTGCTTCGCCGTTGCACCGACAGAGATATCTTTGGACGAATCTCCAGCCCGGACGCTATTCTCCAATTATGATTTATCCTGTTACAAAGAAGAAGACTTTAAAGAAACGCGAAAATAAATAAGCAAGTAGAGAAGAAAGGATGTTCGAGGGTATTTCAACGACACTAACGGACTTCTTCCAGCGCTGAGGCTCTCTTGCTTCAGATCTCTTCTTGCGAGACTCTCTTTCGCGCTGTTTACGTTCACGTCGCTGGCGCTACCCGAAGATTCGGTTAATTTCAAGCCAGAGCCGCTGCTGGTATCGTCCAGATTCAGTCTGGACTTGAAGCCGTTGCTACTGGAGCCGGACGAGTTGGCCGAAAGCCACGGATTAGTTCGAATTCGAGATCGTTCCCGGGGCGACTGGACCGTGGGCGAGAGCAGCGGCGGTGGTATAGACGAGGGTACAGCTTGGTTGCTTCTCGACGAGTCCGCTGAAAACGACTCGGTCCGTCGATGGTACCTCTCTTGTTGCGTCTGTGATTGCGCTAGCTGTTGCTGCTTCGGTCTCTGCTTTCCCAGACGTTCGCTGCTCTGTTTGTAACAAAGTTAACGATCACTCGCGATTGTTCCGCCGCTCAAAAGGGAGACGGATCGATCGTTTCCGGTTGCCCTGGCCAGCCTGCGTCCCTCTTTTCGCTCCTTTTTTGCGAACGATCGATCGGAGGAGATAGAGAGAGGCAAGGTGGCTTTCGAAAAAGTACAGCATCACCTCTGAAAGTGGCGCAAAAACGTCTTACCATTTTCAGAAGTAATCCTGACGAAACTTGGGAAAAGAAACGAAGTCGCGTTAAATCGACGTGACGTGCCTCGTTAGGGGTGCTGGTGCGAAGGTCTCTCGAAGGGTGATCGGTGTCTCTGCTGGTCATACTAGCGGAGAAGGACGGTTCGACGCTGTCGTCGAACTTCCCATGTCTCGAGTTTAGTGCAGCAGGCGGTTGATCCGCGGCGTCGATCGGCCTCTTTGGTCTGCCGTTGGCGTTCGCGGTACCTTGGACGCCGTTGCTTTGAAAATAATGAGTTCCGGTACGGATGTTGATGTAATATTCGGGGGGATAACTGGTTCCAGGCGAGGTACCGTCCGTCGAGTATCCGGTGCTGTACGCGCTTTCCGGAGAGGATAGATTGACGCTTGCCGTGCCGGCGGACGTGGCCGAGGAGGTGGTGACGGTGCCGCTGCGGCTGCTGCTTCCTTCGTGCAACCGGATTCCGTCCACGTTCTTCGTCGGCGAATCCACCGGATGAACCTGCAAAACGTCCGTTCGTATGATATGTTTGTTTTCGCGCGTTTAGCGAGCGAGGTACGGAGTAAAATTGAAGCGAGGCTCGTCGCCAGGGACGAATAAGTAGCGGCAAGTGGCGGTAAGAGATAAAGGGTGGAAGAGGGCAGCCGGTATTCGTCTAATTGGATAGCCAGGGCCCGGTAGAGGAAAACGAGCTAGTCGGAGAGAGGAGAAAGAAGAGGAAAAGCGGCTCTTTCAGCGGTCACGAAACAACGAAGCCAATTCTCCACAGCCCGTACCTCTTCTTTCTCCTCCTTTTCCCTGTTCTCACCCTTATTCTCGCAGACTCGTCTCGTTTTAAGGGCAGAGCAAAAAAGCTGCGCGGAGAAAAGGTCGACGCGAGACACCTAGGTACCGCGCGTAATTTTCGCGCTGTTCTCAAATTTTTTCTTACAAATCTGCTGTTCGCATCGGCCGGGAACGAAAGGGTAAATACTGACTTGATGCAATCCAGGAGATCTGTTGCCGGCGTAGTTTCTGGGAGAGTTGCAGTTCGAATCGAACCCCTTGTCACCCTTCTTCCTGTCCTTCTTCTTTTTCGATCGCACGATGTGTGCCTCCATCCACGTGCGAAATTTCGTCCCGAACATGTTGAGCGATGTTCGCCGTACGATTCGGCAAAGATTGCCTTAGTCGGAATTAGCCGATCGGAGCGAAAGAACTTTCCGCGTTCGTTCGTCCAGAGGCTGCCAGTCCTCTTGCTCGATTCCCGATCAAACCCCGCGATCTATACGCGGCCACGCGTCCATTTCGTTACCGATCGATTCGGTTCGCGCGCGGACCGACCGGCTCAGAACTCGTTGCCTTTTTTTACTCTTCGAGTGCCGCAGCTTCGAATCTCGCCAGCCAACTCGTCAACGTGTCAGCGTGTCAGCGTGTCAGCCGACGCGCGTTCAACTCCTCCTCGCGCCATTCCTCGACCATCCGAGCCAACGAATCTGAAACAGAAGAGAAATCGTAGTTTCGCCCGACGATCGCGGAGGAAGTCGTCGGTGTCGTGTAAGACTCTCCACCGACTGACTCACGCTCGCCTATCTTTGGAGAAGATTTTTCGCCTCGCGCTCCTTCGTGACGCGTTGTTCGTTCGCGAAACTCAAACGATTCCCTCCTCCATGGAAGAAGCTTGAAAATAGCCTACTCCGTTCGTTGATTTCGCGTTTGATCTCCGGCGACGATCGTTCCGGACGAACGATTATAAAGCGGGAAAAATAATTAATCAAAGAGGAACGCGTTTGAAACGTATCCGAAAGAAGGGAGAAGGGTCGTAGGTCGGCATTGATCGACGTTCCACCGAGAGCGAGCGAAAGTGTTTCTCTGTGGCGACAGGTAGGCTCAAAAGGAAAAACTATGCAAGGGGGAGGAAGAAGAAAGGGAAACGACGAGAAGGAAAGATTTTCGTGGGAACAAGGGAAAAGCGTCGACGTACGCGAGACGCTAATTAACAGGGAATCCAGCGATCGAGAGCGTCCTGGCGGAAATTTGTCGAAAGAATCGTCGAGCCGAGGGAAAGAATCGAAAGGTTCGCGTTTGTTCCTCATTGTACGACCGTCTTTTCATTGTCTACTTTATAAACGACGAGGTTCGAAGGCGACCGGACGAACTAACGAGAATCGAAATGAAAAGAAAGAAAGCCGATACAATGGCTATTTAGTAACAAGGAAGATATGTACAAGCGTCGACGCTTGACGCGTTACCCAATGGTTGCAGATGGATTAGATACGGTTAAGTCTATTGATTCGGACCAAATACGTGGAATACCTGATTACTGGGTTACCCACTAGGTATCTGGGTGGACAAAGATTATCTAGCTACCTGGATATCTCTAAGACAACTTTACTTTCCTATTTTTCCCACGGCAGTTAGGTGACGCAAATTCTTAAAAATCATCTGCAATTAGCCAAGTTCACCGGTTTTACCCGTGAATTCGTGTTCGCGCTAGTCTGTCCGTTATCGATCATCGAACCAAACGTATTTACGACCTCTTCTCTCAGTTTCCCGTCGACCGAATGAAAAAGTAATTCGATCACGGCGTTGGTCGGAAATGGAAAGCTTCGGCGACGCGAGTGACAACAGGTCGTCGAGAAGGTTTGGTCCACGGTGATCCGGAGAACATCCCCGTCGCGACGCGTCACGTCGGCTGACGTTCTCGCGAACGAGGTGGCAAGCCTCGGCCCCGAGAACAAAAAGGGTAAGCATCGAGATAAGCAACGGATCGAGTCGCGGGACGGCTGCGGCAGAGGAAGAGGCAAGGCAGAAAAGGGTTGAGAAAAGGAAGGGTAGGAAAGATAGGCGCGAGCGGCTAGCTGCTAGCGGAAGATGAAAGGGTTCGATTGAGCACCCCTGGCTGGCCTGCTACGGCAGGGTAACGTTGGTCGTCATGGCAACCCTTCCAGCTCTCTCGCCCTAGCCAACCCCCGGGATCTACGAGCCTCAGTGATCGATACCTTTCCACTGTCCGTCCCGATCTATCCTCGATCCTCGCGAATCACGATCGATCGCTGCGCTTCACGCGTCCCGCTGCGCTGCGGTGCATACACGGGTACAGGCCCTTCGTTCCGGGCCGTGTTTTTCATCGAACCATCGTTACGCGATACTTCCCTCATTTTTCTATTATTTTTCTCGCAACAGACACCAGTCGTAGGACGAATTAACGGGCTATAATTGGCCCTTGAATAACGCCGAATACACCGGTAATTAAAATGAAATTATGCGACGGAATAAAAAGTTGTTGAACAAAGAAAATTCGCGTATAATTTCCTTATAATATTATTCCTTGAAAACGCGGTAAATCCTCCCTCTCTGGCACCCGAGTTTCCTCGAAGCGTTTTCCCTTCTCAGCAACCTTGCGAGGAGGTGCGAAAGCCAGAAGCGATAAACACCTGGTACTGCATTCTCAACGACGACTAGCATAGTTGCATAGCTGTCGCCATACGTTTAAATTATAGTGACAAAAAGCAAAAGGGAAAAATTTTGCTTTCAGCAGTTTCATGGGATCGAAAGCGTGAAATCGCTGGAGGCAGTCAGTGATACATAAGCTAGCGCGCGATGCAAGTTCGGAAAAGGGAAACGTTTGATTTTTGATTTCACGGATCGACACCGGTCCGGGATCCTTGGGCGCGACGTTTCAATTTGACGAGGGGTGGAAAACGTGCAGGTCCGTTCGGTAAACGTTCAGCCCCCGGCTCGATTTACATTTTCGTTAATTTCGTTGCTTCGATACAGTCGGACGGTGACAATTTCACCGTCGGCTCGCGCGGACGTTAATTGCACGCGACGAGACGAGACGAGAGGAGCCGAGTCGAGTCGAGAGGAAACGCGGATATCGGAAATCGCGCGACAGAAATACTATTTGCTCTGGCGCGTGATCGACCGGAGTAATTAAAAGTTGCCGATCCCCCGACTCTTCTGCGCTTACTCGAATCCCGCTATCGTCTGTTTTTCGTCCCGCACCGTTTGCGATGCCTGAAAAGTTGTAAAGGGCGAATTCGAAAAAAACGTTACACACGCACTCTACTGCCAACCCCTTTGACGAGATTTCTTTTGCTTTTACGCAGTCGTTGGCTTTCAGTCGTCGGTAAAAAGAGTTGTATCGCGTTTGCGTTAATTTTTCCTGAAAAGCATAGGTGCTCGTGGGACGATGGATAAGAATGGATTCGGTAAACGAGCGAACGGTCACGGTCCTCGAGACGTTTATACATTACGTCCCGGCAGATTCGTTTTGGACGATTGCCAAAATTATGCAATTCCAGGGTTACGCGGTCACCGGTGCATAGACCTTAATTAATCGAGTCTGAGGTGGGCTATTTTCGAAGGCTGCACCAGTCGAATTTTGGATAAGTTGTCTCAATTTCAAATCAAAATTTCATTACTGTCGCTCTTCTTCGTTTATAGAAGCAAGGAGGCTCGCGGATGCGCGAATGCAGATAGAAGAACCGCGTCGCGTCGCGGCTGCTTCGATTTAATCCTATTAGCACGCTTCTCTAAACAAAGCAGAATTAGTTTGAGCTGAATAGCGGCGTAGGAGGACGCGAGAGTGTCGTGTACCATCAAGAAGAAAGTACTATAGACGGTTGTTCGTCAAAGGAACTAGTTTCTCTTCGCTTACGCCCGGTTACTTGGTAACGGACAAATTGTCTGCTACCAGAGGGAAAGAGAGTGAAAATTGTACAACGAGTTGTACGCTTTCTTTACGCGGTAGCTGTCTAAGTAAATGAAAGAAGCAAAAGGGGCTCGCGTCCTCGACACAGTTTCGTTTTGGAATCGATGCTCTTATACGCTTGGATGATCCACGTGCGGTATGCTAAACAGGGAGAGAGTGTCTCTCGTTTTGGACAAGATAACTATAAAAAATAAACGAAATTTCGAGCAATTTGTACGTCGGTGAGTTTTAGATTTCGAAAGGGGAATCAGTCATTAAGCAAACACGAAAACGCGTAGGCGGATCCCTAACGCAACGGGGGTGCGTAAAGGCAAACGGGGTGGGTCTGTTGCACAAAATCGATGGAATTACGAATGAGTGTACGTATAAAGAGATATTTCAGGAGAAAATTTCTAGGGGCGTCCCGTTCGCGGTCAATAAATTAAATAAGTACAATTTCCCGTTCGACGCGCGTACTTTTCGCCCCATCTGCCCGCTAGTCGTACGCGTGACAGCGCGTGGCGTATTCAAAGTACGCAAAAGATGTTGGAACGGGTGTTTGGCCCACGGCCAAACACACGAATTCACAGGGGAGACGAGTTAGTCGTTGTATCCCTGCACGGTGATTGTCAGTCTGGCAGCAGAGAGAATCGTTCGCCGCGTGTTTTATTCGATTTCGATAACGAGGCCACCTTTCCAGGTGGCGCGAGACGGGTACGTGAATGCAAATGAAACATTAAGCGGAATACGTCCGATGGGAGAAACGGCAAAAATGGCGTCCCCTTTGCTCCAGTTGTCGACGCACCCTCCCTCGAAACGACTAATTCGTACGAGCCACCCCTCGGATCCTCCTGACCAAAAATAATCCGCGGCGCCTCTCGCAGCTGCCCCGGAGCGAACGTAAAGCGCGGTCACGCGTTCCGTGGATATCCTCTTCGTAGCCACCGGTGTTATATCGGTGATAAATCGTAGGCGTTTCGCGATAGACGAGAAGAATGGAGAAAAATGTCGATCGCCGCGTCTCGTCGCGGACAAAGAGATCGCGCGGAAGGTAAGAAAGTATCGAAAAAGTCGATGAACCGTGAGAATTCACGGCTGCGGGGCAGAGGCGTCCGTTCGAATGGAAATTTGCCAGGTACCTCGGGGAAAAGTGGCTGGTTCGTTTCATAGAGAACGATCTGCCGCAACTTTTACAAGTAAGTGGATGTCTAACACGAAAGCTAGCCACCTTAGCCAGCAACAATTTCTGCGAAAACCGTCTCTCGGCGGCTCCGCAAAAGCGGAAACTGGTCGACTAACGAAGGAACAAGTTTTTCCAGCAACCAGTGTTTCCCAACCTTTTTCCCCCGAGTTGCGATTTCCTTTTCTAACAACTTGGGAATCTCGACCTTCGTTTTCCTTTCATTTGCTAAAAATCTATGTTAACATCATCGACTACTAGAATGTTAAAAAGGATGACTACAGCGACCCACAGCTCGGGAATCCAGGCTCTATTCTCTTCGTCTAGTTTTCTACTAGTCGGTCTATCGAGTCTTAAAAGGATAAAGAGAACATTCCTGGACAGCTTGGATGGCTGTTAACCGAGAAAGAGAAATTGACTCGTCGCTGGAATGAAACGCATACAAAGGCCAACGATGCGTTTACATAATAAAGCATTCTTTCTTCAAACGCATCATTCCGTTCCAGAGAAAACATTCAACGATCCGATCGGTCACGTATTTCCATTCCACCGATATGCACCCGTCGAGGAGATGAAATTTCAAGCGAAACTCGGGAAGAAAGGTTCGAATCGGAGATGGAAACGATGAATCGCGAGTGTCTCGCAGTTTCGAAGCGGAATGGGCGAGAGGAGGTACGAACAGAATGATAAAGAGGGCGAGGAGAGAAATGTTTTTGCCGAGTCCTCGTCGTGAGAAGGTCTGCCGTTTCCATTTTCCTCCCTTCGCGCGCCTTTCGCTGCCTGGACGAGAGCACGGGTAAAAGTAGAAAGTAGAAGCAGAAGTGCGAGTCCTCGGAACAAAGTGCACCACGAGAACTAGTCCCAACCGGAGTCAGGGGTTTCAGTCGACCCTCTGACAGCGAGACCGACGCGATTTCTATTCTCCGCGTGGCCCAAGGCAAACGCTCTTATGGCTGCCCTTCAAACGTTCAGGGCATTTCAGGACATTTTGTGTACAGATCTCTTTTCAATTGGGAATTAATAATTAATGACAAAAGGAGGAAATTTAGGCCCGTCTTCCGAGACAACATTCGAACTGAAAGGGTTAAATCAAGCGCGAAGCGTCAACTCCTTTCCGGTTCCACGCTCCCGAATCTTGATCGACCGTTCATCCCCGGCTTTCGACATCACCTCGATACGTCTTCTACTTTTCATCGCGGCTCGATTACACCCGCACGCTTTTCGAGCGTGCCCCTTCAAAAATACTGGCTCGTTAGCGAGGCCGGAAGAGCCGCAATGCGGTGATTCGGTCGGACCGACGCTCGCTTAACTCTTCCCTGTGGAAACTTCGAGCACCGATGCGTCGTCGCTCAATTTCCGAGCTTCTGCAGCCATATTTTTCAAACAAACATCCCCCCCCCGCTGCGAGTAGAGTGCCCTATCGCGTCGATCTCATATCTCCGATAAGATCGACCTTCCTCGTGCAGCTTCCGCAGGGACTTCTTGTTTAAAGTAAATATCGTGCGAAATCTCGAGGCGTGTCGCGCGATGCACGGCTAAGTATGCATCTAGAAACCATCCAACAGAGTATCCGATGACCGGAGGCGGAAGTGGCTGGTAGCGTGAAGAAGACGAATAGCTGTTACGCTTAAAACGATTCCCATGCTCGTGCCGATGCACCCGAAGGATTTTCCTTCGCCTATGACACCATCCGAAAGCTGCGTTCGCAATATCGACTCGAGCGACAAATCTATTTTCGCTTCTCTCTATGAAACGATCGCGCGACAAACTCGCACCGCGGTTCACGTTTTATTGGCCCGCGGTTTAAATAGCTCGAAAGCTGTCCGTCTGGAAGAAACGTGGCGACCATCCGGACCAACGACATGCTTTTTGCCCTAGCGAGAAGCTTACCGAGCTCGTCCGTCGGGTCAACTTATAGGTTATGTAACGATAACGGCCGGTTCGCCCAAACGTCATAACGATCCCGAACAAAATGGAGTTTCTTATTTGTTGGAATTTTTCTTTCTTCTCTTTCGCGAGAACGATCGAGAGGGTAACGCGGTTCGCAACGACTCGCATTACGGTTACGACACGATTATTTCCAAGTACCCTATCTACAGCGTCCGAGAACGGTATCGGTTTCGTCGTACGATTACTCGGCTATTATCGGCGACTCTTGGAAGAGCCACGGAGCTGCAACTCGATCGCGAATTGGTTTCGCGTGGTGGACACGAGACGCATGGATGCGTCGCGTCGCATCGTGTGTGTCCGTGAGAGCGAAGAGAGAATCGAGCCTACCCACGATGCTGGAACGACAAATTCCGTTGAAATTTGAATCGTTCATTAGAGACTACAAATACAATACTTTTCCTGGTTTCCGTGTACTTTAGACAGCAATGAGATAAAAACGAATCCTTACCTCGTTTTCCATCGAACGTCATCCCCCATCGGTTACGATCTGTGGTTTTCACACAAGCGGCACACAATTATCACAAATTTATTTTCTTGAATTATCCCCGTGTTTCGATTCGATTTAGAAGCGAATCCTTCGAGAAGAGAAATCAAATGCACGGTGGATCCCGAGAGCACGATGCGACCGGCACGCGACAGTTGAAAGGAGCACGAGCGAAACGTCCTACCTTACCGAGTGTCCGAGCGAGACTGAGCGCCTACTACGCACCCTTATTGGGCGGGCACGTTGCAGGGCCGTAGTCGAAAGGGGTTCCTCCCCCGCTTCGAACCTGGCTCTATCCTCTTCTATCCCCGGCTCTCTGTTCCGTCGATACGACGCATCCCTAGAGAATATCGACACGAACGGCCATACCCATCGCCGTGGGACTACGTTGCGTTCAATTACCGGATTTTTGCCCTTTCCTTCGAATAGTACTCCGCAGAATTCCGAACGAGTTTTTCCATTGTTCTTTGAGAGCCACCAGCGGAACGTCCAGACTGATTTAAACGTTTGTTATTTGTCCGAACAAGCGAGCGTTATTAATCGTTCTTGCCTTCCAACGAATCGGGTTCGATGTCCGATACCGTTATCGTTTATAGCGCTTGTAATGATCCTCGAGGAGGAAACAAAGGGAAGAAAAATTACGTAAATCGACCGAACGACAGAGATCGTAAGGTTCCCCCATCGTTTATAATTCTCGAGAGATATTAAAAAGAAACTTCGTAAAGGAGAATCTGTTTTAAGAATTGGGGTTGATTTCGATGGAATCAAGGTTGCCGATTTTCATCGAGCAGTTTGTCATACCGATTAACAGGAGGAGACTGTTCGGTACGGTCCTGAAAGGGTGGTTAAACGGGGACACCCTTCGACAACGTGGGGTAGCTTGATCCAATCGAGGGGTCTTTGGAAAATTCACTTCCTTTTGCTCGAGTGTTATCGCGGAAAAGACGAGTTCCTCCGATTTTACGGTGTACCTTCATTCACGAAATCGTCACTGAAGATACTTGCACGTTTACGCTTCCTCGAGAAGGGTTGCGAAGTGTCTCGGGAAATTTCATCGCGATTGTTCAGGTTTTTTGATTATCGGTATCGAAATGCTCGCTTCGCGCTCATCCAAACGGATACCTTTCGGGGTTAGCAGCGCGAACAAAGAGAAAAATTATCGATCGTTCGAATGCCTTCCGGGTTTGTCGCATTTGCATGCTCGACTTTGTCATTCGTCTGTCTGTCGACGTCGAGTCGATTTCGCTCGATCTCTTTCGACCTCGGCTCGCGAACTTTCTTTAATCTTTCGACTGCCGCGTGACAAAAAAAAAAAAAAATAGGAGAAAAGGGAAAATTGTTGGCTCGCGAAGAAGGGAGTTGATGGGAAATGGAGGTGGGTGGCGGAAGGGCAAACGCGAGACCGTGGAGACGATAATTACGTAGGTATCTCGGCGAGGACGCGAGATATTATCCGTATCCAAGTTGGCACCGTTTCCACTCTGGATCGCTGCCAGGATAAATATCGATTTTCCAACGCCCTCCTGTGAATCCTTTCTGTTTCACGTTGGCAAGCCTAGATCGAGAGACCCTTCTTCGTTCGCCGCTAGCTTTTCGATTAGCCCGGGCTGGCTCCTCTTCTTTTGCCAATCGAGATCCCCAAGAAATCTACCCTTCGCGATCAACCTCTTCAGCCGAGTTTACATCGACATACTTTATACTTGCAACGGTTATTCCTACAAGTAGCTGCTCTAGTTAACCCTCCTTTCAACGTTCAAGACTTCGTCTCGAGTATCTCGAGTTGGTAAAAATATATTATAAACAACAATGGGTATCTCTAAGGAGGTTATTTCGCGATTTTTTCAACGGTTCATCGAGAACGTTAATAGCATACTCGAGAAGGCACGTCTCGATGTGTTTTCTTGCGAAACCCTACAGGTCAATTAATTGATTGGTAACTATACCAATGTAAACCCGGCTTAAACAAATAGCCGGGTAGGGTATTCCCTGTCCTCGCTGTTGATACAGGTACTTGTAACAAGTATTTTCCTGTTCGATTTACATTGAATTAGTAGCTGTCTTGTAAATTAATGACAATTACAGTATGGTATACCGATGTGTAAAGGCACCTTTGGACGCATCGATCCTCGAAGACGATTCTATTTCAGATAGGAGCCGATCGTTTTAGAAATGATCGCGTGTCGCGGGAGACGATATCGCCTTCAATGGCAGTATTCCGCGATTTCATCTTTAGAAACGAAAAATTCTTCACCCTCCGCGGAGTTTCCACGAGCGTTTCGAGTGGCCGCTGCAGAGGTAGGTCGACGTTGTCGATCATTCGCGATTCAATTAAGCTCGAGAGTAACGCGATTATCGAACGCAGCTGGTAATTTCGTTTCGCCTCAAAGTTTCCGGCCGACGAACGTTCCGACGGATTCGTTCTTTTAATTACCGTGTCTGCCGGTTCGACGTTGAAATCGATGTCCTGGTAATTTGCCGGATCTCTCTCTGTTTCCATGAAACTTCTTGGCCCGCTGGATCGCGCGGAGCGTAGAAAAGAAAGAGGAATTTCGCGTGGAAGAAAAAGAAGAGGCAGGGTAAAAACCGGAAATGCTCGATGGTGGTAGGTGTTCGAGGCGACGCGCGACACACCCACGAGTCTCAGCGTGATCGCGCGAAAAGAGAAATGTTTCTCCAAGGAGGGCTTACCCGACTGTCGCCTCTCTGCAGAAGGTTTCAATGGCACCTTGATGCAAACTTGTGTCGTCACGAGGTGAACCGTACGCGTATTCTCCTATAGGGTGTCCTATTTAACTCTGCAACCTTCCATTATTTCTCTGTTTGTAAAGATATAAAAACAGCTCTACCCAAAAATGGGAAAAGTCATCTTAGGAACTGATTCTCTTTTTAAAAATAAAAAGATCCAGGACACCCTGTATATTCCTACCCACAGCTCCTTCGCGACAACAATGGGACGGACACAGCTTTCTTTCCATTCTTTCGGGAAAAAGTCCCCGATCGCGGACGTTCCTTCAAAGAATCGGCTGGTGTCAGGTCGAAGGTACGGTCGCAGGCTACGGTAATTGCCGGTTCGCACACTTGGACGGAGTTTGCTGCATTTAACGGTCAATTGACTCTCCTCTGTCCTTCCGTTTCTTTTTTCCTCGATTCGAAGACCGGTTCGTGCGTATTTGCGAATGGCAAAGGAGAAGCAGGTAGCGGGTAGCAGGGGTGCCGTTGCGTTGGGTGCGTTATGGTATTCGTGTGCCATTGCACCCATTCGGCGCAAACGATGTAGTTAGAAGCGTTTGTATGCTTCGCTTCATGGCTCGTTAACGCACTGGAACGGTAATACTCGATCGCGCGGTTAACCGAGTCTATTGAAAATAAGAAAACGAACAATTACCGAGACTCACACCTCGGCACCGTCCTACGCGATTCCGCAACACTCTTCTGCGTTGATCGTTCACAAGGGTTGTTGTCGAGGCTTCCCCTCTGATTTTGATGAAACTTGAATAGAATGTAACACTGGGAGAAGAAATATTTGGAACTTCGCCCTTAAACTTGAAGTATAAACGAATATTTTCAACGTTAGTCGTTCGGGAATTGCTGGAAGTTTTGGAGAGCACCTTTGGCGGCGAAACGAAAAGGGTTAACCGGTGGTTCGCTGCGAAATACTTTTAGCGAAACACCCTCCGTCGCAATCGGCACCCTTAAACGCAGCCGCGAGGCTGTTTTCTTTGCTCTAGTCACCCGTGCTTTTCTTTCCTACTCCCTCGCTTTCATCCTTCGAGCAGCACGTGCATTCTCCTCGGTTCCCGCGCAACCAGTCGAACGAGAATCGCGGGTGTAATTCACCGCCAGGGACCCACTGCGATCTTGAATCGATTTTACGCGGGCTTCGGGCTTCAAGTGCGCGTTAACATCCTACAACTTCTACTCCCGCGTGCCACTGAATTAATCGTCAGGGATTTTTCTGTTGGCCCGAATGCATCGCGCTCGCTTTTCAAGTACCCCGACCTTCTCGTAATTGCAATCACGGTTTTGCAAAAAACGGTTCGTTTGTTTAAGAACTAACGCGTTAAAGTCCACGGCGCGTTATAAAGAGCGAGGGAAAGCGTGACGGTCGGGGTGTCTGGAAAATGTCTGTCATCGACTTCGGGCCAGTGGTGGGACCTTTCGACGAACGCTTCCGCAACGACCACGGCATTCTTGTATCGGACCTCGCGCGGGACGCATCAATTCTAGACCAGCCAATATATTCGAGAAATATTCTTATATTTGGTGGAGATTTTTAACGTCCAATGTCGTGAACATCGAACAGCTGAAACGCAGATTGGCTCCCAATTATCGAGTAAGTTTTTACTCAAAGTCTACTCGTTATCTACCGTGTTTCTTTCGCAATTTCTTGTAATTACAAGTCGAAAATGTATGAAAAATCAGCAAACAAGTCGCCTCCGTGGCGCAATCGGCTAGCGCGTTCGGCTGTTAACCGAAAGGTTGGTGGTTCGAGCCCACCCGGGGGCGTAGTACTTTCTTTTGTCTTCCGAAACCCTTCCGCTTTGCAAACTCTAACGACACTCGACGATTTCTTGTTACCGACAACAGTAGAATAACGCTGCCCGTTAAATTTTTGATCAGCGTTTATAACATTTTCGAGAATCTGCGATGTATAATTGTTTATTTATTGAATTAGTGTTAGGGAGTGTGGTTACGCGAAACAACCCTTGACAATGTAAAGGATAAAGTGTCTAATTTTGATTAGACAGTGAAGAATGATCCAAAAGACTGGTTGATCGTAGGTCTGTTTCTAACAGGATGCATTTTGCGTGCAGTGATGCAACTCAACGAACGGTGAATCACGCGACGACATTTTTGCTTTCGCAAGTGATTGATATAGAAAAGGTACACCAAATGATTCCCCGTTTTCTTTTGTTCTCCGATTACAATAATAATAAGTTATAAAAAATTGAAAAAATTTAAACCGCCCAACGTGGGGCTCGAACCCACGACCCTGAGATTAAGAGTCTCATGCTCTACCGACTGAGCTAGCCGGGCTGTTATCTTCAGCCCCTGTTATTTCCTTGAACCGCCATTTTTAAATGCAAATATAAATTTAAAAAAAATTATTACCGAAGCAATTATTTACAATTACGTGATCTATTTACGAACAACACTGATTTGCATTCAAACGTTCGATTCGCGTTACTTATTCCTTAAACAAAAATCTGCGCGTCTAAACAGAAAGGGTACGGACACATCTGTCGGAATCGCTTGAAAATCAAAGCGGCAACTGTTCGACAGCCGAGAGCTCTCGAAAATCGAGCCAGCTCTCGAGAGTGTCGGCATCTGTCCTTTCAGATACAATAGTGTACATCATAAATCTTGCGCGCTCGGGTATCGCCTACCTGCAGGCAACATCGAGGACGCTTGCGTTGGACAGTTGTCCTGCGTCCATCGAACTGTGTGCACGCACGTGTTTCGCTCCTGACAAAAGCGTAATTAGCAGATTTAATAACCGTTTGTTATATTAATGGTAACAAATATGATATCATCAGGTACTATCCCACAAATTAGAAACTTTTAACATCTCCTCCTCGATAGTATAGCGGTTAGTATCCCCGCCTGTCACGCGGGAGACCGGGGTTCGACTCCCCGTCGGGGAGTATTATTTTTGCCTTTTTAAGAAAATTTCATTTACAATTAATTTTATTTTGATAGCACATTGGTTATACAGTGAAAACTCTATAAATGTAATTATTGCCGGTCCGCAAGGAGAATCGTTTTTGGGATTTGATTGTAGTTTGCCGACGCCGTCGAACGTAGAAAGAGTCAGTAGCTAAAGTAGAAAGAGGGACTGAAACCGGGATTTATTGCCTTCGTTTAAATGCCCCGTGTCAGTGTGACCATGCTAATGCACAGAATAAAATTTTTTATTTTATACTTTTTCTAATTAAAATGAAGCTAAACACGATAGAAATCGGTCAACATTTAGTAGTATAATATTGGGTTAAATGTTGTGCTTGTGAATCTTTCTCTCTTTGTTTATCCTTCTTGCGCTATCCTTTTCTATGTTCGGAAACATCAAAGAACAACGAATTCGAGGTGCTAAGTACATTTATCGAGTTTTCACTGTACTCAAATTAATCAACCACTTTACTAGGTAATTAATCCTTTTTTCTTGCGAGGGAACATTAGTTGGAAACATTAGCAACTGAGCGATGAAAGCGTGCTTCGTTATCTAAACATATTTTATCTCATTATGCAAACCAAGAACTGATTGTACAGTCATGCTGTACAAATATACATGATTTTAGAATTTAAACGAAACACGTTACTTTTATATGCAAAAAGTGGATCGTATATTTTTGCATTTATCACTGTATTTAATTAAACACAATTTATAAGAATAGTTATTTTAATAAAAATCATACAATATATAATATTATGAAATACAGCTATACATTTTTGATGCTGTAATACTTTTTGCTGTCTCATGACGTTTAAATAGAATGAATTAATTATTTACAATCGGATTCCTGAATTCTATTCCACGTAACACGATTGTAAAAGAAAAGAATCGATTAAATATATTTCACTCGCGGAGACAGGCAAAAAATATTTTCTTTTATCGACGAGGATGGGATTCGAACCCACGCGTGCAGAGCACATTGGATTAGCAGTCCAACGCCTTAACCACTCGGCCACCTCGTCTTCGCGTCAATCTCGCTGCTAAAATATAGGAGACACTGTGTTGCAAATTTTTCCAATAAACATTAATTATCGTCATCGTAACCGACGCTTATCACAAACGTGTTGCGAAAAATATGGCTAAAACTTTTCAGCCGAAAAGTTTAAAGAAATTGAAAGGAACGAGCACCTAACTCATGCGCAACTCGTTTAGATGTGATAAGGGTCGAGCGATTAAGTTGAAACCTTTATGGCAAAAGTTTGAGACGGTTAACGCGATCGGAACGGAGCCGCGTATGAATTTTCATGGAATAAAATTTCCCGCCCGAGCGGGGTAGTTCTCCAATTTATCTAGGAATTCTTGGATTTCAAATTAAAAGCATAGCGACGAAGGATCGCGGAATTTTGGATATCGTTTTAGAGGGGGGAAAAATACGCGAGGAATGTAGGGACGTCGATTAGCTCGATCGTGATTTATCGGCGGGATTAACGATCGCCCATAACCAAGAAGCAACGAGAGGGTACTTTCTCCGTAAGACAAGTGGTTTCTTCCAAGGTGCCAAGATTCGCCCGTAAAAGAACGTCGGCGATTATCTTCTCGGCGATAATGCACTGCCGTGGCATCGATTTCCTCAATTTACTGGCCACGTAACGACCGAACGTTTCGAAATCATCGTCCGTCATGCAGGTAGCGAACGGTCTCGGGGAAAGTTCTCTGCTCTGTTCCTTCGTTTGACGCTCCTGATAACTTTCGTGCTGATATTTCCTTCGACACGGCTCGATCGTCGAAGAGGAGATTCTTCTGGAGTAGGAACCCTCGGTTTCCAGGATCACCGGCTGGAACGTTGGGAGCGGGCTGGCTTCCGGTGTCGGTACGGGCGACGGTGGTTCGATCTTGTCTACGTCGGTTTGGACGGACTAGAAAAACGTAATTCGATAGTTGTAACTGAACGATTTAAAGAAAATAATGAATTTATCGAAATGAAAATTGCGTTTCTCCCAGAATAGATTGAATCGAGGAAACCTCCTACGGTATCTCATACTTTCGCGAGATGGTTGGGAACAAACGTTGCCAGCTTTGTTTCCGATTTACATGTAATTTCCTGCGTGTGGCGGCCGTCGAGTTTTCGGATCGATAAAGGACCGCGAGGAGAAAGAGAGCGATGACGCGAGGGTGGGAGAGTGGGAGAGGAGAGAGAGAGAGAGAGAGAGAACGAAGAAAAGGAGAGAAATAGACTCAGCGGTGATATCGGAAACGTATCGCTGTTAAAATGTCTATTACTGCGATTTCGGCGAGCACGTAAGTACTTGCTTACTCGCATACATGGAAGAAAACGCAAGTACTCGAGATCGCGATAGTTCTCGTCGATCGCCGATAGCCCCGATGATCGCTCCCGAGGAGTATCGTTCGAGAGAGAACGAGATATCGCGCAGTCTCGGTTACTAGATAGAAATAAAAATGTGATTTGTCCGAGGTCGTACCATCTCCTCTTGACAGAGATCCATCGATGCCGAGGCGTTCGTAATATCCCCCTCCTCGTCGAACGGGCTTGCTTCGTTCTGTTCCGCGACGAACTTTAATATGTCGTAGTACCATAACGAGGATCTGTAACGTCGTCGAGGATTCTTTACCACTCTCTGCGATGCCCTCACCTTCTTGTACTCTCTCCTGAACGCGGTCCTCAGAGTGTTGATCTTTCGTATGACGGTCTCTCTGTTCGCGACCGGATTTACCTCTCTCAGTTTTTGCACGAGGGCATCGTAAGCACGGTTTCTCAGCAATCTGTCCTTGTACCCCTTGTACCTGATCTGCCACAAGCAAGGATAGCTTCGGTACAGCTGTATGAACTCCGCTAGGAAGTCGTGCGTATAGCCGACCAGGTCCGCCGACGTCGACATCGTTACTCCGATTCGACACACTCGTTTTCCCTCGAAGCAACGCGACCCAAGTTGGATCGAGTTTGCTGAAGCAACGCGAACAGCCGAGCGGCAAACGCGAGAGAACGCGAATGGTTTCGCTCTCGACTCTCGACGACCGACTGAGGGGGCCAGCAGTTCGCCAATCCTTCAGCCGCTTCTCAAACGGGCGATCGTTGGTCGCCAGACGCCGGTCGCGTGCACGTTTGCACTTGAAAACCCGTGCCTAACAGTTTGCTCAAACCACGCACCAGGTTTGCATGGGACTCTGACAAACACGAGTGTACCCTGAAGTCCGCTGCGTCGCGGCGACTGACCTGCGCCGATGATCGAACGAAACTCGTCAACGAACCTCGGCGACGCTGCCGTTGTCCGGCGATTCTTCCGGGTCCGTGCAAAGTCCTTCCTTCGACAAAGGATCGGCCAGGTACGCGATTACTGGATAATTATTAACAATGATTATTTCTTTGGATCGGAGATTATTCGCAGTTGATCGCGTTCGAGTAGGTTTGCGCAAACTCGAGGCGGTAGAACGCAACTGAACGCGACGCAACCCGACTACCGTCCAATGGAAGTTATTCCCTGCTGCTGTTGCCAACGTGACTGCGCAAACACGTTTCACGAGTCCGTCGAGTGCGACAGTTTATGCATCGCCACGCCTCGACTCGCCGCGTTCCCCGCTTCGCTTCCTAACGTTTCCTTCTTAACGAAGGGTCAACGCTGTCCAATTTGTCGATCGTTCGCGTCTCGCCGGTTTTCATGGTAGAAAAATACGGCTAGTAAAATCTAGGTAATTCGTTGATAATTCCCAACATAGAAACTCGCGAGATTCCAGCGCGTTTCTTCTATCTCCTCCGTTTGTCGCAACCTCGTGACCGAGCGACCTTTAACGGCGGCGAACGCATCTGCTTATCAGAAAAATTGCCGATCGAAGGCAAAGTTTACGACGCGTTTTCGCGACATTGACCTCAATGCCGCGGAATCGCGGAAAGCTCGGTACGCGTCCGTGGGGTTGCGAAATTTGAAAACGGGACGCGGCAATTCGCATAACTCGAAGGCCGGTTCTGCCAGATTGGAAGACGATAGCGTGCATTTGCGCGAACCTTCGCGCCATATAAGGTACAACCAGCGAATCCGTTGTTCAAGAGCGTCGTCGGTTGTCGAGGGATTTTTCTCAACGTCCTTCCACACTCCCGTGCAATCCATTCTTTCCTAAACTTTCCGTTTCAAAATGTAGCTATTTGCAAATTTTTCCCCAAACACCTTTCGTTGTTTTATGTAACCACTTTCGAGCGCGATGTTGAAACGCTTTCCCGACGCGATACGCGATTTGCGTAAACACGTAGACGTTTGCTTCGCGTGTAGCGTACAAAACGTAGGATAAAAACCCTTCTTTTATATTCTATAGTACCTTTCTTCCATTTTGACACAGAAATTGCATCGTTATAATATTGTTGACCAAGTAAGATTTTAGGCGGCAGAGGCATGCGAATTCGTTAAAAGCATACTTTCGCTGGTAGGTTGTTAGGTAGGTAGGTAAGTAGGTAGGTTGTTAGGTAGATAGGTCGGAACTGGTAGGCAGGATAAACGCGAACGGTAGGTTTTTACCGTAGGTGCCGGGATAGGCGCCGCCGTTGAGGAACGCTGGCGCCGCTATCAACGCGTTTCTCTTCTCGAGAAGATCGATTTAACGCGGGTCTAGCGAGATTCGTAAACGAACGGATAGAAAGTGGCGAGGTGTAAGGAACCTGTACCCACGTATCTATGCATGGATAATGTCGAAAGACGTTTCGTGCAACAAGGAAATTTGATACACTAGTCTAAGAGTCTAGGACCTAGACTCCAGGTGGAATGTCAGGCGATGATTTACCGAACGTAAATCGGTTGATGGAAATAGCAAAGGGCATAATTAACTTCATCTGCGTGCAGAATTTCATTCGCGATGCTTTCGTGCCGCTTCGCGAAACGTACAAACGATCACGATATTAAGCGCTGTCTCGGGACTGTAATTGTCTCGATCGATCGAGCAAACGAACGGAATGTGTCGGTTGCCAATGTCGTAAGGTCGGTCGAGTTAATTACCAGCGGCGCGAGAGCTCTATTCGCATTATAGTCGCGTTCGAACACTTACTTTGCGTCATCCAAGAGGAGATGGCTGGTTTTCTAGATCCTCGAAAAATTCGATTCCCTTCAAGCGACTCGCACCGTCAATCAAGAATCGACACATTCGACCACAACACTAATTTGACAGAACGTAATTCGTGACTTCGAACACTCGAGTTATCTACTGGTAACATTACTTTGAGGAGTTATATAGGATGAAGTATTCTTCTTTGAATTCAAAACCCCCTCGGTTTTCGTAGCTTTTCGAATCGCGTTGATTTTTGGGGCATCACCTCCTCGGTGGCTTGAAAATTCGCGCGCGACTACGAATCGTAATGAAATGTACCGCTTCCGACACTAGCTAAAGTCTCACTGACGAGCCACCAAGTTTGAAGCTTGCCTCTCTCCGTTCGTTCCACTGCCCCAGGCTTCCGTTCGCTTTCGCGCGTACACTCGGTGTCCCGTGTTCTCTTGCTTCGGTCCCGGGCCTGACGATGTTGCACCGTCGACCACCTTCTCGGGCCTATCCCAACTACAGCTCTCCTTATTCGCCCAATCCTCCTTTATCACTTTCGCTGCTACGACCGTAGTACGATTTCAAATCGCGTTCCTTTCGATCTCCTCGAAGATCCTTCGAACGGAACCAGAAGAAGAAACGCCGGTCGAGTTTCGCTACGAGACCAGTTTCATCCGACTGCTTTTTTCCTAAGGACGGTGCGTCTGCTTTTTCAAAGGGAAACGACAGAACTCCGGGGAAATTATGGAAATTAAAGGCAATTCTTCGATACCTTGGATTGGATAAATAACTTATTTCCAACGCGATCAGAAATAGCACTCGAATCTTACGTAATATGCAAGGATAAGGAAACTGGGTTGTTCGATAAAATACCAGCGTTAATTTCTTCCGTTTAACGGTGAAAATAACCGGTGAACTTGCATTTAGATTGAAATCGAGGAAGCTTGATATTTTCAGAAGCTTCCAGCTATCGGTTCGCTGTTTCTTCCTTTTTATTTTTCCGTATGTAGACGACATTCGATGTAAAAGCTATGTTTATAGAGAAGAGACGTCGGGATAAAGGAAAAAAGGGATAGCGATTGCGTTTTCCTCTGTGATCAAAGGAAAACGCTTCCAGTCGTTTCCGCGACTCGTTTGCTTGCCAACGATCAGCCTCAGACCGAATGCAAACACGCTTTTTCTATTTACACTTAATAATTTCGTAATCCTACGCGCATGGCAGTCGGTGTTGGCTTCTGGTAAGCATAAGCAAAAATGCAAAGTGGAAGAGGTATTCGATGGAGCCGCATCTTGCGCCGAGTTGGAAAAGCGTTGGTAAAGCACGCTTCGCTCGTCGGCGAAGAAAAGAACGAGAAGGTGGAAACAGGGAAAAAGGGAATGGATCGATAAAGTGTGAGAAGGGAAAAAAGAATGGAAGGGCAAAAGGAGAGGAACGTCGAAAGACAAAGAGGACGATGCTAATCCTCTTTGTATGGAAAAACCGAGTGGTCGAGCAGACTGCGAGGCAGACTTTCGAATAAGCTATTCAACTGGTGCAATATACCGTGCAAATACAGCGCATCCCGTCTAGACGACGCGGCGTTTCTATCCGAACGAGAAGTTACCTCGTTATTTCGCGAATTCCCATGGAATAGAAGAAGTAGCATCGGAGTACCGAAGAAAAGAAGAAACGAGGTTCAAGGGAGCCACCAGTAACGATAACTGAAACTCCTTTAAAGAACGATCGACACTCCTCCGATTCTATCCGTTCCCTTTCAACTGATAGCTATGAGAACCTGTCACGCGAAATCTCTCTCAACGTCAAATGGAATTACCCATTGTACGTTACGGGTCGAGATACACGCGATCTCGTGTCTAAGAACCTTTTGAAATTCCACAAATTTCTGATATTGAAATCGCGGCTCTGCGTGGAACTCGTCGAGCAACGAGGAACTGTGGCGGGGTTCGTTGATGTTTTGCCTGGAACATAAAAAATTTTAATTAGAATAAAAGCTTCGTGGGTGTTTGAAAGAAAAAAATTTCAAATAGGATGGAGCAGAGTTAACAGGGTATCGGCGGAACAACAGAGGGTTGAACCACAGGTTCGACATGCTACACTGTACCTAATAACCTGATTTAATTAAATTCAAAACGATTTGCGAGCCGTTCCTTCGATGTTCAATAACCACAGCGTACCAGCGGACGGCGAACAATCGAGCAACTGGTACAAACTCGATTCGAACGACTTTATCTTGGCATGGAACGTACACGTGGGTACGTATAATACCTTTCTATAGAAGGCTGATATATTCTGTGCGCCGTTGCTAGGACGTCGATTGAATATGCATCCTGACAGATGCACCATGATGTACGTTTGAATGAATCTCTCTCTGTCGTATTAGTCGGGAACACGATACGTCGTTGGATAAATTAATTTTCTTCCTTGCAAAGGTCCTATAACGATATAAGAACCAGAAGGCTTATATTATTTCCTTTTTCTCTTTTTAATAATAATAGGAGCTCACAAATTATCAGTTTGTCGCGGATGTGAAATATTTATGTTGGCGGCGACGTTACAAGGGACATCCTGTATTCATGAGCTTCTCGAAAGATTATAGCGATGCAAACGTTGCAGTCGCATAGAAAAACACAATAGGATCTGTCGGAGAACGGGCATTGTGCTTGAAGCGATGCATGCGTGATGCATTTCATCGGCGACGTAGCCTTGCGAAATGAAGAGATCAGCGCTTTTTGTAGCTAGACGAACAGTAGAAACGATTTCAAAGTCGTCTCGATGGTTCGTTGCTAAAAGCGTTGTCAGTCTCACTAGCGTTCAGTGTTACTCGGATCGATCGGGAAAAATAGATTCGCTGTTTCATCGCGATCATGATTTTTATTTCACGTCGCAAGCATCTCGTTATCGATGCTTTTCTAAGAACAGATGCTTATCTCCCGCGATAATATCGCACGTTGTCTAAATTTAAAATTAACTATAGCAGTACTTACTTGAATAAGAACTAAAGCCCAGTTTTCCGTACATTCAATTCGCTGTTTAATCAGACCGAGAAGTGGGCAGAAACCGTGACCCCAAATGCGTTGCGGAGAGGTAGCGTGAAACCAATTAACGAGGAAAATTATTGCGCCATCCAATGCGCTTATCGTCAGACGCGTCTCGTGAATAATCATAAGTAGATGTTAACTTAAAAAAGAAAGATCCTTTGTACGTTGATAAGAATGAATAGCGTTACCAAGGAGGGATTATTGAAAAAATACCATTGTTTATTTTCTATTCATAAAATTACAATTCTTACATCTGTGGGAGTTTTTGAGCGTTTCTCCGGCGCCTGGGCCTTCTCGTGATGGCCGCAAGGTAAGCTGTCGGTGTCGTTGACTTTCTCGCAAGCGGTCCATCACGGCCTCCGTAGTATTATGTACAAGTTTTGCGAGGAATAACACCCAGGCGTGCGAGACAGGGACCGTCCACCTCAGCTCCATTTACGTCTAATGGTGGACGGTCCCAAGACGAGAGAAAAACGCCTCCTTAATTTTTACCACCGTCATCCTACACATCTTAAAATTTAAATTAAATTAACCGAAGAAGGCAACGTCGTTGGAACCCTCTGTCGTGCAATTCTGAAGTAACGATGGAGGGTGATTCGACGCGTTGCCGGCACTCTGTCCTACCCCTGTTACGCTTTCATTTCCACCCCCACCATCGTCGTCAACGTCGCCACCTCCGTCGCTCCTACCACCACCGACGCCAATATCACCGGCGCCGCAACGAGATTCGTTGGTACCGCAGCCTCCGCCGGTGTTCACTGCTCGGGGAGGTTTCACGTCCTGCGATCCTTCGTACTGTTGTTGGTTCTGACAATTATTAATTTCGTTGTAAACGAGCTCCTGTATCTTTAACCTAACAAACATTTGCCTGTCGAGCGGTAAACTTTTGAGTGGATTTCGTACGCTCATTAGAAAATGATAAGTATCGTCTTCTTCCTCTTGCGACACGCTTAACCTCTTTTGCAGCGATTCGAATCTTTTACGATCGAGTTCGGTGTAATCGTTCTCCATCGCATCCAACAAAGTTCTTTTCCTACCGATCTTGTTCATTTTAGGCGGTGGCATAACTTGATGCAAAGCATCGTCGTTCGAAAGTAAGGATTGACAAGAATCGCCATCTAGGTCGTCGAATTGAGTTTCCTCGTGACCTTCTAGAATGTCTATCTGCGGTTCGATCTGTGTTCCTACCGGCGACGAGCGAAGTGCTGACGAACAATTCTGAGGAATGGTACACCCGATCACCCTGGAGTTCATTTGATCTCGCAGGAAAAAGAGACTTTTGAACCAAACCCACTTCGAATCGTGCTCGTTGGCGCCACCGTCGCATTTTCCTCGATAAGTTTTCTTCAATTCGTTCCGAAAATTGTCTCGTAAGTGCTTCCATTTCGATTTCGCGATGTCCGCTGGAAACGAACAATGCGCTGATTAGCTTTTTCCTCGGGGAAACTTGTGAAACTTGTGAAACTCGACGCGACGCGCGCGCCTGTTTGTTTCGTTTAAGTGCATATCTCGCGATGAACGACATTTTTCGTTTGATATCAACGAAAAATGAGTAACGATGTATCTCATACACGGAATTGTATCGCGTAAGTATCAAGTTTTTTTTTGCTACGACGTTTCCGGACACCTAGTCTTTTTGGAATCGGACGCGGTGCGACCTCGTGCGGAACATTGTACGAACCAGCCACGCTATTGGAACGAAGAGGCGGAAAGAAGAGAGCGAGGCGTATACTCACTGGAGACCTCGCAAGCCCTCGCGATCTCTCGCCACATCTTCAGGATGACGTCGCGATTGTGATAGTTGACGTTCTTCTGGTCCCAGATCGCGGGCCTAGCGTGAACCTCTGCGATCAGCCTCTGGAGATCCATCGTCATCGCGTTCCTACGGGCGTTCGCGTTGCATCTCCTGGACGATCGCTTGTTGGCAGTTCGACGGTTGAGAAGCGTGATGCCGGTGCTAAGGGAGGAGGCAGCCGCGCGCGAGCTGCTTCCTCCTCTGGTTAAGTTTCGTTGAGGTTCGTTGGTGTGGGATTGCCGATTTCTTGGCTGTTGTTGTTGTTGTTGTTGTTGTTCCTCTTTGATCGCGGGGATCGCGTCGAGAGTTCCGCCGCTAGTGGAAGAGCCTACACCGCTGCCGACGCCAACGTCACCGCCACCGACGACGACGAGCTCGTCCTCGTCGTCGACGTTACTGTTACGTCGCTGCTGTCGTCTGCTCTTCTTCCTCTTGCGCCTGGCGATACGAGAGCTGCCAGCCGAGGAGGAGCTCGCGAAGCCGAGCCGAGCAGAGGATCGCAGGCGAGACGAATCCAGGGCTTTTTCCTCCTCGACTCGTGCACGCGTGCCGCCGTCCATACACGGCCGGTACACGCGCGCGTCCAGCCGGGAAGATGCGCACTCGCTTAAAAAAACGAGCCCGATACGTCGCTCAATCAAAGAAACAGCAGTCGATTACTAGACGCTCGCGCACGGTTTCGGCCCTACTCGCTTCTGACACACCGATCCGCCTGGCTGCCTACCCGCTCGCAAACCAGCGGTACCTCGCTGAACCCAAGTCCAAGCCTTCCTTCGCTTTTACCCACGATTTCAGCTTCGGCTTCGGCCTCGCTCGAGTTTGCTCTCGGCTCCGCTCGGTTCCGCTCGACTCGACTCGGCCCGACTCGGCGCCGCTTCGCTCGTCACCGCTTGCCACCGCTTGCGAGCTCTGCTCGAGTTCCCTCGCGAGCCTGCAGACGCGAAATCATCACATTACCCCTATCCACCCTGATCTTTTCTCCTCCTTCCTTTCTTTTCCCTAACTATCTCTCGTTTTACGATTCAGATTCAAAACTATCATCGTGACTACGACTACGGTTACGGTTACGATTACGATTACGAGACGCTTTTTATTTTTTAAGATCCAATTTCACGATTATAGCCTGTAACGTTTAATTGTTTCTACCCTACCCTTTTGCCACACACAAATTCACCTCTTCCGATTCTACCTATTTAACTTAGCCCTTTCCCCTTTGTAACACAACATTACCTTCTACTTTATTCAAACATATCTATGAATGCCCCTTTAATTGGTCGACATATGACATTTCGATCGTTACTTTGTTCATTCCCTCCTCGTCGTATCCATTTTTACGTAAACGTTCAGGAATCTAAGAAGTCCTGATTAATGCGTCGATCACAATGTGTATGTAGTATATAATTTGATTATCGTCTTGTGGTTTGTTCGTTATTGGATCAATGCAAAACCGCAAGGTAGTTTGACAGTTGCTTGTATCGAAGAGTACATCTGCCACAATCTGCCACTGTGCGAGCGTCCTGCGCTCTCATTTCGGCTTTCCTCGGCACGTTTCGGCTCAACTCGGCTCCCCGACAACGCTTGTCCGTCTCTCGTTTAGCGTAATCTTGCCGTCAACATTCGCCGCGCCGCGGCGTCGCATCATCCTCTTGATTCGGCTTTGCTCGGTCGTACTCGCTTCGACTCGGATCCGCTCGACACCGCTCGGTTCAACCTGATTCGACGCGACCTCCAACTTGTTTCAATAAAAAATTCTTGACATAAGGTAAATCAATTAAAACTTTATTGGTTGAAAAACTGAACAGCATATTTTAGAAAGGTTAAAATATTTCTCCTTTCAAAACAAAGATCTGTATTTCACCTTGGCGCACAATCCTTAGAGGTTATGAGAAATCTTCGCAACTGAAACTTTGGGCGCGCAGGTATCACAATCAATACAGAAGTAATTGTTCTATCAAAGATGTCTTACACATAATTGAAAAGTCAGATTAGAACATGAGAAATTCAACTTGATCAAAGTTCCCCTGCCGTTGGGACGTAACCTATCATCGAAACTTTGAAACTGTATGCACGATACCGCTCGTAATATAGCGCATCAAAAGCACTTCCGCGTCGCTGTCGATATTGTCGTTTTGCATCTTTGATGGGGCCTACGTTTCGAAATAAGTCTCTAACGAGTAATTTCTAATGCGTTTTATTATGTTTAACGAAAGTAACCAGTACATTGTTCTTTATACGAATGTTTCCTGTTCCATATCATATGTCGAAAACGAATCATCTGTTATGATGTTGACTGAAGTTGGTACAGATTTCAGAATGTTGTTGTTCACCATAAATTCTTCGGATAGTGGAAGATTATTTAGCAGTCTGTCTACGTATTGTTGGGCGATCCCGACTAATTGTTTCTCCACCGTGCATAAAATTGTATCACGGAAACGATTCGTGATATGTTTCAATATAAGATTTACCACGTTATCGATTATGTGCCCTTTGAAGGTTATGGACATTTGACTAGAAAAATAAAGTTACATTTAGAACGACATCGTCTAACCGTCAAATAACTAATTAATAAAGCATAGAAAATTTGAAAAAATAAATATTTATGCGAAGATAATGATAATTACCCGACTTTGACGATGTTGACCGTACGTAGAACAATTTGACGATCTTTCAAGTTCACGTCCGCTACCACTTTTACGTTGATGTTGATGAAACGTCCGCTTATCAGTCCCCGTCTATTAATGAAGAAATCTTTGAACAGGTAGTCATAGGTACCCTAAAAATATTCAAAGAAAATACATTTTTCCAATTCGTACTCATTGTCAGAACGAAAGCGGTTGGTATCGTCTAGTATTTTGTTCATCTTACGTCGATTACATCGAATCCCAACGTGGTAATTACAGTGTAAACATCACTATCGTCGGAAATTAAAATAGTGTCGCCTACTCGGTTTATGCTTGATAGCCCTTGAAGATATCCGTTTGTCAAACTGACCGCTCTGTTACGTATGACCACGCCTGGCTGTAAAAGTAAAAGAATCGACGCTTGAATTTAAAGAAATCTCAATTGTTTTCACTATAACTATTCTATGAAAATTCCATTAGAAAGCATTTGATAGTAGAACGTAAAAGAAACAAATACCAGCTGCTGATACAGGTTGTTCAATTTCATCGGGTCCATTCCCTTATCCAGTATGTATTCGCGAAGCCGGGGTATCATAATGTCGACTAACGAGCTGATGTTCGTCGTTGTCCCATAAAGTGCATCGTCTACTCTGTGTCGGGAAAAATGAAATATTTCATTTTCATGGAATTCATCAGAATTCCTTATAATTTGGAAAATCGTTAATCTAATAATAAATTGTAAACTTACTCGACATCGACGGTGTCTGCGAAACCGCTTGCAAACAGCGCCGAAACGCACAACAAAACGAGAAATTGAATTTTAGCTGCCATGGTGCACCGTTGATACTGAACGATCAATTGTCAACGATTCGACTACCTGTCTTCAATCTGCTTTCTCTATTTTTATTGGTACTGGTTGATCCCTTATCCGATCGTATCTTATCCTTATCGAGCTCTATTGGCATTATCGTTCTCATTGTCAAGTACTTTGATTATCTTAAAAAAACTAACAACACCGCAAATACAGGATGCGAAGAAAGGAATCGTTACGCAAAAGTTTGGAAAATTTTCACAATTTATTAGAAGTAAAGTGAGCTCATTATTGCACATAGTTTATTTTCCTCTTAACGAGTACAACACGTACAATTGATCTTTCATTTCTGGATCTTGATTAATTAATTTCGAATCCGCTACTCTGATATTTAGACCAGTAGCGGTGTAATTCCAAAATGTTCCAGGGACAAGCTATCTCGTTCATCTGGTCGAAATGTGCAATAAATAATTCCGTTATTCGTTTCTCGATCATCTTCATCAACGCCTTTTTAATTAGAAATGTTACGATATTAGTAAAAGGCGTTATTAGTTGTTCCATTAAAGTACCTCCTACAATGGAGATAGTAATTGACCTGCGATAAAGAATTATTTTTGGTAGTGATTCTGACAGTGATTCGAAAGTAGGTACTGTACATATTAACAACAAGATAATGATAAATCTACTTTTGATACGTAAATAAGAATGATAATCTAAATCAATAAATGGTATTAAATTAATTACACAAGCCTAATTAAAACAATTCAAAAAAATTTTTAACGAATCAGTAATTTAAAAAACTCATCACGTACTCGATGTTAGATAGCTCGATCGCTTTTAGAGTGAACTCGCAATTGAGAATATTAAAGTTGATCCTGAAATTGACCCAAACCGAACTCGCATCAGCGAATACTTTGCCCTGTTGCCTTAGAAATAGTAGTTTTATGAAATAATCGTAGGTGAGCTATATTAAAGCAAGAGAATACATTGTTTTAGGTATCATCTGGTTTCCATTGAGTCAACTATATAGTTACCAAAATGCTGTCAAACACAACGTTTCCATCGATGGTGAACGTTTGACCTGTGTATGAGACAGTGACGGTACCATTACGCTCTAACTTCGACAAATAGTGCATGGATCCCGAAGAGAAGGAATACGTTAATTCAGCGTGCAACGAAGGTAGAATCAGTAACGGCTGAAAAAAAGATTGGTAAGACTTTAATCTGTTAATCCCTTTAATCTGAACGCGTAATAAATCATTAAAACTCGATTTTTTAATCTAATTGGGAATATTTGTTCGGTGCACATATAATCCGAAAAACGTTGCAAACAATCATCTCGCAACACAAAAGCACTGATATAAAGGTATCTTCTGGTATCTAGCTGGTTAGAAAAACATTACTTTTTCCATCTTTGACGTTAAAGATAAGAAACATTCAATCAATCAAATCGAGAGGTATAATTATAAAGATAACAATTTTAATTGTATCAGTGAAGAAGGATTAATCGTCAGCTGTTTTTATTATCTTTCGATACATATTTTTGTAAAAATGAAAATCAAAACGAAAAAGGAGAGAAAGAGAAACGGAAACGAGAATTGAAGAAGGACGTTTGTCAGAGCAAAGTCAACGCTCGAAAATATCCTTCACCGTTTGGTTTCTCGTTCGCTCAAGTTCAAATTCAATGTTCGTTGCCTCGAAACGAGAAACGAAAGTGGGTTAGGCGAACAGAAAAAGTCCACGGTCTTCGAACACTTTTGTTCTCGTTTCGATTGGAAGCCGTATCGGAGGCAGCTTTTTCTCGACCAAGTTCAATGTCGAGTTCGACGCGAGAAGATCAACGACTTCGACAGGAATTCCAGCTAACTGGAACAAGCCTTGTTTCTTGTGTGATCGGAAATAAATATTAAAATACTTGATGCTAAAAAATGGACGTTTGGAGAGCACCTTGCCCTCGATTGGTATCATAGGAACGTAAGCAGAAAAGAAAGGGGAGGAACAGGTGAAAACAAGGCGTCAAGCAAATGAGGTTCATCGACCGAGATCGGTCACGCGCCGTCCTCGCTTCACTTTCGTTTTCCTTCGAATCGTTCAACGTTCGTTTATTTCACTTTCGTCAATCCGAAAGTCCCGCGTTCGCTTTCACGCGTTTTTCCATTGATCCAAAATCTCGATTTCGACCCCCTGACCTACTTTTCCTTTCGCACACGAACTTGTGCCACCTTCTAGAACGAATTTAACCCTTTCACTGCCAGGTGAATTTTTGAACTTGCACCAGTGGGCCACAGATTTCATATTAAAAATTTAATATAATGGTACATTGTTGCCAATAGCACATTTTTCTTACAATTAGTGATGGTTACCAATGACCATCTTGGCCCAAATGAAAAGATAAGCGCCGGTCCCATGGGACCACCGTGGCAGCGAAAGGGTTAATGAGAAACGAAGGACATACGTACACCTACGATCCGGAAACTTTGACCGACGTCCGGAATCATCAATGGATCCATCTCGTTTTCAACGATATATTTCGATACGAGAGGCATTATGTGGTCAACGAAGTCGGTTAGATTTATTCGAAACCATTCTTCTTGGTGCTTTTCTGTTTCCAATTTCTGTTCGGTAAAAGATATAAAAATGACTCCCACGAAGCAACAGATAAACGCTCTTTCGATCGAAAAAGGTAATGTTTTTTGCATTTCGGTTAACTTCCAAAAGAATTACTAAAAGAAACTAGATTCTCTACTTCGCCAGTGACACGAAAATGGAAGAAAATAAAAATTCGCGTCGAACAGCGTTGTATGTTTTATCACACAAGCACGATTGTTCGACCGCAGTATTTTTAACAACAATTAGCATTCTTATCTACGAGTAGCATAATTCTAGGCCAGGGGTGGGCAAATAGCGGCCCGCCAAGACAGTCAGAAAAATCTGCCTTGAATCGAGATTACCTTTCCGTTTCGTATTTAAATAAATTGAATAAAACTGCCACTATTTTATTTTATTTATATTTATTGATTTTTATAGTACAATTTATACCTTTCTGAAATGCAAAGTTAACTAATCAATGCAATCATTTTTAAAGCTGCTAACCTCCCACGAACCAAAACAATTGCTCACCCCTGTTCTAGGGAATCGTTATCGATCGAACTCGACGAGGCGAACGATATCTCGAAGCGAAGCGTGGACTCGAACCGGGTTGCGATTACTCGCTGAGAAAAACGATTGTCCGATATTATCGACATAAACGAGCGTCGTTTGTTCGTTACGTGGTGCCCTCGTGAAGATTGTAAAACATTTACTTTGCGTAACTACCTTAACGACATTATTTAGTTGGTTATCGGCGAGTAAACAAACTGACAGGAAAAATCGACACACGTGCTCGTGTCTGCTTTCATTGTCAGAAAAACTAAGGTATAAAGTGCTTCGTAGAAAAACGAATAAAGGATCTAAGATGGTTCCCTCATTTACAATGAGAAAAGTAATCTGACGTGAAGGTTTATCGCATCGCGTAAGTATTTTGTTATTTTTACCCTTTCGTTTGTTTTTACGCTTGACGAGTAACGCGCCAAGTAGATATCCATGAATACGCGCGGTCAACAACAACATCGTTGTTTACAATAACACGACGATACGAGGGGAAGCTTTAATTAAATTGCTAGATACGAGAAACACGTTCGTCGTTCCTTTGTAACGTAACCTTGTAACCATTGTTTTCACTTGTTGCCATATTTTGTATCGCGTCTTCCTTTGTCTTCTGTTTTCGAGAATCTCCTGTCGTTAATCAAAATGTTTTGACAGTTCAAGAGGTAGTATTTGTTTCATAGGTGAAAGAGTATTTGATGTGTCAATCTCGATCGTAAACGATAATGAAATGTAAGCTTTCTGTCATTGAAACATGAGAGATAGGTTAGTAGTTTCGATCAAACAACAGTTTGCCTGATAATGTCGGATTGAAAATACATTTCCCGACCAGTGTTATAATATTTTTCTAGTATTCTTCTTCCTCTCTACGAGCTGTCAATTCTAATGTGTTTATCGACACGCGACTAGGAACAAAACACTACCTGCAGAAACAAGATTGTTTTTCTGCTAGGTATTCTCGCATCAGAGCTTCTCCCCGAACCTCTCCGATCCTTTACGATTCACCGCTCGGGTTTTACTCCTCCAATCAGAAAGCTCGGATCGATGACTGTAACGTATCCGCGTTGTGACGTTCGCTCTATTACCGCTCGATTGCGAAATCCGTTTGTTTTTCCGTACACGATCGCATAAATTCATCGAAATAACTTGGCCCTCTATAATAGTAAACAAAATATTAAACAAGTTCTTTTGCGAGTTTATGTATCACAATATTTTCCCAGAATAATTAGCTAGTGATTTGCATCGCTGATTACACCTGTTCTTTCTCTTTCGTTTCAAGGTTACTGTTACGTTAAGATCGACGACTGGGTCAAGTAACTCAAAGCGATAAAAATCATACTTACACACGTGAAACGTCGATTTCTAAGAAAGCAGAAAGTGTTTCTTTTATGGCGTTAAAAATTCGAATGATAGAGGAACGAGGGCAAAGCGTAAATAGATATATTAAATACCAGAAGTAGCAGAATATCGAAAACAATGTGTTTTTCTATCGGTCACATGGTTATCGCGGTCGTGAATACGCACTAGTCAGCGTCAATCTAGGTCAACGATCCGACGCATTTCGTTTCCTTTCCTCTCCTTTCCTTCGCATCACACCGGTCTTTCTCCGTAGAGGGCAGAAGGAGGCTCGGCTGCTGGTCCGAGTTCCAAACACCAATCGGAAAGCGTTTTGCTAGCGAAAACAGGAGGCTACGCGTGCGTTTTCTCCGTCTCAGCTGCGTGTTTACACGAGCCTGTGTACGTGTTTGCGATGTATGTCTCTGTGGACGCGAACGCGCGAGACCGCGTGTATATTCGGCGAGCATTTCGCGCGGCCACGATAAAGTAACGCGCACAGTAACCGAGAGAGGTTCAAGCTTCTCTAGCTGCTGATTCAGTTCGGCTCTGTCGCTCGCGCGAATTGGATTGACGCGGGCTGTTTTGCGTTCGCCTTTGTGAAATTCGGAAGCTGAGCAAACGGGCGTCCAGTGAATTTTTCCCTGTTTGGAAATAAAGAAAAAGAATTTTCCTCCTTCGAAGACGACTGAATCGTTCATCGCGATTGGGTGAGTAAGGCCAACGGGTCTGCTGCGTCGTGATCGCGTTTCCATTTGTAGCGAGGAGCGGTACGTGTTTATGAATGAAAACGTAAGAGCGGGAGGCACGCGTTTACGACCCGCCCGCTACTGTCTTCGCGTATATCTCCAAGATAATTCTGCGCGATACGTTTCTTTGCATTATTTTAACAAATACTGCAGGTATAACAGGACTCAAGATTTAAAGGACAGGATAGTCTTATGCGCCGTGACGATTGCGTCGTTCGGTAAACAAATGGACGGAGAATGGTAATTTGTAAACAGAACCCATTAGAGATACTGTGTTCATTAGTAACAAAGAATAGATAAAAAATGCATTAACTTAATTATGTATAACGCTAATGATCGTAAATTGTCTCGGGCCCGTGAAATTCTAGGCTCGGCTCTGTGCGTTATAACCTCAATTTTCAGTAATTCAGCGTCACATCGTTTTTAAACTCGATTCCGTACGTTTATCATAAGAAATAAAATTCACGCTGTACGCGTTAATTCAATGGCGAACAAAACGTGACAGTGTTTACGATGAAGAGACAGGAAGAAAAACAGGAAGAGCGGTTGCACGAGTTAGTTGGCTCTCTTAGCCCGTGCCGTTTGGCACCGTTTCCAATAAGATTCATCTAGACGGTTTCTCGATCCCGCTTATTTTCGTTAAAAGAGGCAGCTCGATCAAAGCTCAAGGCCGTTGCTCGTTATTCATACCCCTGAATTTCGTCAAGATTTCCTGTCTCCGCTTTAGCTTTTCCCCGAATCGTTGTTAAACGTCAAAGTGAATCGTTCAAGTGTAGAAGAACGGTCGGTTGAAAAATTTCCACGAGTGGAAGCGTCAAGAAACGCCAGAAATGTGCCCGTAGGATACACCGAGTTCAATGTTAAGTCCACGGTCGAAGAATCGACCTGGACAGAGGCCAACCGTCGACAATTTCGATATTTTATCGTCGAATCGTTAATCTCTACCGATGAGAACAAAAGAGATAGACAGAAATAGAACGACTAATTCAATCCAAAATTGGATTCGTCTTTGACGCTTGTTTATCGATCGAGTCACGTCAATGCATAATTGAATTTCCGCGACGATTACTTTCAATACAAAGTCCTACTTAGAAACGATTCTTGGCAAGGATATTTACGCCTTTGAATAAACCTATTTGTCATCGCTGCAAGTAATCTTATCTAACGATTCCTTTTTGGGTAATCTGCTCCGAGGAAATCTTATTCAAACGAATGAATCTGTAAACACGGAAAGGACGAGTGTCGAGAATTGGCATTCGTCGAACTTGACATACCTATGACTCATATGTTCTTCCAAATTACGCTGTGTAACGATTACGATGGTGAAATGTTTCCGTGTAAGGCTGTTGCCACTTACATTCCTGAAACGAGTATTTTATAATGTTAGGTAAGGTGCATTGAACTATAGCTAACGCTTGGCCATAGTTACGCGTCGCCACTTGTTCGATGGCGTCTGCATCCACTCGCACACGCGTACTGTTGTACCATAACAGTAATCGCATTGCCGAATGGTAAAATAGAGATATTCGAACGACCCGTGAATCGAAAGCAAAAGGAGCAGAAGTGTCCCGGGAGAGAAGGAATGACCTGGTATCGAGCCGTAGCTGCAGCTCGTGTTCACTAACGAATTACTTTCGCTTACTGCTTTTACGTCATTTACCGTATACGTTCCCGCGTCGAAACAGCCTTTTCCGGCCGGTAAGACTAACGTAAAATTGAACAAACTGCTGATGTTAACATTGCATAAACGCGAATTGTCGTAACGCGATGGTCAGAGGTTATGCGCGTGTACCAATAAACCGCACCGTGAGAAAATTGTTCATTGTTCGAATACGAAATTATTTTTAAATCGTGAAAGGAGAAGATATTTTCTTAAATAATCCCCGATATTCTGATCCGTTCACGATTTCATTTGGTACGATCACGATTGCATAAACGTCGTACCAGTGAGAGATAAGTTTCGAAGAGAAGGGGAGAGGTCGCGAGCGAATCGCCACGAAAATAACGTTACATGGTTGTTTATAAGTGGTAATGTTACGTGAACACGGCTGTAAAAGGAAGAAGAAACGAGTTTTTAGAAATTTTTCTACTCCCACTTTGATTCTAGCTGGTTTTCCAATTTTTCTTCCACCGTCATTATATTTTATAAATAACGCTGCGTATTCGTTTATACATGCATTCGTGAAAAGCGTTCATTGGAACAAATTGCACCAAAGAGAAGACGCGCTGATTCTTCCCGGAAACAGCTGCTAGGCCTTCTCCCCCCTTTCCACCGTCCACTGGTTTTTCTAGTTCTATCGTTAATCACAAATTTCTTTTTATTTGACGAAAATTAAAGCTTTGTTTCAATGATTATTCTCGTAGATTAGAAGCGAAATCGCTGACCTCGACCTTTGAAACGGATAAAACGCATTAACGCACGGTTTTACTAAAATCCAAACAGAGATGTTCTTGCTTGATAAAATTGCCAGTGCCCCTTGGTTGCAACCAATTTAGTGGAAGAATTTCCACTTGAACAAAAGAGATTCGCCTTACAGTGGAAAGGTTTGATAGCATAATTTTTGGAACGCTCGTGTTAACGTATACGTAACGTCAGTCACGAATCGAAATGTTAACGTTAAAGATATTTACACCTGTCACGTCAATGAGAAACAAAAAACGGACAAAGGAATACTGCACGGGAATATTCCAAGCGATTTACAAAACGTACCACTTCAACGATCGAGCCTCTTGAAATTCGTCCAACTGTCAGTCATGAGAGTGGGTTCGTTCTTTAAGTTACGCAAGCTTAAATCGCTATATACGAAATCTTTATCTCGAAAATTCGAAGAGAGACAGCCGAGACACGTCCTTTAATCCTAAATTTAAATAAAATTATCATATCGATTCGTCGTGATAAACCGTAATCTTTTGCTTAAAATATGAATTCCAAAAAGGAGAATTTCCATTCGAATTATCTTCGACGAGTTGGCACAGGCCGAGAATTCGGCTTTTTTTTAATTAAAAATTGTTTGAAATTCACGCATAACCTTTCCTTTGATCGAACTATGTCTCTAACGTGGACGATGCAAAGTTTTCGCCTTCATTGTTCAGAGATTTGGTAAGATAGTAAAACGAATTTTGCTTTTTGCCGTTGGTATCGATGAAACGTGTCGAAAAGGTTGCACGCAGTGTTCGCGTGCGCAGCCAAGCGACGCGCCAATCCTGGTCGTCTTCGATTCTTCCACGTTTATGATTACCTAACCGTTTAAATGATAATACAACCGTAGCGTCATTACAAAATCATGAGTGTACATTTCAGTTGTTCTTTTTGAAATAAAAATAATCATGTTAGCGCAATAAATACAGTCGCCGTGGTTAGAACAAAGTACAACGATCGACAAACTTCGTTGCTTTCACGGAATTTACCCACTTAAAGGTTCAGCGGTCATTAATCTTTTGGGAACAGCGATAAAATGCATTGAAAACATTTCACGTCCCACCTTTCTTTCGGCCTTATATAATGGAAAATTTTCTTTCGAATCTCGCAGTTATACGGTTTCGTTATGTATCATAAGTCGTAATTCGAGGTTAAAGGATTTTCTCGACCAACGCTTGTCACGTAATACGCATTGAAATTAATATTTGATCGAAGGTCCTACTTTAATTAATTTGCTTAACAAATAAAGCCGTTTCGATAAGTTGTTCGTTATAATTGCTTGTTACATTGTAAATGAATGCATGTAATATAACGAATGTGGAGTAAAATTAATTCACCTCGTTAACGATTGTCATTGTTTTATGTATTTTCTTTTGTTACAGATTCGGGGCAATTCAAAAGACGCGGTAGCGGCACGTCCGATCACGTGATGTCGGTTCTTATTGACCGACGCGTATCGGGATTCTGATTGGTCGAAAAGAGGCACGTGACCTGTTCTAACGTCAACTTTGACTACCGTCTGCTGGTAGTCGGGTGGATTTCTCATCAAACCGTCTATAAGAACAAAGGGTTCGCATTTCGGTCAAGTTGCAAGTGTATTCTGTTAGATGGATCGTATTGTTCTGCGAACTGGAACGTGTACTCGTTAATTGCGATCTTTATTACGCATTCCGCGTGATAAACCTGTATTGTATCGTTACTCAAAGTATTAGCCCGGCTTCGAATCCTTGACAGTTCCTTACCGTTTCAAGACAGTGACGGTTTTATTGTGGAGCCGTTAAGATTTTGTTCGAACGCAATTTCGTCACAATCATCGATTCGTTTTCATCAGAAACGTTCAGTTTCATGAATCGTACGGATGTCATTAAGATACGATATCCCGATATGATTAAGTAAATTTTTAAACTCAATATATCTCGATTTCACCTCGGAATATCTCTAAAGAGATACGTCCCTTTATTATCGCGGTAACTTTGAAATATCTTGTTACACTTTCACCGTCAGAAAACGGTGAAAATCTATCGAAAATACATTTTGAAAGGAGTTATACGATACGCGAATTTAAGATGTACAGCATGAACTACATTGGGAAGTTTATAAGTAATTTTCGTGATTTCTACAATGAAATCAACGCAGCGACGCTCACCGGTGCCATCGATGTCGTCGTTGTTGAACAACCGGATGGATCATTTACTTGTTCGCCCTTTCACGTTCGCTTTGGAAAACTCGGTGTACTTCGTTCCAGAGAAAAAATCGTAAGTTTATTATTGCTAAAGCATCTTTTAAATAATATAGAAACTTCTAGAATGTCAACGATGACACTCAATTTGCACGTACAGATATAATTTTGAATATATCTAAATATATGTTTAACTAATGGGTCAACTGTGTTTTTTGATAGGTGGATATAGAAATAAATGGAGACCCTAGACAGATTCACATGAAATTGGGAGATTCAGGAGAAGCTTTTTTTGTCGAAGAAGTTGGTTCCGATGGCTCCCCAACAGATACTGAAATCCCACCGCATTTGGCTTGCTCACCCATTCCTGATGACAATTGCTTTCCACCATCTAGATTCAACCTACTTTCTGATCTTCCTCCCGAACAAAGAGACAAGATTCTCATAGAATCTGTTTTATCCATCGAAAGAGAAAAATGGGAACAAATGTCAGCTTTGCCACCAGATCAGAGAGAGAAGTTTTTAATCGAACAGTTCTCTGATCTTCCAGAAGAACATCGCGCGAAATGGCTTCAAATTGCGTCGTTAACTTCGGAAGAGAGAGAAGAAATGTTCAAAGAAAATTTTGATAACATATCTACATTGCAAAAGCAGCAAATGATATGTGAACAGTATTCAGCCCTTAAAAGCGAGGAAAGAGAGAGATTGTTCAAAGAAAATTTTCCTGAGCTACCTGCTGACCAGAGACAGAAATTTGAAAAGGCACTGTTAAGTGATTGGAAGAAAAAAGAAGCGAAACATGATACTTTAAAAAACGAGGAAGAAATCTTTGATATGGACGGTATTAATGACGACGAAACATCTCCAGCTGCGTCAACTCCAAAGTCCTTTGTAGCTGTAACTTCGACCGAAAGAATTCGCAAGATTAGCGTAGTAAAGAATGATTTTAGACCCATCACGGAGGACGTGCAAAGCAGTGGGAAAGAAAAGTCGAGTGACGAGTCAAACGTGTCGATAATTAAAAAGAGTTCGAAGGATGAGAACGTTGACGAAAATAAGAATAACAATTCAACGAAGAGGAAACGAAAGAGGAAAAGTATCATGAAGAAAAAAGGATCTCAAAGAAAGACCAGCAACGGAAGTAGTAGTCAAACAGAAATGAGCGAAAACGACACATCTGTTCCGGATGAATCTGTTAGCGAATCTGTAAGTGTTTACATATAGAAACTTTAATCGAACATTAAAGATTGCCTATTAATACATGTATATTCATTAAAGATGTTAAAAGAGTCAAGTCCGATTGCAGAATTAGAGAAGAAAAATGCTTCTGCAGAACCAGTGATCTCTATGCAAGAGGCAGTAGAAAAACGTCCTGAAACAGATTTTCATTTCTTCAGTGATACTGAAGTTACAAAGTAAGTTTACGTTTACAGTAATACATATATATTCCAGCTTTATTCCAAACACATGCGGGAATGCACATACGTGACTCGTGCGAAATGTATACATGAAATAAATTTACATATATCATTAATATTTGCAATCCTTTATTGTCATCGTATTTAATAGGAATCAGGATTCTAGGCCATGTTCACCTGTTCAGTCTGACACAGAGTTTGAAATGCGAAAAATTACGCAAGAAGGTGAGGATGGAGAAGAAGATAAGAGTCTTCAACAAAGCTGGAGATGGGGTGAACTACCAAGCTTACCACCAGAGTCGACTCATCCATCTCATAGAAATTCATTGAGTTCGTCAAGTGCTGCTAATCAGTCGAACAACAGTTAGTAACTTGTATAATATTCGCATAATTGCTAATGCTTTGATACAATTAATTAATTGTTGTTTTAATAATAGCTGAAGCACACCGATCTATGCTTAGTGGTATGTTTTCGTTTATGAAGAAAACTTCTCGCGTCAGACACAATCCAGAGTCCGAAGGAATTTACCTTAGCGATCTTAATGCCGACGAACTGGATCCTGAAGTTGCTGCTCTTTACTTTCCTTCCTCTCATAGAGGTTCAGCGGCCGTAAAGGGTACATTGCTTGCTTCAGGATACACATTTTTTTATGTAGAAACGAGTTGTTAATTATTCTTCGTGGTATTTATATGTGACATTATTTTTTTCAGATCGTAAAGGAGTAGATGAAGAAGACACCGAATCCGGTAACGGGCCGAGTTTGCCTCAAAGTCCTAACAGTGTCGAGGGTGCTATTGGCGGACCGAAATCATTGGACAGTGATTTCGAGGAACCGAAACATTCTATATTCGACAACAATATGGACATTAGTTTATCTTTATGCGGTGGCTTAGATACCGAAACTGGCCCGTCTAAAGAAGCTTTCCATCAAAATTTGCTTCATTACGAAGACATTTGTTCCGATCCAAAGTTGTACGAAAATCCAAATTTAGTTGTAAAAATTAATGGAAAATTCTACAATTGGGCAACTGCTTGTCCAATCGTGATGACCTATGCTGTTTTTCAAAGACATTTACCACAAGGTACAATTGAAAATTTGTACGCACAGTGCATGCCGTTACCTTTAATGCATGAAGAAAAAAAGCAGGAAAATATTGGCAAGCCTGAAGGTCGTAGTGGTTATAGCTCATGGTTTTCATGGAGACGTTCCACGCAACCACCTAAAAAATCTCAGGAGCTTAGTCAGAGTAAGACGCGTTAATATTTAATTCGATTCATTGCTTTTGTAACGGTAGTTTTGAAATGTCCGTTTCACCTGTTATAGCTGACGGAATCAGCGTACAAATTTCAGAACAGATAATCGATACGAAAGAGAACACTCCAGTTGATGATATACCGAGTAGAGAAGCGAAGACTGAACAGATCATTGAGACTACAACCATCGTGGAGGCGATAGAACAGCGTCCGAAATTATCAAAAAATATGACCAAGACTGAGAAAAACCACGAAAGAGAGGGTGAAGGCTATAGCGGCAGCGAGGATTCCGATAGCAATCAAAACGAATCACCGCAAGGGGTTAAAATACCAAAAGAAAGAAGATTGTATTACGAATCTACTGAAAAATATCGCAAAACTTTAAGATTATCGTCTACTCAAATTGTATGTAGATTTTGTTGAATCATAAAATTCAACTTGTCAAATGTATTTCCTATTACACGGATGTCGATCATTATTTTGTTACAGGCGAGCCTTGATTTGAAAGATGGAGCCAATGAAGTTGTTTTTAGCGTGACGACGGCTTACCAAGGCACGACTCGTTGTAAATGTCATATTTACAAATGGAGATGGGATGACAAAATTGTTATCTCCGATATTGACGGAACAATTACAAAATCTGACGTATTGGGTCACATTCTACCGATTGTTGGCAAAGACTGGGCTCAGTCAGGCGTTGCTCAGTTGTTTACAAAGATAAAAAATAATGGCTACAAATTGCTATATTTATCCGCAAGAGCAATTGGACAAGCTAAGGTCACGAGAGAATACCTGAAGAGTATCAAGCAGGGAGATTTATCGCTTCCGGAAGGGCCGTTGCTTCTAAATCCAACGAGCTTAATTTCAGCTTTCCACCGTGAAGTGATCGAAAAGAAACCTGAGGAATTTAAAATATCGTGTCTCAGTGACATTCAAGCCTTGTTCCCGGAAGGTTCGAAACCTTTCTACGCTGGTTACGGGAACCGAATTAATGTAAATATTTTTCTTTCAGCCTATTCTGTTATCGTGTAATACTAGAATGTTTCTTCGATACTTTAGTACATGTTATCAAATCGTTCTCTCCTTTAGGATGTTTGGGCATATCGGGCTGTGGGAATTCCTACTATGCGCATATTTACCATCAACCACAGGGGTGAATTGAAACACGAATTGACGCAGACATTCCAGTCTTCGTAAGTAACCATTTACATTTATTCCACACTATTTCTACTAACTTACTTTAAAAACTTGTACAGGAAATTACACAAAAGATTTCGTTCAAGAAACTTACATATTATTATTTTGAATGTAATACTGAGATTATTAGTTTCGTTGATAAAAAAGTTAAAATCGTTGCAGTTTATTGCATGTCAATATGTTAATTTTAGAAATAGTTTGCGCACATTAGAGTACGCTCAAATGAATGAAATTTAATTTGCTAATTAGCATGTTTATGGTAATTTTAATGGAAAAGGAATTCATCGAATTCACTTAACGAAGTATAAAAAAAGAAGCAGAATATTGTACAAATATAAAGGAAAACGTGTTCACCTTATTAGTAATTGAAAAAGATGTTCATAGGTCGGATATTTCTGTGATTGCAGTTACGCATGTCAGTGCGATATCGTCAATGAGTTATTCCCGCCACTGCCCATGCGAAACACCTACTGATGGCGGCACAACCATAGCTGTTTCATTTTATTAGCCCAATTATTAATGTTTCGATAGTAATAATTACAAAGCAGTATATTCGTGCCATTGGTATTGCATTCGATTCGATACTCTGGTAACTTCTACCTCATGATTCGAATATTTAATGTTACGATTAATAATACATATACTCAGGATATATAATTTGTATACAATGCAATATATTTCTATGTATATATTTATACACATCTGGCACAGTAATTTATAAAAGTTGCAGATGAAGAGAATAGTACACATACGTATAAGTAGACAGTAATTTTTCCAATGGCAGTTTCAATTTTTTTTTAATCGCTTTTTTTTCTCTTTTTTTAAATTAGTAATTTAGCTTATTTTATTAGTTCAGTATTGTTAGTTATGCTTTGAGGTATTTGGTTGTGCAAGAACTTCTACCTATCTTCTTATAATTTATAGGGTAAGCACACGTTCTTACACAACTGCATTTCATCATTTACATTTTCATTAATTTACTCATCTTAAGTAGTCTTAATCTATAATCACTTTTTTTTAAGGTTGAACATATGGAATAAAATTATCATTGAAATTAATATCTTTATTTATACTCATCTAAGAATTATTAATACTTTGCTTTGACACAAGAGTTTGAAGTGTGTTGTTACTGTGTATTGCAGAATAATTTTTCCTTTTTTTTTGTTTGTCATGCACGAATATTCAACCAAGTACTTCGAACATAAAATTCTTTACTTTATAATCCCTTAATTTTTTTTTCCTCTACAGAGAATATAAATTGATTACCGAAACTTTGTACTAAAAACCCACACATCTCACCCTGTTTAATGAAATATTTAATACTAATCCCTACATTCATGTTCGTTGACTTTCATCAGCGAATGTGTGGATCATTTGTACAGGTCTTCAGTTTATATTATTTTTTACAGATACTCAAACATGAGCTTTATAGTTGACCATCTATTCCCTGCTTGGAGAGAAGATGCAGCGGACGAATTCAGTCATTTCGCGTATTGGCGGGACCCAATACCGGAAGTACCACCACTCGAAGAACTTTACGCCCAGAAGCTAGCTATGTAATCAGAAATGTGTGCTTTTCACGTTAAACGAGAATGATACTTTACTCGTAATTCGATAACGATCGTTCGTATTTAATCACCTTTTATACTCCATGTGTTATCGGCCAGAGTGTTCTTGACTGATGCTACTTTTAAACGTTTTTTTACGAGATTGGATCATTTCTGCCCTGTTTGGAGATTGAAGGCTAACAAACAACATCATAAAAGTGCATAAAAATATCGGTTCTTTTTTTCAATGAAATGTGGATGATTTAAAAGCAACATCAGTCTACAATTGAATTTACACATTCCACTTGTATTAGAGTAGAAGGATGATATTGTAGTTACCAGCAATGTGAAATTGAAATTAAGTATAAGTTATATTGAAATGATTACATCAGTCAGAGAGCACAATGCGTGCCCCTTAATTGTACGGGGGAAAAAGCTCAGTGTATTAGCTGCTAGCTTGATAAACAGTAAAACGAACTGCTTATACGCCATGATTAAGGCAATGCACGCATTTTTTTTTCATAAGGTATGTTATGCTATCGATATCGGTGTGTGTAACCGAAGTAGGTAATAAACTCGCGCGTGAAGTGATTCGTTGATGCGTTTACGAAGAAGATTCGTTGTGCTAGAGAGTTTTGCTTATTAGTCAAACATAATGTAGCGTAATACATATAATGTACTGGCGTTTATTTCTGTAAACTTCCATTTCATTCAAAACTTGTAGGAATCTGTTAATCATAATGGTAATTTCTCTAGCACTCGAACACGTAATGTATTATGATATAATTTAAATACCTACGTTAGATTATTTTTATGAAATATTTAGTTAAAGAAATGTTTATTTATTTTTGTACAAGATCTCTCCATTGAATTAGTGTGCTGTGAGATTGCCATATCCTAGAATATGTAATCGTTTATGTATTGTGATATTTCGAACAAACTACTATTTGCTTAACAGTCAGGACGATCACAGTGTAAAAAAGACGAGTTCGTGCGAAGCATGACCAATGGATATTTCTATAGTTTCTTCTGTCGTATCACTCTTGACTTTTTCTATACAGTATATAACTTTAGTAACGTAAACAACGTCGTTAAATTGTCATTTTTAATGTATATTACGTCGATGTCTTTCAAAGTACATCACCTGAAGGTACGTGCTAACAAAGTAGATTAGGTTATTGTTTTTCTGTTACAAAGCTGTCTTAATAACATCTAGAAAGATGCCAGTTTAAAATATCCTCCGATTCTTGCTGCCCATGGGGCAAAGGTACAATTATTTTCCACCAAAGAAAAATAGAATTGAAAATATCTCACGAATTTTAGATAAACATCAACGATTCTTACTCAAAATGTGCTGTTAAGAATAGAATTTAAGAATTTTTATTACTTCAAGCAGTTATTTATAAGAATAAAATATCGATATCTCGACATCAATTAGATACAAACAGTGCTAGCAATGCAAGGTTATTTCATGGTACAGTATTGTATTTTAATTATGTGTCTACAATTTTTGCTCAATACGAAGATAATTTTTAATAAATTATGATCAATTTCGTTAAGCAAAACATTACGACAAACACAAGCAATGCAATTACTGTTTTTTCGTATATGATACACTATTAGTGTCTTCGGATTAAAATGCTAATTACTATTGTTATTATTAATATAGCAATAACATTATTATATTAATATCAACAATAATAATTACATTAATCACATTCATCATACGTAACAATAAAAAAAGTACATTGTATATGGATGTGTAAATTATCAGTCGTTTAACTTTCGGTAGTATTTTATCTCTCTTGTTAAGTACATTACTTTTAGTACAAATAAATTTAAATTAATTTATAATTTCATATATAGTTTGTAAAATAATTTTGTATGCTTTCGCGTAGGTGGTATCTTCAGATTATTACATATTAACGGATTTTTAATCGAATAAGTAACTACAGTGAAATTGCACTCGATTATACGTGTTCTATCGATATCAAATCTTAAGATTTCAAAGCATTCCGTAGTAATAATTGCAAACTAAGACTTGAAATGCTTTTTCGCAATAAACATGAATACTGCATAATCGAGTTAAATTGTTTATAAAATAAATGCAACTTTAAGTAACTGTGCGTATCTTTTGATGTTTCACGAAACACGAGTTCTCGTACATTCTGAATTTTTATGTTTCTCCCGTTTCGTTACTTTTCATCCACATTGTAGTTACGTGTTTATAATTTCAATTCTATTAAGTATGTTACTAAACCAAAGACGATATAGTTGCAAGTTTTGTAACGTAACAGAATCCTTCGCAATTCTTCTAGTTACACGTATTTTATTCTATATAAATATGATAACATCAATTTCCACATGTAATAATCATATACTCTAAAGGTTCCAAAGTGAATAAATGGTAGTTTACTGCCACAATAAGATTTTCTTGTATGTAAATATTTTGTAATGTAACTTTATTGGCGCTTCAGAAAGTAAACTCTTGTTTATTGTTATACCGTATTTACCGAATTTCGACTTGGCCAACGCGTTTTGACATCCTGATTAAGTTAATTTAATTACGAATTAGATTTTGTTAACGATACATTTATTATATTCTTTTGGTTATCGGTATTTACCTCGTACTTTGATTTTCGTTTATTACGCTTTATATTCCCTTCGTTGTCGGATGCATCTGAAGAGTTGATGGACACCTGGCTGCTTCTTTTATTAGAATTTACGTCAAAGACTATTTTGCGGTTATTATTACGTGTATTTTCTGAACACCAATAACATATGGTCTACGTGTTTAATAGCAAAAATTTAAGTTTATAGTGGTTTTATTATAGATTAATGAAGTAATTGTGTAATTTACCCACAGAACTCCAATTATCCAGCATATAGTAAAATACACTGATAATACCATGGTTGTTTTTTAAGAAAAATTCAAATGAAACATTGAGGCTTGTAAAATGAACGTATAATTTTGATATTTTACAGATACAAAAATGTTTAAAATTTTATAAATGATATCATTTGTTTTTGAAAATATCGGTCAAATGGATAACTTCATAGAGGAGACTTATAAAATGAAAACTTCAATTTTCTTTATGATACATTATATACACAAGATTCCATACATAAATCTTTCCTTAAAAGAATACATGCATCATGTATTATCGATTTCTTTGTCTTCTTCTACTTCCATTTGTGCCCCTATATTTTCTTTAACATCATCTTCAGATGCAAGTTTCTCATATCCATGTTTCTTAGAAAACACACCTAATGGTATCATTTTAAATGTAGCTAGTTGTTTATCAAGCAATTTCTGTAATGAACCACATTCGTTAGACTTTTCAAATTCAAACTTTGTATTATTTTTAGTAATCTAAATTGACATCTTACCAAAATTCGTGCTTGTTCAGGAGTTAATGTTTGTCCTTTCTTACACACAGTGTATTCTTTAAGTAATGTTACCACACCTTTCTGCAGAGCTGTAGGCATACCTAATTGCCTCAAATGAGGTTCTATACTATGGGGAAAATCTGCCATAGGTCCTTCAGGTAATGTTATAGTCTCTTGTGTAACAAAACCTGACCTGGCATAATCCTCTTCTTCATATTCTTCCATCCATTCCAATACCTAAAAAAACGTCGAAGATGTTTAATTAATAGATGTGTTTATAATAGATTACTAAAGATATAAGGAATAGATACCTACCTCGTTTTTACTTCGATTGGTAAAAAGCAAACCGCATTGTCCTCTTAATGCCGCTGACAATTTATGTACGCCTTCCGTAACTTCGTCTTCCGCTGATTTACCCAATGCTAACGCTATCACTTTGTTTTTACCAAAGAAAAACCGACTATCTTTCCATTCGGCTCGTAAATCTTTAAGTTTATTATTCCGCATATTGTGTACGGATATGAGAAATATGCTATCATATTTTTCAACACAATTTCTAACATCTTCTACAATTTGTTGCTTCAGCACAAGACCTTTCTTGCTCGTTTTAGTGAGAGATACTGTAAAATATAATGAATTTATAATCTAATATGACAACACGTGAAACATACTTAGGTTAGTTTAGAAATAGGTTAGTTTGAATAACGAAAATGATGAATTAGTACGATATAACATTACTTTTTTTATCTCTTTTTGACTTTGGCATTTTATTGTAAAATTATGTCACAAATTACACTAGAATATAAATTAACAAAGTACGCTATCACTCAGGCAAGCATGTGCTCCGGTATACATGTAACGTTCAAAGAAAATGGCGCAAGTTTACAAACGATATAAACGCTAATAATATTTTTAGTGTTTTCAAGCGTTAAACAATAATTTAAAATAATAGGTTCCATCGAATTTGATAGAATGTAAATTACAATCTTGATACATAACGAAACTTTTTCAATTAACGACAAACTGTTTCAATATTGTAATAGTATGCGAACCTATAATTGAAATTTATGTGTCAATATATCATTTAAATTTGTATTAAATGTTCAAAAATATCTATTCGATAAGATTTTCGATGGAAAAATGACATCTAATTGTGAATATTTTTATCGACAGATTTGAAAAGCGGCAGGAACGGAAAAGTGGTTTTCGAATACGCGGAAAGCGTCAAGTGAACGCAGTTCAAGATGGCGACTTCCGCTCGTTTCGCCAGTGCACTCTGTGAGATCGTAGTGGACGGGAGCCGTTGAATACAGTAAAGCCTCGATTTTCTGGGCCGCTTACAACACTCCAAAGGTGAGTCTTTTTTCCTGTATAATTGTAACAAGGTTATAAGAATAAAGCAAAGGTGTTGAACGCGATGTCTTCCAGTATATCAGTCGCAAATGATACGAGATACATTCGATCACGAGTTGTGTGAACCCCGTAGCCATGCAGTCCGCCGATCATTTTTCTAAATTGCTTGAAATAGTATTTAATTGATGGGTTTCATAGCGTTTTCGTGGTCAGTATTCTTCAATTTAGCCATATCAGGTGATTTACGCATTACAACGATCATTCGTCAAACAAATCATGGCGTTGGCAAAGTTCGTTGGATTGCGGTGCGATACGAGACGATCTGAAGTTAGTCGTTTACCGCTCACATTGCTGCGACACACGCGACGCGCCAGCTCTGAAAGAACGAGGTAATCGCCGCCATTTTAGTTACATAGCCGGTGATGAAATTATCTATCGTTCTCTAAAAATCTTTGAGAATATTGTTTTTTCTCCGTTTTGTTTCTGTTTGATATTCAACGCGTTTCTAGTTACCCTTATCGATTCCACTAATATCATAAAATGACATGGTTAACCGGTCGAATGGTTGGACTATGTTTTGCCATGTAAATTCTTTTCCCCCAAGTATTTAACGCCTAATATGGTTAGAAGAAATGGAAGTACATCGCGTGACAATCATTACTTATTCTCTTGTGCGCAATATTCTATCTGTTTACGCTTGAAGTCGCGATAAAGCATAGTACGCTTGTCGGTAAGCTTGTCTTCATAGAGGCGTGTGTACGTGCACTAGAGAGTATACGCCCTTTGACAAGTGAACCGATTATCATGCTTTCAATATTGCGTCGACACCGTCTTAACTGATAAACATCGAAGCCCATGGACGCAACTCGTCGATAGTGGCATTCAGTTTGCGTTTCTACACGTTAGACGACGCTCGAGCTACTTCCTCTTACGTACCGTCTCGTTATTGAACGGCATAAAATGCGAATCGTAGTTATCCTTTTTCCTTTGAATGGTGTTCTATCGAACGCCGATAAGTAGGAGCACCGGTTCTTATTTTCTCGTTATAACATTCAAAAGGTAATACTATTCCTATAGACTACGGTTTCTAAAGCGCATTAACAACCCAACCGATAATGCGGATATCCTGTCAAAAAATTCGCACAGCTGTTTTTTTTTTTTCCTATTTCGTCGCGTACTGTTTATTTTATTAGTCGGTAGCAGGAGGTTCCTTTAACAAACTTAAGAATCTGAAAAAAATCGTAGAAGGTAGTAGAAGCCGATGATGCTGTTCCGCGCCCCTACACGCACGATCGTTCACCGCGTAATCGCGATCAAAAACGAGAATAAAGTTAATCGGCAATTTTAGCGGAAGGTAGGCGTTTGTTCGTAGTGGGGGACCGTGAACTCTCTTTCTCGCTCTCTTCCCCTACTCATTCTCGGTCATCGAACAATTTCAACCGGGGAGACCTACTCTTTTCGCCAAGGCCGACGAATAGTCCTCCTCTGTCTTTCCGTTGTTTGCTGGCTCACTCGGTCGGTCGGTTGGTTGGTCGGTCGATTCGCGTCTCGTCGTGTCACGTCGATGACGTGTTCCACGAACGACTTTTCGCTCGTGCGTATTTGCGTAACGAAGCTTCTTCGTCGCAAAGGCCGCGCATTCTTCTCTTCGATTCCGTTTTTGCGATCCAAGTAAACGTTTCTCATTATTCCCACCAAGTATGTCGCTTCGTTCACTATTCATTCGTATCTTACCGCGTCCTACGCTTTTCTCTCTCATTTTTCGTTCATCCTTCTATAATATCTCATTTACGCATTTTGAATAACGCGTAAACGATCGACAACCTTCGGTGGAAATTACTCACGAGTCTTATCGAATTTAACCTTTCGCTGTACGTGTGTCAAGGCCGGCCCGAAAGTTTCGACGGTTTCGAAACGAGAAATCGAAGTTAACCACCGTTGAAATTGCTATGAAATCCGTACCGAGCTTATTTTTCATATAACCTTTTCCGCTCAAAGTTTGTTACACTCGAGTTTTTCATTTAATTCTATTATACCTCGTCGAGCGTTCAATAGTTTGAAACAGAAACGTTTATATTTCGATAACGTTCCAAATGGAAAAAAAAAATGAACCCGAAAAAATTACCAGCCTTCTCGAATAGTTCTTATTTCCCGTCTAAATTTATCAGCAAACGTGGAAACGCTGGTGATGTAACCCTATCGATTCGCGTCAATTCTCTTTCCCCCCTTTCTTTATTCCTTCTTACTCTCCCGCGATTCTTTCGAAGATCACTTTTTCCTTTCATTCTTTATCAATTTATATGAAATATTTAGAAAAAAATTTATGTTTAGTCTATGGTGTAACTAGGAACGTTTATATACTCTGTTTACAACCGGTAACGTCGACATTCCGTTGTACGAACGGTCGACGGGATATTTACCAAAGATTAGCGTGTGTCTTTGCAAATTTATCGTAATGGGTTACGCGTGTGGGGCAGGAGGTAATCGCGAACGAGCAAGGGGGCGATACCAGGATTTACGTAAGAACGGGTAACGCCGAGGGAAAGATCTGGTGGTTGCATAACCGAGCCAGCGACATTTTCCCAAAGTAATTTTTTAATTACTTCATCAGCCATTAGTATCTCTATCCTTGGCGTATCCGTTTTAAATATAAAAGAATGAAAAAATGTAATATCTAGTGTCTCTTTGGAAATGAAAATTGTATCCTGCGAACCGCGTATCCGAGGATTTCTCAACGCTTCGAAGAAACGTTAATCGTTAATATTAATGCATGCGTTTAATGATGTCACAGGATCGATTGGTATCGCGGCGTTAGCACACGCTCGTGGGAGGGGGGTACAGGGGCGACCGGTTAGAGTGGAACGCTCACGGAACGGCCATCGGGTAGATTGAACGCTCGCGATGCGATGAATCACCTAGCATCGAAGAAATTTATTTCGTGGAAACCGAAAGGAGAACTTGCTCGAACTACCGGAATACACGAGTGCATGAACGCAGTTACAAAACATCTTCGTCTTTAAAATAGCGAGTATGAACGATAATTCGACTGAGTATGGAGCACGTTAATTCCGCGTAAGAACGCTGGAACGCGCGCGTTACTCACGGACATATTTTTGCAGTCACAATTGAAATTCCTGGAAACAGTGAATCGTGCACTTGGCTCGTGTATTATTATATCCTTTTTATATCTCGCTTTTCGAATGGTATTTCAAATAAAATGCGGATTTCTTTTCTGTATTCTTTGCATAATCGACCGTAGTTGAAAAATCGAGCGAGTACGATAGCGACGGGTCGCACGGTTATTCAACCTTTTACCCCTAATTCTCTTTTTCTCTTGTTTTTCGACCCAGAAACCTGCTCCTATTTTCCAGCGTCGAAGATTCATGGAACCGGTGACACGATTCTGTTTACGTTATCGAGCTCTTGGCAATTTAGACTTTTGTAACATTTCGAAAACAACACGTCATTCGAATTAAAGTCTGTACTCTAACAGCTTCCGGCATAACGAAAAGGTTAAGAGCGTTCGCATGAGAAGATTTCAAATTTTCCCTCGGGTGTTTGAACGGCACTCAACGTGTATCGCGTGGGTGCGCGTATTTGGTCGCGAGCGAACGAGAACGAACCGCATCGAAACAGCGGGGCTTGACATCAGTCGCTATTCCAAGACGGCTGACGCACAAACTCGCGGGTTCATTGTGTGTAGAAGGCGTCGGTGCACGGTAGATCATCCCGTAACGCAAATATACCTCCGCGGTATCATTTTTGCCGGCTAATCGACCGGGTGACTCGTTGCCAAAAGGAAAGACGGAACACCCGGCCCTTTCGTTTTTCCTTTTTTGGATCGAGAAATAGAGACACACGCCATTCCTCGACCCAAAAAAGTTTACTCGAGGGACCGCTAAAAATAACCTCGCGTTTTCACGCGAACCCTTTCTACGCGTTACGCCACGCGCTTTAGTCGTCGGCCCCGACGCATCTCACGACGTTAAACGATATTTTCACAATGTATCATCGTCGCGATCGGTAAAGGATCGGTTGTCGAACGTAATTCGATGAGAATGATAGAGGATCGTTGAGAACGGGGAGTGGCAGCGGCGAGGGGAACGACACCGGCTCGTCACGGCCAACATTTTTCCCCACTGCTGTAGCCGTCGGTGAATCCGAGCTGGCGTAGGATTTCGTCGTAGGTGAATGAAGACGCTGAGAAGAGCGTAACGGTAGAAGCGTGTATTAGAAGACGAGTGAATGGCAGCGGTAAAGGCGCGTGCACTTGCCGCATCGATTGCGCAAGCTAATCTACGACGGGCCGTTGCTGGCATCTTTATAGGTTACGAATTTTCGCGCCTTTCCGTCGGGCTATCTCTGCGCATGCGCGTCGATCGTTTTTAGTAGCGCGGAAAAAATGCGAAGAGATTGGACGAAAGAGCGGCGGGGTATTTAAGATCGTTCACCTAGTAATCCTTTTAATCTGATAATTAAACGACGGTTTACATCCTCCTCGAATTAGTAACAAGATGAGTTAATTTAATCGTGTTGTCGCATTGAGAAACTCCACATATGTCGCGGATATCCTGTATATCAATGACAATAATATAATAATTTCGAAATTTGTTTTTCTTGCTGCCTCTAAAGTTAGGTTTAGTCTTCGAGTAAACAGTAGCTACTGCCAGATACGCGGTATTGGATTTTGCATTGTACCGTCTTCTGTAATTTGTCCGCATAAAGTTACATTTGAATATTTATCGCTAAACAGCAGCGGGGAAAATGAAAGTTTTCGTCGAGTATCTTTTTACAGAGAAAAACGTCAATTAACCTGGCGTTCGCGAGAAACACGTACGACTAACGAACGTCTCTCGCTCCGATTTCATCGTATAAGTGGCTTTTTTTTTTTTCCTCGACGAGGGTAGAGAAACCCTCGTGGAGGACAAGGGCCGACAGAGAAAGGGAGCACACCCACGCAATATCTCTAAACTGCCACCTGTGGAGCGCACCCCACGCTTTGTCGTAAACGCTTCCGCTTTGTATTTCGTGGATGTTCCACGATCCTTACAAAATCCTACTCTTTGATCTTTTACACGCGCGTGTCACCCGTCGCGGGACTTTTTCTTTCCCCGTTTCTCGTATTTTTAACGCAGCCACCCAGTCTCATCCTACGTCGTTTGTACGATTCAGAAATTCGTCGAGGTCTCCCGGACTCCGTTTAAATCCGGTCAACCTTGGGAATAAAAATGGCGCGTATTTGATATCGAAAATCAATACGGAAATACCGTGAAAAGTACGTCGATCAAGGAACGGTTCGAAACGATACTCGGCGACGAATCGGCCTGCGAACGCAAGGTCAGTGTCGTAACAATGTAACAACAGTTACGTTTCCTCGACTTTCGACAGTCTCGTTTTTCGTTTCCATTCGATGCATTTGTACGGATCTGCATATCTCGTCGATTCACTCGCAGTCTGCTCTCAAAAACAGATATCCAATGCGAGTTCTCGTAAAACAAGGGATTCGTTCATGGTTCACCGACGTCTGAACGAGTCTCTTTCCCCGATTAAAAAACTGCTCGTTTTTACATCGAATATTCTTCCATCGCTCTATCCGTATCTCTTGGAAACTTGTTTATTCGTTTGTTTTCCCCCGCAAAATAGGTCAGACGAGAATCCCTGGCAAACTTTTGACACACGTTCTACTTAAAAGTTTGTTTTTCGATAACGCCTCTCGATTATTCCCATTCCAGTCGTTGATATCCGATTTGATATTATTTTTCAAGTTATACGCTAACTTTATCAGCGAGTCAGATCGAGTGCTTAGATTTTGTATCGGGTCGACCGGAAAGTTCTATAGTCGTTGAGGATTTTCAGTCCTCCAAGGAGAACTTCCAAGTGTTCTTCTCAAATTTTAAAATTAAACCAAACTAACCGATATCCAATTAATGTTAATTCAATTAGTATTCGTATATTAGTGTTTCATAATGGATATCAGTATCGTGTGTGTGCTTCATATTCGCGGACAGAAATTTCCGATAGACAGGCCTAATAATTGGTAAGCTGTTTGCGGGGCGAAAACGAAAATAAGGGCTGTCACGCACGAACCGCGAGCTAATATTGATCTACGCGTTACTAACCTAGCGTACGTGCCCGTTTCCGAGCGGAGCGTTAAAGGTGTTCGCACAACGAACGTCACTCATCTTGAAAATTACCTGCCTTTGAACGCATCGCGTATACGCGTACAATACACAAACGGTTGGAAAAATGGAACGTCAACGATCCTCCGGCGTTACACGTTACCGTTCTTCTTTGACGCTGAATCAATTACAAGAAATGTCGTTTCAATATTTTCCACCCCCCGTTCATAATCTGTTTTCCCCTATTGTCTTCGATCTACGAACCTTGCTCGTTTCCTTTCGCGGATAACTTGTTCCCGAGGTAAAACGTCAAAGCAGATAACGTATTGCCAGCAAGGAAATTGGTTCGTAAAACCAACTTTATCGATTTCCATTACACGACTCGTCGCTTACCCTATACTTTACCGAACGCCACTCGAAACGACCGTACATTTTCTCTCGTCAAGATACTTCTTTCCCTAGATTTTCTCTTTGCTTTTCCTTCACGGGGGAAATGATCTATTTTTAGGGGAAAGGAATATCTGACCAGGAGGTTGGATACGAAGGGTATCCAGTTCGTTTGGTAATACAAGGAATTTCGATGAATTTTCATCGAAACTTTCGCGAAGGTCTCCGTTTAATTCGCTTTCGAATAGAACTGGTAAAATGCCTGTTGGGAAATTGCATCGGAGATCACGCGATGCGGTTAGAAAACCTATAATTCTGTTTGAAAAGTTATCTCGTTACTCGTTCAAATTTCATGATCGTCACGATAGACCGAACCCGTCAACTTATAAATACAATTTCCGTTGTCTAGGGTAGCGCGGGAAATATCGGACTGACATTCTTTCGATAAATCGATTTGGGCACTTACGATAGTTGCGTCATCAGTCTTATCGAATTCCCCTAAAATTACTCTGCTATAATATTGTAGAATATTGTAAAGAAGTCGGGATATCATTCTTCTTAGTCATTATTCCTTTTAACGTGCCCGAAGAATGGGAATCTAGGACGATTTAAAAATGTATTCCAACGGGAACTTAATAACTCTTTTAATGTCAGTATGAAAATACTAATGGTTACTCGTACACCTGGTTATTAACACTTTGATTTAGTTCGACCGCCGGATCGAAAGAGGGGAATTATTTAAAGGATCGGATGTTTCAATAAAATTGCTGCAGAAAGAAAGAGAGAAAAAGATAAGAGAGGACGCGAGCAGCGGAAAATGGTAGCCAAGTAAGAAGGGCGGGTCGGCTGCAGGGGTTGCGCGCGCCTCCGCAGATCAATATTTCATTTCAGCCTCACCAGCCAGTCCCTATTTCTGCACTCGTCTTCTCGATTCATCCATTGTACCTCACATAATTACTTCTTTCTCTACCTACGTATGTATCTGCTTCGTTTTTTTCTTCTTCGATGCGTTATCAGACGCGTCTTCGATACCGATCTTTCGGGTTAACTTGTTTGCCAATCGCGTCAAATGGCTGCGACAAAAATGCATCTGTATCTTGTTACCAGGTCATGTCTGCTTCATTGTATTTTTTTTCTTTCGTTTTTATTTAATGACTGGCAATTAATTTCTCTAACGGTACAATGCACGCTTAGATCGATATGGATGTTACCGGGCAGAAGATAAAAGAACAAATTTATACACGTAGATTATGGACCTCTTGTGTTGTTAAGTATTTATTATTTGAAATATTTCATGCAGACATGCTACGTTTACGAAGGGGTGGCTTTGTTAAATATGGAAATGGGAAATTGATCAATGTATTGCTTTAGATTAGGTATTGGTTGACAGGCATTTACATCGTGTACATAATTTCCCAAATGATTTGCTCACTCGGAACGGATATCACGTGTCGATGCACGTGTTCACGCGTCACGTTGAGGATTCGATTTTGCGCGTTCGATCACTGTTAGACGCTTTTTTTTTTATCAGCGTCGAACACAGGCTTATGAACTTATCTTTGGCGTAATATTTGTCATAATTTGTCGTAACTTATCTTTAATGAGTTAGAAAGGAAACTAATGATGGAGTATAGTGGGAGATATTCACCTAGGGGAATGAATAGACACGTGTACAAGAATATTTTATATTTCATTGATTATACTATTGTTACAAAAGGATAAGAACGATACCCATTGAAATAGGGATAACTTTTGAAGCATTGAAATGAAGTCGCGGAGCAGGAGAGGCCAGACCGGTCTAAGAAAAGAAAAAAAAGAGACAGGAAGAGAATGCTGAAACGGGCTTGTAGTGGTGGGATAGTGCATGAATTGGTCGCAGAATAAGGCGAATCGCGCGTAAGTGCGCAGCGCTATTTAACCCAAGCGCAGTAGAACGCATCGCGGCCGTGGCTGGCGTCCCGGGACAGGATGGCCGTGCGCCACTGCCCCACCCAGCCTCGGCAAACCGGCCATGCTGGGCGAGCCGATCAATACTTCGGTTCGGGCACGAGGTACTCCGAGGGAAATCGACGGAAACCGGGGATAACCGGAGAGAGCCGAGTCCCGGCACGAACCGCGCCGAGTCCCCACCACGAACAGCGTTGCCGGCTCAGTCGCTGTGCGGGAGTGGTCACTGAGGGATGTGTGGTATCGTAACTGAGTGTGACTGAGGAAAAAGACCCGGCGTAGTTTCTCCGCGTAATACGCTCTCGCTCTTTACCCCCTGGATAAAAAGGAACCAGCAATACCGAGAGTCTAGTCACAGTTTTCGGCCCCCCTCCCAATTTCGCGCGAGACTACGAAATACGCCTATCGTGTATTTATTTAAGTATTTATTGTACAAAAGACTTTAACTATAGGTAAGATTGCCAGGATTCGCTGTATCGCTTTTTATCTTATACGCTTATTTCATCTGTCGCCTCGTATCGTTCGCATTATTCGTTTCATTTCATTTTAATTCTTCATTTACTACGCTTAGCTGTACTTTTCATGCATGCCGATACGAAGACGACCGCTTTCCGTTGAACGGACTTCAGTTTCATAGCCTTACTTGGTTTTCGAAGCGGAGACATTTCGAGAATATGCTAGAATCTCGCGTGGTTCGGTCGCGTTTCATGCGAGTGGTCGAACTCGGAGTGAGCGAACCGAACCGGCTATCGATCTCTGCGGTCGATACTGCGACGCAGAACCGAATTGGTACGGTGTCTGTAATGACGCCGATTCGTTTCGCCGGAAGCATGGAGGTAATTCGTTGTCGATTTCTTTGTCCCCCTCGGTTCGTTCTTATTCGTATCGCGACACGAAACGGTCGAGAACGCCTCGTTCGGGGCGTGTTAGTCAAGAGAGAATGAGAATGAGAAAGGAAGGGAGAGAGAAAGAGCGCGTGTACGTGTATGTGCGGATAAGGAATTTCGCTCTCGCTTCGTGAAAGTAGCGCCGTGGCGCTTCGTTTAGCTCCCTCTTCAACGCGACTACGACTATGTCGACCATAACCTCAAATCATCCACGTATACGCACGCAATTTTCTATCTTTCAAATCGTTTCGCAAGCATAATCTTTGCCTTGACAACGAAAACTTGGTTCTTTACCATCCACAGAAGTGTCTAAATTACCTTTTTCTTGCTCATAAAATAAGCGGCTTAAAGGAAACCATTTCTGTACTCTTTCGCTTCGTCGTACCGCGGCCAAGTATTTTTCCTGAAATATTTTAATAACACACGGTATGTTTCATTTTAGAACTTGATGTATAATGCGATACGGGCGAAGATAAATGGAAGTCGCTGATAAAATTGGTACTTTTATCAGAGCGACAGAGATGTCACGTTATTCAGTTATATCATTCTCGTCTCGAGTGTTTTTTACTTAAACCGATTACATATTTTCAACTCTGCGACTCTCTGCGTCTCTGAAATGAAAAGAAAACGCGGTACATGTCGTAACCGTGAGCGTTCCAACGACGGTGATGCATTCCGGAAATGGAGTACTTAGGTGGTTGAAAATGCGGATGTATCTCGTTCAGAGTTTGACGGTATTTTTGTAACTCGTTCGCAAGAAACGATTCGAAAGCAAATTGGTTAGCTCGGCGAGTTCTTTCGTCACGTTCCATTCGCGATTCGCTCGAAAAGTCTGGGCCGGAAATATTTCACTGGCAACGTGGTGTTTCTCATCGGTTCTCCCGTAGATCCGGCAACAGTGTCGTCGAGCCTCGGCTAACCTAAAGCCAGGTGATTGCGCGCGATTAAATATAGGACGCCGAATACACCTACCGGTTTAATATTTCTGTCTGGTTTTCTTCGAGCAGGAATTTGGCTGCTTGACCTTCCGTTTTTCGTATCGTCACGTGCATTCTTTACCTCTCAACGGACTACGAATTGTCACGTTACAGAGCAAGTACGATAAATAACGGAATTGCAAGCGAATCGAGAGAGAGCGAGCGAGCTTTCGGTCGCTGTCATGATTTCAGCGCAACACCGCGACGCCCATGCCACCTACCTGATAGATTCGATCGTAAACCTTTTCGATTAATCTAGGCCACGATTGCACGGAATTTTATCGAATGATCCTATTAAAATCGACCCAAAGTATGACGATCGTGTAGCATTAGTCATAACACGGTCATAATTTATGATTAACGCAAAAGTGGAAACCACCAGTCGAATGCCTACTTATTTATTTAAAATATGAATCATAACCTTTACGAACTTGGAACGAGAGACTGGTATTTTGGAAACGACTTCAAAGCGCGATCTGCACATAGAATACCGTTGAACGTTACCTGTTCAACCACCAGTGTACGCAATTCGTTGGAAGAATTAATAACGAGCACGCGTACTGCACACAATATTGATCGTGTTCCACCTTCCGCAGCTATATGCACTTTATACACCGACGATCCGTCGTTGTGGTTCATAGTTAGGACATTCGAAAACCATCAGTTCATACTCGTCTGCCTGTGTCCGCGATATCTTTTCCTATCGAATGTGCGTGCGATTGATCGATATAGATCACAGGACATTCCCAAAATTCCCCCTTTTCTGTCATTTCATATTAAACGATTTCTACGTCTGTATAAACTAACAATAAGATAAGTATAGGGACGTTATCGTGGCTGAAGTTGATTCGATAACCGTGATAACGCGCAAACCAGTCGTTTCGACCGACTTGAAGTTGCTACGGATCACGACTCTCGACCACTTGATCGATTCGTTTTCATAACCGTAGAATGTCATGGTTTTGGAATTTATGATTGATTTTTAATCGCAATGAAATATTTAAAAATGCTTTTCTACGTGGAAGACGCTGAAAGATATAGTGCAAAGTGGATGAGTAACAGCGGCCACGTTTTTCTTAGTTCAGACGAAGTCTCGACGAGCGTGTCGAAACTATCGAGACATCGAACCGAGCTTGCGCGATATTTACGCGTACGTCTTTGCACCGAGAAGGAAGCTCAATCGATACGAGGACACGCTTCTCTTCCAAACTCGAACAAATATCATTTCTACAAATACATTCTTTTTTATATACTTCATTAACTGCGATCGATTTAGCATGTAACTTTTAGGTTAGGTTTAAGACACCATTCTTAATTGTACCAACTTCCAGTTTAAAAACTTAATATTTTTTCATTGGATACATCTATGGAACATAGTTAGTTGAACTTTTCTTTGGAAAGGAACGTTGAACTTGAAAATATATAGAATAGTGTATCCAATGCACTGGAAGAAGGAACGTTAAAAGCAGATGAGATGTTTAGATACGCGCCTACATTTTGGCGTGGTAACGCGCAGTCCGATGCAGTGACTCATCGGTTGCTGTACGATTGCAGAGGCACGTTGGATATCGTCGTCTTCGAAGTACATAATTGTATTAAATTTTCAAAGAGATACTTACTCCCGATCGAACGTAATCGAAATTGCCAGAAAAGACGGGGACAAGTTCTATGACCTACATGTTATGAAACGGTTCAAATTCGAACAGTTTCAAACACATTGGTGATAAGGATGACATTGAAATCGCGCGTCTAAGGTTACCGGCATTTCTCTTCCATGCTTCTTGTTCCTAATCGATCATTAACCCTAGAATAAGGCTTAAACGTTAAGTTCGTCCATAGCTGCTATTGGTCCAACGAACCCCGTTTGTCTGGATGGAAAGTCCATATTGTTAATTTTCTCTTTTCAGCCGACACAATGTCCGTGGACAAGGAGGAATTGGTACAGCGTGCGAAGCTCGCCGAGCAGGCCGAAAGGTACGACGACATGGCAGCCTCGATGAAGGCAGTCACTGAAACGGGAGTCGAATTGTCGAACGAGGAAAGGAACCTGCTGTCGGTAGCCTATAAGAATGTCGTTGGCGCGAGACGTAGCTCGTGGCGAGTAATTTCCTCTATCGAGCAAAAGACCGAGGGTTCTGAGCGTAAACAGCAGATGGCCAAGGAATACCGAGAAAAGGTCGAGAAAGAGTTGCGCGAGATCTGTTACGATGTGTTGGTAAGATATACTTTCATTCTATTCTTTTTATTTCACTTTTTCTACCGTTAAAAACAACCTGTTAATTCTCCAAAATTAAATATATTTTTCTGCGCGTCTTTTTGCAGTAATTACTCTCCCTCTTAGTCGCCTTAGTCGTTTATGCTCGATCGTTGAAATTGTGCGAAACACCTGGTCGTATTTGAACAATTGCCTTTTTGTAGCAGAAATTCTTATCTGTTGCATACTTCCTACGACTTAACGGGTACGATTACGTACCGCGATAACTTAATTGACATAAAAAGCAACGTGTCATAATTGCAAACACATTGTCAGAGTGTTAACAGCGGTAGAAAATATCGAAGTAATCCCTCTTCGTACGAGACACTCTATACGGTTGTACCTGTTTGGATCCTCTCCAATTTGACTACCGAGATAATAATAATCATCGTCAGTATATAGAAATTGTTCGCGATGATGAGTTGCAACATTGTCGCGTTTAAAAGTACAATGCAAATATACAAATATCTGTTTTTTCGGTATCGTTCGTCTCGCTTTACCGTGTTTTCAACGATTCTCAGTCGCCTCTTCGTGTCTCGAGAACTGGAAGATCGCTCACCGGTTTGAATTTCACGCGGCTCTATTACGGCTCGTCTAAGTAGCTCGTCTTACGATTTCTTCTCGTCATCCAGCGAGCGTGACAAAGCGTTTCAGAAAGTGGACGCCTTCCCTTCCGTTGCGGGCTTCTTCATTTAGTAACGTTTGGTAGCCTGCCCTCTTTTCCAAAGACCGTTCACAGTTTTCTAACCGTGTTAAGATCGAAGGATATTTTCCGATAACAAGGAAATTGGTAATCGCGCGAGAGTTAATTATTTGAATTGATCTTTACAGGGACTCCTTGATAAGTACCTGATCCCCAAGGCTAGCAATGCCGAGAGTAAAGTATTCTACCTCAAGATGAAGGGCGACTACTATAGGTATCTCGCAGAAGTCGCCACCGGAGAAACCAGAAACGGTATGTAGTCTTTTACTTCATTCCATTACTAACGATTTTGCAACAACGATCTCTTATTTTCGTTTTAATCAGTATTTTTTTTTTTCCCCCAACTGGAAATCCATCGTTTATCAACATTTTTATAGCGTACACGCTGAAGGGCGGTTTACTTGTGTACGACACAAGATATACGGTATTATTTTGAAAGCAACGCCGTTGAAGATATTTTTACCTGTGCAAGTCTATGAATTATTCGTACGTGGTCAATGCGCGCTTCTTTTCATCGGATAGGAAGGTACTTTCTTATACCTGTGTCCTGAGCTGCTCTTTCTCCGTACCTTATGAAAGAAGGAAGCACAGCTGCAGAGGCAGATGTTCTACCAAAATGCACCAACGCGTTCTTCGATTTTAAAATGGATTTCACCGATTCTTAGAATAGATACGTTATACCTGAACTTAACTAATACGCAGAGGTACAAAGAATCCTATGCGTTTCACAGCATTCTAAGAAAACGCGTTAAGAAACTTTGAAAGATAAAAATCGTAATTTCTCTTGAAATTTAAACAAGAGCGTATCATCTGTGTTCGTTAACCCTTTCACGTTCATGAACCTGTTCATCACGTTGACTGTCTCTTTACTGTATCCGAATGAATTGACCTGAAAGCATAACATTATAGAAGTTCTCAAATATATACCGTTTGTTAAAACTGTCTCAGCTAGCGTGACAGTCAAAGTGATATTAGGTTGAAAGGGTTAATTATCAATGATAGAATACATTGATGAATGGTGATAATGTTTGCACGTGATACATGTATATGCATATTCAGCCGTGGTAGACGACAGCCAGAAGGCATACCAGGATGCGTTCGAAATCAGCAAGTCAAAGATGCAGCCTACTCATCCGATCAGGCTAGGTCTCGCCCTCAACTTTTCCGTTTTCTATTACGAGATCCTCAACTCGCCAGACAAGGCCTGTCAGCTGGCCAAACAGGTATAATTTAAAAAAAAAAAAAAAACCACCATCAGACTTTGGATCTATCCATAGTTTGAATGAACCGCGGTGGTATGCGAAAGGATATGGTGGTGATGCAGTGGAGGCAAAGTAAAACATACGAAAAGGCACACTCTTTTTAACTTATCATCGAGCTAGCATTTAATATAATTTTTATATAAGAAACTCTCGAGACAAGCACGTACTCGAGGATGGGCACACAATATCGGGTGCTGTTACATTGTTCTCCTTTTTCCTCCCTTCTCCTCGCTTCCTCTTTCCAAAATTCTGTCCGTATCGTCGGCGACTTACGGAGGTCGCGCTGTTGGCTGCATACATAAATATTCCAGGAAATTGTAATCTGGACTGTTCCCGGTTTTGCATTTACAGCGGTAGTCGAGGATTCGCAGAAAGCGTACCAAGAGGCGTTCGACATAGCTAAGTCAAAAATGCAGCCTACGCATCCCATCAGGCTCGGTCTTGCTCTCAACTTCTCCGTTTTTTATTACGAGATTCTCAACTCGCCAGACAAGGCCTGCCAGCTGGCCAAACAGGTATAATTTACAAAAGCCCAAGAGCCCGTGTGTGCTGGATAGCCGTCGTTTTTCGTGGATAAGTTAGCGAGAGGATGCGAGAAAGGGACTCTCTGTGTGCGATGCAGTGGAGGCAACACACACGAACGATTATCCATCTTACAGAAGAGATTACAATTTTTCTTGGATATTCTTTTACATCATTTTACAACAAGTTCAGAGAAAAAATCATTAGCAGTTACCAGAGAACGAGTCGGGTCGTGTTCCTTTCTTCTCCTGATTTCCTCTTTTCTTCCTTCCTTAATTTCTACTTTTATTACATTCGTCGAGAAAAGGTTACGCGTTCTATGTAAGAACATTTGTGAAAATTGTAATCTAGATTCACCGGTTTCCATTACAGCGGTAGTCGAGGATTCACAGAAGGCGTACCAAGAGGCGTTTGACATAGCAAAATCAAAAATGCAGCCTACTCATCCGATCAGGCTCGGTCTTGCTCTCAACTTCTCCGTTTTTTATTACGAAATTATTAATTCACCGGCTAGAGCCTGTCATCTTGCCAAACAGGTTAGGGGATTGATAAAGGGGTGAAGAAAAAAAGAAAGGGGGTTTGCTTGATCGTTGAGTCTGTAAAATTTTTGAAGTACGATAACCGTGTTTCACCTATTCTGTAACATTGCATCTTAATAATTGATAGCCCGGTGTGCCGTAAATATGTCTTGATATCAAATGCAGTGTTTGAAGTGTGTGTACTAACCCAGATAGATAGACATAAATTAATACGAATGTCATAACGTGTCTCCACTGTATCTAGCGATAACCGTTCTGCATCACTCGCGTTCTTCTTCTTCTTTCTCCTTTTTTCATTAACACTTTGATGGCTCGTGTCACTTATCCGTGGCATTTTATTATCAGCATGATTGCGATTCAAAAATTGATAATTTTTACGATTTGTCAAAATTTGTGTTTTGAAATATGTAAATATGAACGTATCGCCGTCAAACTGTTAACGTTTTTAATTTTCTAATTGCAAAATTGCATTTATGCTATGCACGAATAAACTCGCGTTAGCGAAACGATGCAACCTCTTACATAAGAGATATTCGTTTCGTAGCTAAATCGAGTTGTATTTATTTTTCGTTTGATTGTGTTTGTACGAGTACGGAATGTTTCATAATACGTGGTCTGACTTCAACGATAAATTATCAAAGTTCTTGTCTATTGTGCGTTGAAGCGGGATCCGTCGTGTTATGAAATTGCCTGTAGAGTGTAATTCGTAACGGGCGTGTTTGTTAATAATTCTCTGTAAACGTTTCAGGCGTTCGATGATGCGATCGCAGAATTGGACACACTTAACGAGGACAGCTACAAAGATTCCACGCTAATCATGCAGCTTTTGCGCGACAACCTCACTCTCTGGACCAGTGACACGCAGGGTGACGCGGACGAAGCACAGGAGGGCGGCGACAACTAACCTTCCTAAGCTTAAGTCCCTTTCTAACCTAATAAGAACATCCTATTCTCTATCGTCCCCCGGTCCCTTGAAGTGCTCACCCATTCATCCACCCGAGATCGATTTATCCATTCGCCTGTCCTTTCGTCCCTCGCGTACCTCGTTTCCTTCTTCCTTTCCCTATCTCTTCTCCCACTCGTACCTACTTAAACCCTGCCTTTGCCCTATATTTTACCTGCCCCCCCACCTTCCTTACTTCCTTCCTTTCTTCCTGTCCACAGTTGGCAAGATCTCTCCTCCTTTTCGAGTCCTTTTTTCCTTAATCTCTCCTCCTCGAAAACTGTGACATATATATATATATATATATATTTTTTTTTTCTTTGTTCAAATCGCGACCGCACATTGCTGCCGATACCACCGCCACAGCTGTTACGCTTCGTTCGGAAGCTCGGCAATCTTGCTCTCGACCGTTTTCCTTTCCTGGAGGATCGATTCGCGTATTTTAGTGGACTCCACCACCTGCCATAACATTGCCCCTCGTCGTTGTAAACCTTTTATCAAACGCAAAGTTATTCGAATCTCGCGTTTATATCTGTAGAGGGAGAGAGAGAGAGAAGCGTAAAGTTAAGAAAAGGAGAAAAAAAGAGAAGAAATCAATGAATTTTTATCAGGTTACAATCTACCATCCGTTGTAAGACCTGTAGTTATTGTACCCCCATCCTGTTAGGATGACCCTCGATGAAAGGAAACGGTCGAGTTCGCGAGAATCGCTCGGATTCTGATAGTTTTCTTCGTGAAAAGCGTATCGACTCGTGTTTGTGTCAAAAAAAAAAAGTAAAGAACAGGAAGGAGCAAATTGTGGATGAACAGAGGAAGGAACAGGAAGGGTGTAGTAGTTTCACGAACCACCCCTTGTCTCGTCGTGCAACGTTGCACGGTGATTGAATTAAAGAGAAGCATATTAAAGAGAATAACAAGTAGAGAGTGTAAAAAAGAACACGTGTCACCCGCAAGAAATTAGTGTTCGGATGTGTAACACGATCAAAATGATCGTCGTTGCGTGTGTATCGCCGTTGGGGCGAGACACGGGGATGTGGTGAACACCGCGATACGTACTGTTCATTTCTCCCATATCTGCTCTCGCTATTTACCATCTAAAAGTATCGCTAAACGAAACAGAAATTCGAGAAGAAATGAAGACAAAGGAAAAAAGCACGCATGAATCTAAACTACATTATATCCAGTTGTCATTAAATTAAATTTCACATTGTCTAGCAAGTACGATATTATTATACGAAGGGAAGAACGCAGGAGGAGAAAGGAGAGTAAAAAAAGAAAAAAAAAAATACATTAAGTTATTAAGTTCCAAAACAACATCGGTGGTGACTTAATTTTACATTTGGTATACTTGTTAGTAGATATTTCAAATGCTCCTAAATGCACACGCGCGCGCATGTACACATTTACTACGTCTTTGGATGCGTTATCGTTACCTCTTTCTTTTTTCTTGTCTTTTTTTTTTTTTTAATTAATCAACAAAAATTATCGCCCGTGGTTTATATTTCGCACTCTTGTTTAGAAGACCTTAAAATAATTCGTATCGTTATCGTTATTGTTATCTCGTTATCGTAATTTACCGTGTTGTCGAGGTGAGTGAAGAAAAGCACACTGTAAGTTTTTCAATTTATATTTAAGATCCATTGTATGCTGGCCGTCCGTTACAAACGCGCGAATATTGAAAGAAAAAAAAGTGAACACTAATTTTGATTTCTCAAACGATCGATCGATACGTGTGACAATCTTTGAAAAACATTTTCACACCCTCCCTCTTCCATCCTATTCTTTGACTCTTTTGCACCTTTCTCGTACACACATGTCTCTTCTCTGTATTTCTCTCTTTTTTTTCTATCTCCTTCCCTACCTCCTCGCATATATGTTATATATATTTATATATATACATATATTATACCCAATAATATATATATATATACACAACAGATATTTACCCGTCAAAAGTCGTTCACCTCTGTCGCGATAAAAGAAAAGGAAAAGAAGAAAATGAGAAGAAAATTGTGTACGCGTATAAAAAAAAATCTCTTTTTAACACAGACACACGCACGCGCGCGCGCGCATCCATACATACGTATATGTATGTACGTTTTAATACGTATATACGTGTATATATATATTATTCAGTTTCATAGATGAAAATCGATCTCGTGGGAATTGTCGATAGTTTGGAAATCGCTCGCGTTATTTCCCGCAATTCCATCGATTACATATAATCATTTTTCGGAATATATATCATTGTAGAGTTAATGTTATTGAATTCAAGGTCCGCAGGAAGAACGCGATAAAAAAAAAAAAACCAACAAATTTACTAGACTGTGTCTTTTTTTAATTTAAACGAAAAGCTTTATAAACATTGTTCGACCGCGTATTATCGTTACGGTGAAATTAAATTTTTTTTTTCTCTTCCCTGGTTTCACGGGGTGACGGAATTTTCAAGAAACAAAAATTTGGGCAGAAGGAGATATGTGAAACACCCGGGGTTTCGATCGCCTCGACCGAAATTTCGTAACGAGGGACGTTTGTACGTTTACCATTTTCGAAAATGGATCGAGAGAAATGTTGTTAACGATCAATGGAATTTTGAAACACGCAACGTGTAGAGACGTTCGGTCCAGGGGCGGATTAACATGTGTATATATATGTACGAATCAAGTATTTTTAATTATTTGATGGTTAACGAAAGATCAGTGTTACGTTTTTACTTAAATTTTTAGGTAAACAGTTTCTTAGTTCTCGCCGATCAAATACAAAGTGGATTCCGTTTGTTTCTATGTTAAAACCAAATTAGCTTTTTTACGATATTGAAGAAGAAAGATAATAAATAAACATTAAGTACGTTTCGCTTTGATTTTCTTATCACTTTCATTCTTTTGTCGAACAAAAGTCGGTTTGAACACCTACAAGATAATCCACACCATCCGCCTCTGGTTCGGTCCATGTTCCATCATTGTTGGTCCTATGCTACCAGCTAAAAACGGTAGAACGAAAGAAAAAAAAAACGAACGCATTCTTCGTCTCTTGTTACAATCATTATTAATACATTTTTAAGAGTATGTAATAGACCCGCGCGCGCCCTACCCTCTACACACTGCTACCATTACACGTAAATGTGTATTGCATAGAAGCAAGTAACGGTTATCGATAATTACTACCAACGTGTGTGTATGTGTGTGTATGGGTAAATGTTTTTTCTGACATGTTGTGTATTTTTCAGTGTGTCCGTGTTTCTCTGTCAAGTCGAGCAAAAAAAGAAGGAAAGGTGAATGAACGATTCGGGAATAAAAAACGAGTCGATTTTGCAAAGGTGGTGGTGTAGTAGCCCCTAAAGGCGATTCTACGGAAATTCTTTTTTTTTCTCATTATGTTTATTACATCGGAAATCGGCAGATGACAACAATTGAAGTTTCATAGATTTCACGGTGTGCACGCTCGTAACGAAATCGACAATTGATGAATTATTATTCGTTCATGCGAGACGAAGCGGACGCTTTCTCTACGTAGTTATTGATACAAAGACTAAACAAAAGTAACAGTGGAAAAAATAATGACAAAAGAGTGCAGGAAGAGTTCTCTTAAATTAAAAAAAGGTGGACCTGCTGTACGAGTTCGAATAGGTGTTGCAGCGGACAGCTGTAACGTTCGGGTCTTATAAGGTTGCAGAACTATTAATTTGCATTTTAATACTGGTCTCGTTCTCGTGTAGCAGGTCCAAATGAAACCTTTATAAAATTTAATCTCTTTTTTTATGCTTCAGCCGTATTTCAATATTGTTCCTAACCGTTTTGCCTTCACTAAATTTTCAGACCTTCAGTATCAGACCTTCATTTTCAGATCATCGCTCTTTCGTGAGCCCGACTCGATTTAAAGAACTTTATCGGTTTACAGTTCTTTCAGTTACTGAGAACTATGATTTTTCTAATAAATATTTTTCTCTTCTAATTATTAGAGCGAGTTTAATCGGTAGGTAAGAAAAGAACAAAAAGCGAAGATTACTGTTAGAAGCGGCGAAGAAACTATGCGCCATCGCTACAATTTTCATCGGTCCCTTCCTGCGCTCGCTCCTTTGCCAATCTAATCCTATCCAGTTTTTTCTTTATTATTTAATCTTGAAAGTTTAACGTAAGAATGAGGTTATCAAAATATTCGTGTCGCTTTTTATGTATTCAAAATAACGAAACATCCACCATTCCACTTCAGTTACAAATTCTTTTAATTTGTTAAATCTCTCCTTCCTTTCTCCTTAATCCGTCTCTCCATTCTTCCCTCTTCTCCTTTCTCCTCGTTCGCAGAAAGAAAGGTAACCATCGCAAACCACCTCAAACTACTTCATCCACTGAATTTCCCTGATTTCCTCGTCCCAACTTACGTTGTTCTATTTGTATTTATCATCGATCATCATAATTGTAAATTATAATTATTATAAACGTTTACACGAAATAATAAATTCTGATAAAATGTCTACGAAAAAAAAAATATATATAAGATGACATAACCTCGATTGTGCCCTGCTTTGCAGTATCGTCAGGATTCTGGAGATAACCGTTTTTGGCATCGATACGGGGGATGAAAAATAAGGTGAAAAATAAATGACTATTCAAATTGTTGAATGTTTTATTAGTTTCTTGGGCCAACAGGATTAACGTTTAGTCGAGTATATTTCTGTATACCGAGGGTCGAAGACATAACGGAAATTGTTGCGAAAGATGGAACACGTAACGATATTCGTTATTCCTCTCTGACTCATAAATATGTTCTCAAAGAATGTAAAGCTATTCTTAAACTTCAATTTTTCAACAAATAACGATTACGCTTAAAAGTAATACTTGTTTCCAAAATTATTTGTATGGAAATCGAATAGTGCTTGTATCTTGCGATAGTTTGAATTTAAATTTGAACAAATTTAATTTCAGATGCTACAGAGCGTGAGTCAAACATGTTACAATATTTTATGAGAATTCTTTGTTACAATTGGCGTTATTTCTTATCGTCGTCGCCAACTTCGTAACTGTTATTCTCGGTATCGTTGATTCGAAATTCCTTGCAGTTAGATTAATAACAAAAAGAATTAGGATAAATATGATAATTAGGTTTGTTTGGATGTGGACGGAAATCGTTTGATTCTTTTTCTTACGCTGCCTCGAAAGAACAAAAATTTATAACAGTGGCGTTTGATTCGAATGAGACGGGTAATAGTGCACAACAATTTGATTGCACCTAAAAAAAAACAATATTTCAAACATTTTTGGTAATTCTGTATTGATAATTGGAATTAAGAATGTAGCAATGAAGTAGTTTTACGATGTCTTTGTACATCTTGTTAACTTCCAAAGTTTATACGAGAACATGTATGTTTGTATATTCGCTTACAAAAAAATACAGTAATTTATTTGGCTTTTAATAAGTATCAATATATGTATTAATCCTTACATGTTTTGTCTTAGTTTATTTTTTCTTCTTTTTTTGAAGTTATAACAAAGAAGACGAAGAAAAAGATAATAAAGAAACGTTCAGTAAAAAAGAAGGTAATGGTATTTCATGAGATTTCAGCGAACGAAGAAAAACAGAAGCAATTAAAATATTTTATGGAACACACTTGTGCTGATTGTATGAAAAGTGGGGAGGGGGCATTTACCGGAAATCAAACCCGGAATCTTCGCCTTCGCAACTAGATACTTTAGTCACCGCGCGATGATAGCGTTTCAGTTCTACTGTAATACTTCTACTTACATACATAGCGATTGTACTTGATTATGCACGTGACTTTTAAAACCTGATAAGTCTAACCAAAATCAATTCTGCATAATTAAAATTTTGCGTAGTTCCTGCTTTTTCTACATGTTACTGTGTTGATTAGTACGAAAAAAGTGAAGCAAATAACTTTTTTGTTCGTTAGCCGAAATCGATAATGTTTGAATACGAAATCTCTCGACGATATTTCGAAATAATGTGACGAAAGCTACACACGTGGCCAATCGGTCGCAAAGCAGTATATAATTGGAGTATATAAAGCAGTATATAAATATAAACTCTCGAGGTTTACACGCGAATCACATAATAATTCGGTTGTTCTTCAACTTTAAGCGTGCTATCATTTACTTGTTACAATGCAGCAGACCGGGGAACAATTTAATCGATATATTGCAAAGGTATGTGAATAATTAAAAATGTACGTGAAACAGAGTTGGTAAAATTCAATTACCGATGAGTGATAATGCATCCTACATAAGTTCGGAAATCAGACTAATAATATCGGAAATATGTAATTGTTTAATAAAACATATTTTACTATTATTAGAAATCAATTTCGTTACATACCGATAATCGTATGTCGATAATGATTATGTGTAGTGAAAATGACCGATTGAATTAAACTGTTTCACTGTGTTCAAAGGTGTAACAAAAGGAGACGCTTATATGTCTAAATTAGCTTATTCTCGTCTAGAGTCAACTGATGCGTGTTTTAAAATGACATTTTTTAATACGGAATATTGAAAATATGTAATTTCCGAGGAAATAGTGTAGCATCGTTATTGACTGATACACGTATCACTAACACCATCTACGAACGATTCCTAAATTTAATTTTACAAAGAGTGGGGTATATAGTGTTAACCATGTTATTGGTGGGGGTTTCGTGCAGAAGCACACGTAAAGGTCACCTTCAGTTTAGTCAGACTCGGGACGGTCCGAGTAGTTTGACGTTTATCACTAGAACCGCGAATTCTGAGTAAGATTCAATCTAGAAAGAATATCGTTCCTATTTCGTTTTTCGTTGCGATTGGATATATAATCTTTTGGTGAGTGATACAAGAATTTCATTTCTTTCCGATAATTTTCAAGAATAATAATTTATCGAAGAAATGTCAGCGACAAGGTGACGTTATCTTGTATACAAATTGCAGTGAACTATCATTCTTAATTAATTTGTCAATGAATTGAATCAGATTGCTCGTAATTGATTTGTTTACTTCATAATTTAATTCAAATCCTTTTATTCGTAATTTTTACTCTACAAGTTCGTGTTACTTGAACAATAAAATTCCAATGATCTATAACGTATCACCATCGTTCTGATGTTTTGATGCACAGTACTTTTGAGGCTCTGCCAGATTCCATCGATTGTTTGTACATATATTATTTTATTTTAAAATTCGAAGGACTGTCGAATAACTTTTGTGTTGCAATGTCCTTTGGGAGTATGTATTCCTCGTGTATTGTCTGCTTTTAGCTTTATTTACGATCCTCATTTTATTACAGGACGTAAAGAAGAATCGTTACGTTTCATAAATAATTGAATCAATCTTATATTATATATTTCATCATTACCGATTTACTATTATGCAATTATTATCAAAATAACGTTATCGATGTAATTCAATTTTCGAATACAATATGTGTATCGTATTAAGAACAGTGTATCCTTTTTTCAATGCAAAAATGTAACTGTCATACAAATGTAAAATTATCAGCTATGTTCATGTCATGAATGAAGATTATTAGAATCAAGATTTATATTGTCAGTACTTTACGTTTTACTATTTAAGGTTATATTTCATGTAAATTTTAATAAACAATATTTATTTAAATTTATTGTATATTTTCATAAAGATATGTCCACGAATAACGAGGATAAACAATGTACTTGTACAACTACAGAGGAACTAGAAGAGAAGTCTTCTTCTCTTTTAGATTCAACAAAAAGTAATACGTTAATTGTGAAATTATTTTGAAAGGTAATTTTCTAATTGTAAAGATATTAGAAAATAATATCAATATTTGGTTAGATAACGAAGAGAATCAGTCTATTATTTCTATGAAAAATGATATATCTGTAAAACGAACCAGTACTTTTGATAAAAGCAAATCAATTTTAAGTCAAACAGGGTACAGTATTGAGAGGATAAAAAAGATTAATATTGAAAATATGAGATTATCAGTGGCTTTTCCACAGGTAAAATAAATCATTGTTTACCTAGGATAATATATTTTTAACTTTGATTAATTTGATACAAATTTTAAATAGATGTTTGGGCATAATGTTGTTCCTGTGCCAGACAATATTCCCATTAGTTTCTGTTATGACATAGAAGGAGCTGTAGAAGATTATATTGGTTCTGATACATACTCTTATCCTGATATACAAATTGTAATAGCAATTGAATTAATAAAAAATAAATTAAACCACATTATATTAATGTATGAAAGAATAAACTGATAAATTTTTTTGTTAATCTTAAAGAGTATCTATAAAAGTGATAATAATTGATAGTTATATTGATTTCATTATAGGACCATACTTGGAATTGCAGCGACAAAATGACGGAAGATCTAGCAGCACAAAGGTTTATAAAACCTGGTAGTCATAAAGGTAAAGGCTTAGCAGTCTTTACTAGCGGTGGTGATTCTCAAGGTAAAAGATGAAATCATTTAAATGAAACAAATATGCCCTATAATTTATGTTTCATTATATTTTTATTATATCTTGTTTTGATAGGAATGAATGCTGCTGTCAGAGCAGTTGTTAGAATGGGTATTTATCTAGGATGTAAAGTATTTTTCATTAAGGAAGGTTATCAGGGAATGGTGGATGGTGGAAATAACATAGTGGAGGCTAATTGGTCCTCTGTGTCGTGTATCATTCATAGGGTATGTATCTTAATCTTATATTTAAAAAGATGTTTTTTTATAATTGACATAATGATTATATGTTTCAGGGTGGTACAGTAATAGGTTCTGCTCGATGCACAGAATTCCGGGAACGCGAAGGCAGAAGGAGAGCTGCAAAAAATTTAGTAGTTCGTGGAATAACTAATTTAGTTGTAATTGGTGGTGATGGTTCTCTTACTGGTGCAAATTTATTTAAAGAAGAATGGCCTGAGTTATTAAAAGAATTACACGAGTCAGGTAAGGGGGAAACTAATATTTTTGTATGCATTATATAAGTCTATTAATACTCATTGTTTGTTTAGGAGAAATAACTGCGGATCAAGCAGAAAAGTTCCAACATTTGCATATCGCTGGTATGGTAGGTTCAATTGACAATGATTTTTGTGGAACTGACATGACTATTGGTACCGATTCCGCATTGCATCGTATTATCGAAAGTATCGATGCCATTGTTAGTACTGCCTATTCTCATCAGAGAACGTTTATTATGGAAGTTATGGGACGTCATTGCGGGTGAGTTAATATTCAGAAATTGTTGATAAATTTGCTTACATTTTCTAGAAAGAAAATCTTATTTTTTTAAAATATTTATTTAAAATTATGTATCGAAAGAACTTGATATTTCAGCAATAAAATGGCACCAGTTGTTAAAATAATATATGTGATAAAGTTAGAAAATATTTAGTTTCAATTATCCTTTACAAGTTTAATAAACTTTTGGATAGGTATCTGGCAATTGTGGGTGCTTTAGCTGCAGAAGCAGACTATGTTTTCTGCCCAGAATCACCACCTCCTGCTGACTGGCCTGATAAGCTATGTAAAAAATTGGAGCAGGCACGTTGGTTATAAACTGTCTAAATTTCTTGTTACAGTGTTATCTCCCTCTAACTTAATATAACAAACTCAATCATTTTTGTTCTTTATACGTATTTTTGGTTGCTTCATTGTGTCGAAAGTGTTTGGGGAGGGGGGAAGGTGTTACCTAAATTTACATCTATTTCTCTCTAGAATTAAGTACAAAATTGGACAATTAAGAAACGTTCGATTTTAGCAATAAAGAAATAACTGTTGATAAAACGATGTAAATGACTCTTAATAAGTCAATTTGATGTAATAGAGATTCAAAGATAATTAAAGAGAAAAGCCTTTTAGGTATCTTACATTAGCTTCGAGTTTAGCTACAGAAGCATGTTATTGCTTTATACCTGAAGCACCGCCGCCAACTGATTGGGTCGAGAAGCTTTGCAAAGCTGTGCAACAGGCACGTTTTTAATCAATTATTCTATTGTTGCTGGAAAACAACCTAAGTATCATATAAAGCTTATCAGTATTTTGATTGAAATCATTTATATTCAAAGTGTGTCTGCTTCTTTATCAGATTAGTCCAATTAATGCGAACAGATAAAAGTATGCTAGGTTCTGACCAGGGTCAGTTACAGTATGTTGCTAATTGTAAAATTTGTTTATAGTTATTTTACATGAAATTCAATCTCTTAGAACTTCCCGTTTTTTGTCATGATAATGATATTTTTTTAAGGGTAACATCATTTTCAATTGTCTTTATGTGTTTTGTTAGTCTAAAAATGAAAACTGTTCATTTCTTTCATCATAGTTATTAACATTTTGACATTATTTAATGTTTGTAGCTAGTTTTCATAACATACTATTACAGTTACCTGGCTCTAGTGGCAGCCATATGTTGCGAAGCTGATTTTGTGTTCATCCCAGAGTGGCCACCAGAACAAGACTGGCCAAGCAAGCTGTGCAAAAAATTATTGCAGGTTCGCAAATACTTTTTTTTATAATTTTTTAAACGGTTATACAAAATTATTTGTAAATTTCATCGCTTATTGCTGTTACAACCACGAAAAAAATTCCTGCTTTAAATTTTCGCTTTATTAGTTCATTTAGAAATAGGTGGAGTGATAAATATATTACTTTAATTATAATTTAGTTTCTTTATTATTCGCAGCATATTTATTGTATTTAACAGTTTTAGTTCTAATCCCAATGTAATGTACGATTTTACCCGTTTAACAAAAGCCATGTATACGTTATTCATTAAAAAAAAATCATAACTAATTAAATGTTTAGTATAGTTACGAAAAAAATTGAGGTAGTAATGTTACAGATTGTTGTATGGTAATGTATTGATATTTATTTTTTATTTCATCCGTTATATCTTCAGTTATTTTCTTGTTGCTCCAGATTTATTTCACAGACAATTTTTACAAACAAATTTTAATAATAATATTAATGTTTTTAGGAGAGACTCATTGGCCAACGACTTAACATTATAATTGTAGCAGAAGGTGCAGTAGATAGAAATGGTGAACCGATTACCGCTGAAAAAGTTCGCAAAGTTGTTGTAGATAAATTACAACAAGATACTAGAATTACTGTTCTCGGTCACGTTCAAAGAGGTGGTAATCCATCAGCTTTTGATAGAGTTCTGGTTGGTGTTTCAATAGCGTATATTATTTTTTATAATTCATCGAAGTCAAGTATCTGATTGATTTATAATATGTAGGGTTGTCGAATGGGAGCAGAAGCAGTTATGGCGTTAATGGAAGCAACACCCGAAACTGAAGCTTGTGTTGTAACACTGGATGGTAATCAGGCAGTTAGATTACCGCTTATGGAATGCGTACGTCGTACTAAAGCAGTAGCACAAGCTATGGCCGATAAAAATTGGGGGCTTGCTGTTCAACTACGTGGAAAGTACGCTAAACTTAAGAAATTTTTCCTCAGTAATATGTATTAGATTTCGTATACTATAATACACATTATTTTTTAAATATTTTCAGAGGATTCGCGCGTAATCTAGATACGTATAAAATGTTGACTCGTCTAAAAGCACCCGTGGATCATGATCCGAGCAGGGTACGTTACCGTTTTCTATATAATATTAAAATTTAAAACGAACTTAAAACCTTCTGTAGAATCTTAATAAGCTATTACTAAAAATTTTAATTATCAAATAATCTTGGGGAATAATACTAATATATAAAGGCTATTCGAAGGTTTTTTGTTCTTTTGTTTAAACTATTGAGGTGGAGATTTATTATATGTCTTATTTAATACTGCTTCAGGAAGGTAATGGCCCCGCATTAACAAAGGTAAATCTGTTGAAAAAGAAATTATAAGTGTACATCTTTCTGCTAGATATTAAATGTTGATGCCTAATTGCATAGCCTTTCTAACATTTTCATATTTTTCTTCTAAATTAGCAACTCACTTTATCTGGACAAGTGAGTTAACTAAACTTCTAAATCTTAATATTATCATATATCTTCTTTTCTTATGTAGCAAATGTATCGCTAGGATGTGAATAAATATAAGCATCGTGCAATGCTTAATAATCCACCATTAAATTATGGAATTACTATCTTTGTGTGCACGTTGCATGAACAAACGTCGTTTGAATTTTGAATTTTAACACTGAATTTTGGTTACAGGGTCATTATACCTTAGGTGTAATGCACATCGGTTCTCCTTCTTGCGGTATGAACGCAGCAGTGCGTTCCTTCGTTAGGAATTGTATCTATCGCGGTGACAAGGTATATAATAATCTTTTATAATTAACATTTGTTTTCGCTTTTTATCATTTTCACGGCGTATAATTTCAGGTGTATGGTATTTGCGATGGAGTGTTAGGTCTTATGGCTGGAAAGTTTAAATTAATGAATTGGCCTTCTGTCACCGGTTGGGTAGCTCAAGGTGGTGCTTATTTAGGAACCAAGCGAGCACCGCCCAAGGAAGAACAGTTACCTCAGATTGCTCAGAAGCTCAAAGAATATGGAATACAAGCTTTGCTTATTATAGGAGGATTTGAGGTAACATTCCTTTCCATCATTCTCTGGTTAAGTTTCGTCGGGTTTATCGATGGTTTAGTGTAAAATTATTTCTTTACTTGAAAGGGTTATCAAACGGGTCTTACCTTCTACAAAGCTAGGGATAAGTACGAAGAATTCCAAATCCCTATTGCCATGATTCCAGCAACTATTAGCAATAACGTTCCAGGAACCGAGTTTTCATTAGGTTGCGATACTGCCCTTAATGAAATTACGGAGGTAAGTCTGAGGGTAGGCGAAACGTTACGATATACTGGTTTATGCATATTTATGTGTCATTTTCAGATTTGTGATCGAATTCGTCAGTCGGCACAGGGTACAAAACGTCGAGTATTTATTATCGAAACTATGGGTGGATACTGTGGTTATTTAGCAACGGTAGCTGGGCTAGCCGGAGGAGCTGATGCAGCATACATTTTCGAGGAGAAGTTTAATATTAAAGATTTAAATCAGGATGTCATTGCAATGGCTGCAAAGATGTCCGAAGGTGTACAGAGAGGTCTTATTTTGAGAAATGAAAATGCTAATTTGAATTACAATACAGATTTCATGCAAAGACTGTTTTGCGAAGAAGGAAAAGGCCTGTTCAGTTGTAGAATGAATATTATTGGTGGGCAGATACTTTGGATTTAACTTCGGATTTTTTTTGTTTTTTATAATCATTATTTATAAATTGTAAAATTTATTTTAGGTCATATGCAACAAGGTGGTTCACCGACTCCGTTTGATCGTAACCTTGGTACAAAAATGGGTTCTAAAGCTGTAGAATGGTTCACTGACCAGCTTAAAAAATGTACCAGCGCTGATGGTAAAATATCAACAATGGACGCTAATAGTGCAGTTATGATCGGTATAGTACGAAGACAGTATAGATTTACGCCATTTACAGAACTAGCTGAAGTTACCGATTTTGAGTAAGTAATTCAATTTGATATAAGATTGCGAACTTACCATTGAAAATTACCCATAAAATTTATAGACATCGCATTCCTACATATCAATGGTGGATGAAACTGCGACCATTACTCAAAGTGTTAGCCAAACACGAGTCCACGTACGAAGAAGAAGGACTGTATATTACTATCGAAGAAATGGACCTTGACAATGATCCACCTCTGGTCTAAGCTAAAAATTACATATTATCATAGGTGGTAAAAGGTAATGTTCCATAAAATGTACGCAGTTAACTGTAAAAATTGTAGATTTCGTTGAACAGTATTGTATGGCATTATGATCATGTTTCGTTGTTATTTATGAAAAGTATGATCAAATTTTAGACGCATAATCGTAGAATAATTGTATTCTGCGGGGTTTAATATACACCAAGTATTTTTAGCGATTAAAATAAAATCGCGATGTATACGTACACTTCTCGTCTGTATATTTAGTTATTTAATAACAAAGTGCGTGCTAAAAATCTTAAATGTGAACGAATTAAATAAATAGAAAATTATTACACATTATTGCCATGATCAAGAATATAAATTGATATTTTGTTTTCATAAGATCGAATTCGTATAATTTTGGACGTGGTTTAAACTCAAATGTGAGAAGGTACAAAAACAGTACCTGAAACGTGGAGGTAAGCTATATCTTTAGTAATGTAAGAAAGTAAAATGTGTTAGTACGACATCTAAACCGCATTTTTATTAGTAACAATGAAAGATTATATTGTTATAACAATCAATGTTAAATATTTATTGCTATTTATATACATGTATATATGCGTATAATTTTGAAAATAGCAAAAAATGAGGACATATATATTAATACAATACATAACATGTGAATGCTGTACTACAATCAAGAAGTGTTAAAAATAGAATAATTACATGCGAATGTGGTGACAAATATGATGAACGCGAATAATTACAAAAAGAAAAAAGGAAAATCTCTTGACATAACATTCGAATCCAGTAACTTCCAGTTTTAGATTTGACAAACATTTTCAACACATAGGGCACTGTGTTTATTGCTCTCATCAACTTAGAACGTTGATATTCATCAAAATAATTGCATCGCAATTATACAAACTTTGCTAATGCATGACATTTTTAATATCTAATTTTTTATGTAGCTTTGACAGAAATTCGTTAGGATGACAATGCTTTTAGAGGGCATTAATTGTCCATTGATAAAATTCAGTTGCAACATGGTTTATAAATCAAACTAAAGCTTTCATGGCTACATTACTACTTTGCAAATAAATATACTAGGCTATATTCATGGTCTACTAAGATATAAAATTAAAAATAATGTGGCATTTTTTCTTTAATGAAAACTTACTATTTGGTTTAGCTTTACCCATAGCTATGAAAAGCTATTCGAAGAATATACTTGTCTACCTCAAAACATAATTTGCAACGACAAAACGATACTTAGGACAAAGAAAAACACCTAAGTCGTGCTAGTTGCATGTAACGTTAAAAGATTTTGCTAAGATTTAAGGCTTGTGACCACAAGAATATTTAGATTTAATTCGTGTTATTACTATACTCGTGTATTCGCATATATTTATCTAAACGAGTGAATCAAGTTACTAAATCTAAACTAAACTCGCAATTGTTTTCTCAAATGTAGGTTTACGGTACCTATAAAATTTTAGAACCAAGTAATTCTTTGTAACAGAATCGAATGTGATCTTTCATGGCTAATTCGTGTTTGTAAAATCTCGGCTAATATCTTTGATAAAAGATAACATTGGTCAAAATTGTCTGATTTCAAACAAATAAGTGAAAGATATTTTTAACGAGGGACTGAGTATACGCGTTCAATTTCCGTAACGTTTATAGAAACTAAAAGATACTTCGAATCTCATTGTATTTTCAATTTTTCAAATGTAATCACGATACAATCTGAGATGATCAATGAAATATTTATTTAATTTACAAAGCAACTCTTTTTAATAGACATATGATATTACATGCAAAGTACAGTATTGTACTTTGAGTTATTGAGTCCTAAAATAATAGGCTAATTACAAAAATATGTATGTATTAAAAAAAAAGAAAAATGGAAAAAAAAGAAATTGCACAGGCTGCTTATTTAAAACTGTTACTAGGAATGCAAATTGTTTAGAAAAATACTAAGACAATAGATGTTGTTGATAAGCAATGAAACTCATTAATATTGTTAAAAACAGATGATTATATACAGAGATAATTATTTGTAATGATATCATTGAAAGAATTTAAAAGTTACAAAGATCTCCTTGCAATGCCTTCACACATTATGTATGACAGTTGAAAATATATGTATTTTTATTGAGGCCTAATCATGAGAATAGAATTGAACTTATACTTAAACTGGATTGTGCGCAAAAGTAGGGGCGGATAGTCGTTCAGCGAAGCATTAAATGTTAAAAGTAACAATATAAGAAACTAAGGATAATGATCATTGCTTAGTTCATGCATAGATCCGCCTCTGTACATACATATACTTTTATTGTACACATAATATATTTTATACAAATTTATGTGCAAATTCCAAATTTTATCATACATATATCATATACGTGTTCACTTAAATACATAAAAAGATCCATGTGCCCACTACATTGCTAATCATGCTGATACAAACACAATGTACAAATCCACAAGCGTTAATATTTCATACCACTAACGCTTATAATAATATAATAAAGATATAACGTTGAAAGATTATATTATTTTTACGATTGCAGAAGAGATATATTTTCGAATCATTGTTGAGCAATGAATTTACCATGTATCTGTCACATAAGATATACAGCGATCAAAAGTTATTTTGTTCCCATATCGAATATCCCAGTGTAATTATTACTATGTTTATTTATCGAGAGTTCACGAATTACCTGCGATAATAGCACAATTTTGAAAACAGAATACATATATTGTGTACGTGTAAAAATGTCGTGACCACTTATAATGTACCTAATATTATCAATAAAGTATATCTTATAAAGTTGTCCTTCATGTAATTTAATGTAATCGCGTTTACAGTTTCTTAAAAATCTTAAATGAAAAATATGAATGAATTTATTCCATTTCTGATCAAATTTAAATGTCGTCGATTACGTATCGCAATGTTGTCGCACTTGTATACAATTGAGCGTTTGTATAATAAAATCTAAAATTTCAGCGAATCAAATAATCATTGTAAAATTACAGTAAAAAATTAATTTTTAAATTACCAGAAGGTAAAAGTAAGAATCTTTTGAACATCGATAATTTTAAGAACGATTTTTGACATTGGTTTGATTAGCGTGGTGCCAACAAGTAAAGACAGAAAGCGCCACATTGTTCGATGTTGGCTAAATGCTTTCGTAGATTGCTTCGGTGTGTGTAATACATCAGTGTAATTCCGTATACGTTTGATTGTTTGACGGTAGTTTCTGTTAGACGTTCAAGTACGAAACTTGATCCATAATTGACAATCGTGTGAGAGGAAAATAATACTTTGTAGCGGAAAATGGTTGCGATAAAAGGTAGAAAAAGTTCGAATAAAAATCCTCCTATATTCAGTCATGAGTTTGTTATTCAAAATCATGGGGATATTGTTTCTTGCGTGGCGATGATCTTCGTGACGGGTTTAATGGTGCAGGTCAGTAACCGACTTTATTTTATGTATTACTTCTTTTACTGATTTGGATAATTTGTATCATCTAAAATATGGTTCTTTAAAATGAACAGATGTAAAATGAACGTTTCATACTTTGTCTTAATTTTAACTGTAGTTAATATAACAACCATATGTTATTATTACCGGCACTCGTTGATCGGTAAAATATGTAGTCAATTATTCTTTGAGTTGCTATACAAAGCAATTAATATAACTGATCATCTGTCTATCTACTGTTACTAATTATATATTATTTTTTAGGCAACATCACCATGGGCATATACATTCATTGCTATTCATCATAATGTAACATCTGACACAGAAGATCCAACTGTACCATTGAAGTATACTACTGGCTGGAAAGATGCATGTGCTGTATTCTTTTATTTTCTGATAACCATTGTAATGCATGCTCTATTTCAGGAATATATTTTTGATGTAAGTTATATCAGCTATAATCTATTTTCCAACTAAAAGTATCTGTGTTCCAATTGAAATATTTTTTGTAACATCTTTTAGAAAGTTTCAAAGCGTCTTCACCTGAGTAAAGTGAAACTATCTAAATTTAATGAATCCAGTCAACTTGTTCTGTTTTATATTCTGTCTGTGATATGGGGCATAGATATAATTATCAGGTAAAAATTAAATAATAACAATGCAAGAATCTTTATATATAATTGAATATAATATAAATTTATTGTTTCAGGGAAGATCTACTATTAAATTTACCTTCATTATGGAAACAGTATCCTGTACCAATGTCCTTCTCTTCAAAACTTTTCTTTATAGGCCAACTCTCTTATTGGTTACATTGTTATCCTGAATTATATTTCCAAAGAATAAAGAAAGAAGATATTCCACCACGTGTTGTACAAGCAACTATTGGACTGCTGTTTACTCTTGCAGCTTATGTTTTAAAGTATAACATAAATTTGTTAGAGTATAATCTAAGTTTTTCTAATCTAATTCACATATTTCATTTAGTTTCCAGCAAGTTGGAATTCTCTTATTGGTTCTACATTATGTGGGAGATGCTATGCTTCATGGGGCTAGGCTTGTCCATTTTGTTGGTAAAAAAGAAAAGATGACAAAGAGTAAGTATTGTATGATAATACATGGTACTTTGTGAGAAGATAAGCATTATATAACTCTTATTTGTTACAGTGGCATTTCTTGTTGCCAATTCGACGTACGTTTTCGTACATGTTGCAACATTGGCTATTGCAAGTTTGGTGTTCCTCTATGGTTTAAGTCAAGTTGAAAGCACATTCGATGCAGCTGCTGGGAACTTTAATATTCCAGCTGTACGATTTTCAGCTTTAAGTATAATTGTCGTTTTCCAAGCTTATCTTGCTTATGTATTTATCAAGAGGCAAATTAAGCGTGCTCGTGAAAATGCAGTTCCTGTACAAACAACAAGTGTCAAATCAAAGCTAAAATCGAAGAAGAAAGAAGGTAAACCAGGAAGAAAAGAAGATATTTTGTACTTTTCATTTACATTAAGCATAACATTTATATTTGTTTAGGAAAAAAGTCGGCTGTATCTGAAGACGATGATCTGCCAGAGGTTGATCAGGCGACCAAAAAACATCTTAGATCTCGTTCGTCCGCAAAAGTAAAATAAATGTATATTTAAAAATATGAAACTTGTTTAAGGCTGATAAAACATCTAATTTCGTTCATTTGTGTATCGTGAATAGGATATCTAATATTAGCAATTGTGTGACAACCTCCATTATTTTAATATCATTTTAAAACATGCACCATTGTACAACTTTTCCACAGCATCAAGTGTAGATAAACTTTGTCCCTCTGAAGAGAGAAATATTCAAAGTACTGTATATAATTTTTTATGTTTATATACGCATTATGCACAGAGATTACGTTATGTTACTATTTTATACATTTAATAACATTTAAACATGGTATTCAAACATTTTCTATCTTTCTTTCATATATATATAAAGCCCAAAAACGTCCGTCCGTGTCACTTTCTAACTTGAGATACCCTTTATTCTTCGTTACAAAAGTTTCGCTGAGACTTGCATAAAACTGTCGCATTTGTGCGTCTAAGTGGTCAGAGTCAAAAATTACAGAGGTTTCAATTTTTCTATAAAAAGTTGATGGGTCGCATATCTTAATTTCGGGGTCCCTAACACCCCAGGATAATATGTCGGTATGCATAGTGAGCTACCGGGGTTCCTGACACCCCAAGATGATATTTTGTCGATGCGCAGAAAGAGTCGCCGGGGTCTCTGACACCCCAAGATGATATTAGGTCGGTGCGCTAAGTCGACGGGGTCCCCGACACCCCAAGATGATATTTTGTCGTTGCGCGGAAAGAGTCAACGGGGTTCTTGACACCCCAAGATGATATTTTGCCGTCGCGCAGAAAGAGTTGCCGGGGTCTCTGACACCCCAAAATGATATTAGGTCGTTGCGCATAAAGAGTCGCCGGGGTCTCTGACACCCCAAGATATTAGTCGTTGCGTGGAAAGAGTCCACGGGGTCTCTGACACCCCAAGATGATAGGTCGGTGTGCAAAGGTAGTCACTGGGGTCCCTGACACCCCAAGTTGAAATCAGGTCTGTATGACCCCCTGTGGCTCGGGGGGCTTAGAATACGGCCACGGTATCCCCTGCCTATCGTAAGAGGCGATTAAAAGGGGACACACATACACACACAAACTCAAGTGAAAAGATGCACCGATGCCTTGGGGTCTCTGACACCCCGGATGCCATTTTGTCATTATGCAAAGAGCTTCACCCGTGCTTCGGGGTCCCTAACACCCCAAACCGTCGGTCATTGCGCCATCTATATAAAGCGGCGCAAACTATTCGTTAACTTACCGACTGCCGAAAGTTTAGTCGATAAGTCGGTAATTCGTCGAGTAGTTTCCGCTGCTTTTGTATAGATGGCGCAGCGGTCGGACTTTAAAAATACTTATTTCTAGGCGGTCTTTTCAAAATATAAGTTTGTCAAATAATTATTTTAATAATTTTTCGGTCTTGTTTAGAAATAATATAAAACAAGTATGTATATACAGAAAACATGATACCGTATCAAGCACAGTAGACTTATTTAGGGAAAATGGCGTTAGAGGAGAAGCAGAAATTCTTAAAACTTCAATTTTAATAATATTAATATTCAAAGTGATTTAGAAAAAATTACTTAAAAGTACGAAATACGGGTCTATCATATACGGTACTGTAATTATGACAACATTTTATTAGAATAAACATGTATTTTTATTATAATTTTATAAACATTACTAAAATTTATTTAATTGATATAATTTAAATCTAAACTTACAAGTACGTATACAATAAACAGAACTATTTTTAATAACTCTTTTTTATCTGTTGCAATACTTTTTTCTGTATTTTAAATTTAAAAAATCATATATATTAGGAATATAAAATCATGGATTTAATAGTATTGATTATTTATTATTTGTAATAATGTATGTTTATGTATTTAATAACTAATAATTTCTTATAATGTTGAAATTTTATATCACAGGTAAATTACTCAATATTATTAAAGTAATTGAGCGTCCAGTTCTTATTTTAAAACTTCTTTGGGTATTTATTTCTTTTTAAACGTATAAATTTCAAAGAACGTTTGAAATTATAGTAAAATTTATTTAAATTATGTAAAATTTAAACAATGTATATTTGTAATTTAAATAATTTAATGACTATGAGAAGTCACAAGCAAATTAAAAATATCCGTTGGTTGGTATATTTTATTTCATTAATTAAATATGTTAATATATTATTGCGCATATTCTTTTGTGAGTAAAACACGTTAAATTTAATACAAATTTGTTTCTTTTCAATTAATAAATCCTTAAATAATTTGTACAGTCACTCATTAAATAATTACATCCATAAAAATAGGATGGAATTAAAAATGATATAGTTTCTATAAATTGGAATTGAACTAAATTTATATGTTTTACATTCAGAAGAAATACTTTATTATAAGAAATGTTCAGGGTTGAATTGGTGTTTATTCTTCTTCATAGAATTGTTCACTGATATCTGCTTGAATTGCATATTCTATTCCCTGTTGAAACAATAATAATTAGTTTCCATTAATTTTCTTCTAAGTGCTTTCCAAACTTTTACTTACTTCTTGAAAATATTTATACATTTGCTGTGCAACCAGATTTGACGAAAAAACTGCTTTCAAAGTACGTCTTGCTTCTGGATTTAAAGCATAATCAATTGCTGTCCAAATACATTCTTTTCCACTGACCTGGATGAAATGATAGAATGTTTAACATGTTCTCATTTTTAATTAAACCATTATAGAATATGAGGAAAATGTTTAATCTATTTTTACCTGCATCTGTGTGTTCATACTGATAATCGTATTGCTCACAATTTTATCTGTTTCATCCGCTTTTAATATTATTTTTGCACCAAAAATATTAGAGTCATAATAAATGACTAAAGTTCCTAAAGCTACAGGACTCCAATCGCTCGTTTTGCTTGCTTTGGCTAACAATGTGGCTCTCTTTTCAAAAATTATAAAATTTTGATCATCATCTTCTTCGTCTTCTTCCTCTTCATCTCCCTCTTTCTCCTCTTCTTCACCGTCATCTTCGTGTTCCACTTCATCCACTTCTTCATTTTCATCTTCTGGTTCTTCTATTATTGGATTGCCTTCTGTACTTTTTTCGCCTGTACTCACATGAAAAACATAAATTTAATACAGGTTTTATCTTAGCAAACAACATAGAAAAGCTTTAATTATGACAAGTAATGATAAAAATTCTAAAGGAAAGCAAAAACTGGTGTAGGCTTACTTGTTATTAATATTATAAAACCACTTCATGAAACACACCTACATAGTTTAACATTTACTTATGACGTTCAGTGCTAAGACGAATTTTTATATTAATTAGTAAAAAAAAAATTTGAATTATGTTTACATCATATCATTTTATTGAAATGTTTGGTTATTAAAGTGTGCATTTGTACAGCTTCCTTTACACAAGTAGATTGAATTTTAACAAAAATTATATAGAAATTATTAACAAAAGAATTCACGCTTACTAATGAAATATACTATAACAATACGCTAACTTAATTATAAAATTGTGTTTATCATAAAAGATGAAGCAGCTAGTACGTGTCTTGGAATCGTTCTTTCGTAATTAGAGATATAAAATTATGCAAAATTAAACGAGATTTAATAAGATAATTTTTATACATGATTGTATCGTAAAGAAATATCACGCCCGCGTATCACAATCAATCTTAAAATCATATTAATTAATCAATAAATATTTTTGAACAATGTAGTAGTATTGAAAGATAATGGAATATTTACTTAGAACGAATACGATAAATTTTCCTAATCTACTTGATCGCAAATTATGATGTACTTAAACAATATTATACCTCATAAATATCAATAAAATCATAAACTAATATGTGTAACAATAAAAAAATATATTTCATGTAGCATGTAATATATGATGAGTACACATGTATCATGCAGCCAGAAGCAAGAATAATTAAGGAAAGCATATTATTAACAAGAGGTTTTCATCTTAGTCCTTACGGATTTCACTTAGTGTTTGTTGAATAATGTCAACTGTATCCTTGAACTTTGTTGCCAGTTCTGGAGATCTAAATTTAACTGCCAATTGTTCTAAGCATGGTTCTTCCTCGGCATAATTCATTCCTGCCCATATCCAAGCACGATCCGAAGTCGAAAGTCTGTTAAAACTAATATCTGGAGTAAGCAATAGATTGCACACTACTTTATGAACTTGATCTCTACGTAACAGTAATCTGTAAGTTCTATATGTTGAATGATGTAAAATTTTCATCTCTCCAACACCTCTTTCTTTCCATTCACGTGTTGCATTATCATATCTGTATAGTTTAGCTCGTTCACTAAATACTGTAACATAAATGAAATCATTTGTGTGATTTTTATACTCGTATCGATACTACATCTTTCTTCTTTAAAAATTTCTTTTGAATTTTACCTTTTTCTTCCTCTTCTTCACCAGTACGTACTTCAACAACATCGGGTAATGGTACTACTGGCTCAAATTGAGGATCATGTTCTTGATCATTCTCATTTTGATCATATTCTTCTTCATCGTTTTCATCTTTCTTTTCTGTTGTTTCTTCTTTCGCTCTTTGTACGGAATTATTAGTAGCTGATTTAGAACCAAATACAGCTGCCCCAGCACCAGCAAACGAGAAATTTGGATCTACGAAGTAAACATAAATGCAATTAGTTTTCAATACTCTTAGCGTGTACAGAAATTACATTAAAAAGAAATTACCTATTTTAAATCCTTGCTGAGAACTTTTAGCTGCTAAAGTTGAAAATGATTCGCCTGAAGCCGGCAAGAAAGGAACATCAGCTCCTTTTTGAGTTTCGTTTGTTATTAACGTTGTTCCAAAAGCATTAGTTGTGGCGTTCGAAGTTGTAAAAGAAGGTACACTCATTTGTCCATCGAAAATCGAATTGAATGAAAATGGTGTAGAAGTATTAGTGAATATCGAATTGGTGGTTGTATTAGTCGGATTTGTGGTAGTAGTGGATATAAACGATGATGAAATAGGTGCAGTACTTTCGGTACTGGTTTTCACTGCAGATCCAAAAATTGGGGCACTGCTACCAAACACAGGTGTACCTGTAGTACTTGTTTTCGACTGAGAATTGAAACTGTTCGAAAATACTGATTCAGAACTGGTTGTACTGACATTGAGAGAGCTAGGTTTTAGTAACCCAGAAGGATCTTTCTTCGATGTTCCACCGAAAATATTTTTCCCTGCACTTAAATTAAATGGATCCGTCTTGGCTGCTCCAAATATGGATGATATAGA